TATCTATCTATCTATCTATCTATCTATCTATCTATCTATCTATCTATCTATCTATCTATCTATCTATCTATCTATCTATCTATCTACTCTCAGTATATTTAAGTATATTTTTGTACACTTTTAATTAATGGATTCAACAACTGATTTTCCAAATTACTGATTTTATTGCCATCATTCAGCCAATCTCTAAAACATTCAACTATTTCCATTTTCTATTAAACGGTTTACTCTTAAAATATTCTATACATTCCTGTCAGTTTTTTTTTATCTCAAACCTTTCACTCAACACAGTTTAAACAATATCAGAATTTCTCTAAGGCGATTGTAAAATAATTGCATTTTCTGAAAAACTCTTTACCTGTAAACTCTGTTTACATATAAGTCAGACACCAGAATAATACAGATGCGAGTGTTAAGGCTAGTAATGTCTATAATCATATGAAGGTCTCAAATCTAAGAGCTAACAGTTTTCCTTTATGTTTCCTCTTGTGGACTCGCTTGATCTTTAAGCTCAGCTGCCCCCAAACTGTCACACAGAAGTCCTGAAGATTTGTCACTGGAGAGGAAATAAACAAAAGAGGAAATAAACAAATGACTGTTAACTTTCAGGTCAAAGAAAAAATGAATATTTCAACAATGTTTATGAGCCATACCTTTCGCCATCTTTCTCTATCTGAAAAGGAACAAAAAAATGTTTTCAGTTTCACATGAGTAGTTATTCTGACAGTTGTCCCCTTCAATTCTTTATTTATTTAATTATTTTTTTACCTTAGGCTTCTGTGATGTGTTGCCAACAATCTTCCGGGGTACCCCCAGGGTCTCAAATGAATGGCTTCTCACTCTTATGGCTCTCTTATGATAGAGATTCATGAAACAAATGTTAAAAAGTCAATAAAAATATTAAAGTCAAACAAATAATGGATTTCTAAAGGATTCCAGAATTTACCTTAAAATTTTCAATAAACCCCCCACTTCCCTCAGATCCACCCCTCACACCCTCAGTGGTTGGGACCGCGGCCAGTGATGGATCTCCCACCATGCACTGGGAACGGTTGAGGAGTTCAGTCTGCAAGCTCTCCAGCAACGATGACCGCGTGCGCAGCTGCATAACACAGGATCAGGAGCAGGAAAATTAATATTTCAGAGCTGATGTGTTCACTAGCTCAGAGGACTAATGAGAAAAGAAAAGGCGTTCTTCCTGCTACCTCCAGTCGGCTGAACTGCTCGGCCTTATAGCAGGAAATCTCTGCATTGATCATCTTGGTCAGAAGGAATTCTCTCAACTGAGAATGCTACAAGACAAGAGAGGAAAACATTGATTCTCTTTTCGGACCTCGAGTTGGCATTGTGGGGAGTCAAAGGCATGGAGATCAGGTAGAGTTAGAAGAAGGTTTAATGTGTGATTGATCAAAGCAAGTGGCTTAAACAGACAGGACAAAGAGAGAGAGGCTTTACTGGAGGTCACATGAGACAAAAGCACACAGTTTGAGTTGTCATTGTTTGAAAGTCTTAGGTGTTTCTAGGATGTAAGCGCTGTTAAAATACACATATAATCCATTAAAGGGTGATGGTAAACTTAAACACTCTTAACTGTACTATTTGCACCAGGTCTTGTGTTAAAATGGCACACCCCCTCTGAAAAAAGTAGAATAACGGGGCTCAACCTAAACCTAATCTAAAGCTATATGATACCTATATCAAACACGGACTAAAAATCCCCCAAATAATTTGAACTGACATAAAACCCATAATAATGACAACAATTGAAGAAGTAAAATAACTCGATATAACAAATATTTCTGAACATTATCAATATAAATTCTCTTTAATCGTTTCTTACATCTGTGAAGAGGGGAGGATCTGGAATGACGGGACCAAAGGGAGGAACGTCCTCTCTCGCTGACACAGACACCTTTCAAGCAGAGAAAAATCATAAAACAAACAATAACTTAGAGTCTGGTGGATATTGCTGCTGATATGATCTTTTCACAGAGATGTCTGCTTTATGACTCGGAAAAAAATGGCAGCACTGAAATCCCAAGGTGTGTTTGAGGTCACTCAGTAAATAAAGACACCATTGTCTGGTCTGTCCACAAGGGTGCACTGACAGGTTCATATTTCAAAATGCAAGGATTTTGAATTTCAGACCAAAACACAGAAATTAAACAGAGCCACGCTTTAACCATTTATAAGCATAAGACATTTTAAAAGAATATGCCGTACAGGTAAAAATGATACTTTGCTTTACTTTAGTGAGTACAGGAGATATCATTCACTCCAACATATTAGATCCTTTGTTTGCAAAAGATAGTGTATGCCCAAATAATTAGACTACTCAGTCTCACAGATTTTCCTGAAACTGTCACAAAATGTAATTGTTAAGTGTCCTGAGCCATGAAACAAAAATAACTATTTAATTAATTTCAAATACATCATAGAAGGATAGTTGGTTTGAGGAGCCTAAATGTAGTCCAGATATGGGGCTGCTGAAGCTTGATATATTTCTGGAAACCTAAGTTCACCTTAACAATCCCACTACTGTGATTTTGAACAGTTTTTTTGTGTTAATTTTTTAAATATTCGGTCAGATGTGACCGGGACTGAGGCTCTATACCTTTTCTCCAGCTCTGCCCACAAGTTGACTTCTCACTCACCTTGTAGGCAGCTCCACCAGCGTCTTCCTCCCTCTGAATCTTTCTCACCACCAGGAAACAGTGCAGAAAGTGAGACTTGATGACATCACATAGAAAAGGGGTTTTGCCCTCCTGGTAGACCAAAGCTACAATGTCATTACCAATGTGTCTTTTTCTCTGCAGCTGATGGAGAAGAAGAAACATGACCTTCTGTTACCGAGAAAGTTTTGAAGATGTTTTTTTTTTTAAAACACTGTCCTGTGAATCACAATTATATAAAGACTGAGGGTGATGTGACAAACTGACCTGCTGTGGGTCACCCTCTGTGAAAGGGAGTTTAGTTGCGACATGAAACATGATTTCTCTTCCATGGAAGGAAGTAAATACTGCTTCATTTCCCGTCTGGCCATGACACACGTCAAGTCCCCCCCTGAAGCTGAGAAATGGAAATCATGATCTTTTTTGGACTGTAAGACCCATATACATTTACCAAACTACTATAGGATTTTCTGCCAGCTGATTGAATCATTTTCAAGTTGATGTTTTATTGAATGTCTTGCTTTTTAATGCATTTTTATTGCACCATGGGATCATATGAAGCACTCGATTTACCTATACAAAAATAATATTTCTCTCCAACTGCTCTTTATTAGGCAGTAACAAGTCTTCGAACAAGTTATAGAATACATTCAGACCAATAGGGCAATGATGGCCAAACACATCACTAAGAAATTTTTACTGATATCCCTGCATAAAATATTAGAGACATTCCCATTGTACCCTAAAATCTGGTATGCATGGCACTGACATTGCACTTGCTCATGTTGAATTGCTTTTAATAGTAATTTCCCTGAGTTATGCTTACTTTAAAAAAAAACTATATAGATTATTCAACTAAATGAACAACACATGTTTACTATATTTAAACTCTTGAATTTCTTTTGGTATTTGCATGGTCTATGTCATGTTTGCTAACTAGATAATGTAAGCATACTTTACCCCTTGAATCCCTGCAGCTGAACTGTGTCTCCCAGAATTGACAGGAACTCGTTAAACTCCTCACTCTCCTCGTTGTTACTCAGTATGTCTGCCTCAGTCAGCTACAGTGGGGCAGATGGGGTAGATTTAGGGTGAGTGGGTATGATATGGTGCCATATTTGTGAGGCTTTAGTGAAAATGTAGTCTTACCTGCCCATCCCTTTGGTACAACACACCAAACTTGAAATTAGGAGACACTCTGTGTTCATCAAATGCAGTTATGAGGTCTGGAGCCTTTGTCATAAAAATGAGACAGTATACAAGTCGAGAAGGTACTTTTGACAAGAGGTGTTCTGATCAATCAAAGTAGGTGCACGTGAAATTAAAAGTGACTGATGTCAGGTTTTTGGAACTGAGCACAGAGGCTTAATGTAATGTTAACGGGATGCTTCCGTCATGCATTATTATCATCTTTGATAGTCAGAAAAAAAGACACAGAAGTATTCAATTTGTAGTTATTTGATGTTTTTGAGCATTACCTTCAGGTAGCTGACCACTTCAAACCTTGAGACTGTCACTTTGTCACAGAGCATCTATGGAGAGTAGATATGAATAATATTATCTTCTTTAAAAACCAGAAGGGGAAATTAAGTGTTTTCAATACAGTGAATGTAAAGACCACACTTTTCTATTCAACTGCCTTTCATGGGGACATCATTTAGTTTTCACTCCATACCAGCATAAGGAAAACTAAAGCTTAAAGTTCAAACATCCGATAAAACGTCACATGAATAGAACAGAGATTTTAAAATGAATTAAACTTCAGTCTAACAGGGGGAAAGTTCATTTAAATGCATAATTAAAAATGGAATAAAACTATTATTTGCATAAAAACTGTTAAAAAGTCTGCACAATTACCTCTTTTTATTGTGATACATGTTGATTGTTAAATATTGATTATCACTAGAAAAACTGGAAGTAAATAGTTCTGCTTGAATACCTTTGCTAATTCCACAGCAGATGGGATGTTGGGGAATAGTGACAAAGAGAAAACTCCATGTAGAGAGCACTCCTTCATCCTGTGAGACACTCACACAAAAGCAAGTTACAACATAATAATAATGAGTTCATGGGCATCATTTATGACATAAAACAAACTGCTGCCGCTGATTTGGATTAGCTTGATCATCCCTGACGCACTGGCATCAGTAAAAAACATTCACAAGTTGAATACTACAGTTGACCATCATGAAAAAGCACGCTTGTTAGGTCTTTATAAAGTAAGAAAAAAAAAAAGGCAAATGGCAAACCATATTCACTTCCTGTGCATGCATGCAAATAATGTGGAAGAAAATAACCAAACGCAAAATACAAAGAAAGTCCCATTCATCTCAGGATTGCTGTAACTGCAGCATAGACAATACAAAAACTTTTCAATTGCAGACTAAAATCACCACAATGTCCACCTTAGAATCACTCGCAGCTTATTTTCTTCTTCATCCAAACACACTGAAAGAACCAGCGGCCCCAGAGATGGATCCACTGCTGTAAACGAGTGGTGGTACTTCAGAGAAAAAAGAGGAGAAATCTTCAGTGTTAGAATGAATGAACAGTGTTATAGTAAACAATGCCTCAGAGACAAGGGAAAAACGTACTCGTGAGCGGAAAAACTCATGGTAGATTTTGGCCTCGGCATCCCTCTCCATAATGTCGTAACAATCCAGATCAAGGCCATGATGGGGTGAAGTGGGACTCAGATCTACAAGTCTTTCAAGAGGGGGGTCAATCCAATAACCCCCCTGTTTTGAGGGGAGGATGAGAGGAAGATCTGTCGCTACAGTCAAAAGCTGAGACTAAAACAGACACAAAGCAGCAGCTGATAAGGTGGATGATGAGTGTTTGGGTAAACAGATATTACGGCCGTTATGAAAAGGTCAGACATGCACACAGAAACATGGCAACCGTTTGTGGAGACCGATTTACAGGTATGTTTTCTTGGTACGGAAAGCTAACCTTCAGAGGCAGTGGGAATTCACAACGCTGCTCATCGATCCTGCTGCCCTGATGGACGAGAGCAGTGATGGTAACAGTTCTGCTGCTCAGACATTGGTGCATGCACACGCTGCACAGGATCAATCACTCTGAGACTCACCTGCAGCTTCTCAATGATTTCGAACAGCTCTGTGTCCTGTTGTAGAAAAACATCAAGGTGTGAGTCAGACAGGCAGGCAGGGAGAACGGGAAGGAGAAACACAGGGAGGAAGAGGAACACGACACTTCAAAAGACTTCATGACTTTTGCTCAATTCAGCAAACCGCAGTTCATAATGTGTATCATATTCAAATCAAAGGTAGAAAATTTTAAAGGCATCACCCTCTGGTTACTGCTGGATGAAACAAAGCGTTTGCTGTCACCGGTAGGAGAGTCCAGAATGTCCAGGATGTTTTCTTCCACCACATCAGGTCTGCAGCAACAGGTTGATTTACACAAAAAACACAGAGGTATTCGTCACTCCTCTTCCAGTTCTGACAGTTCACAGCCCTGGTTTAAATGTGCTGCCATAAAAAGAAAATGAAGCCTCACCTTGTCTCATCTCCGCACGTGAATTTGTCTACACTATAAACAAGGAAGCAAGAAAAACGGAGAGAATTCTTTGTTATAAATAGGCAGGATTACTTATGTCTAACATGTGCGTTATATCTTCACAGTTTACAGTCTATCGACTGACTTCTGTGAGGATTGTAAAATCTAAATGTCACATTCTTTGCCTCTTACTCACCCGCCATATGCCCCAAAAGTGAAACTTCTCTTTCTAGAGAAGGACATGTCATTCCTCTTCTCTCTCTCCATGGCTTTGGTGTCACTGCAAATGTTTGTACATGCCAGTTTGGTATCGAGTCAATCAGGGCTGGTTAAGGTTGAATTAATTCACTCTACCATTCTGTCACTCCTCCTCCCCCTCCTCCTCCCTGCCCCCTGCCACTCACTCATTTAAGCTTCCCTTTCCTCCCTCTGTCCTGTTGTCAGCCTGACAGGCAGCATTAACCCGCTCAGGGTTGCAGGTGCAGTCCGCACAAACTAAAAAAACAACTCTGTTAGGCCACCTTACGCTGCCTCATTCCATCGATCGCAAATCAACACTTGGTGTGGTGCTTGTGGCAGACCGGCTGGGCTTAAATATAGACTTGTAAATAAATAAAGAAATCAGTGAGACATTTTCTCCCGGACCTGTTACCCTTTGAGTCGGTGAGAATCATCAATTATTGACAGCACACACAGTGAGGGTGAGGAGGTAGACAGCAGGGGAGGGTGAAGTGGGGAGAGTAGGAGAAGGTTGGAGAGAGAGGTAAGAAAAGGAGACATGGAAGGAAAGATAGACACAGACAGGGACGAGGTGTGTGTATCTCACGTGTCACATGATGAACTACTTTACATGCAATTTATTCACAGATGCCAATGATACCATGTTTGCATGGTTTCCATGTTCTTTGAATAGTTTAAAGTGAAAAGCTTGTTCACAAAAATGGCCAGAAATACAGAATAAAACTGATTTTTCATCACAGTTTCTATCTACAGTATCCAGTAGGACTTTATTTCATCTGGCGCTTGCACTGACCTAAGCATGCTCGGATGAAAAGTGACATGAAAGCATTCTGTTCTAATGTAATCCCACCATTTGTTTTGGATAGTTTATCATTTGCAGACATAACTGAAAGTGAAATTAGTCTGTGTTCATGTATTTATTAATTTAGGTATAACAATGCAATATCCTTTAACAAATCTGTACAAGAAGAAAAAACATCCTTTGCATGCTCATACTGTGATCGGTTCAGTTATTTTGAAACAATGGATTATTTCTTGTTTTGAATCCATGCCAGTTTCAATAGGAGTCCATCCTCTTTCAATTCAATGGCTTCCTATTAGACAGTCTTCAAAGTGCTCGTCATCAATTGGCCACTTGTTTACGATTCAAATTCAAAATGCCATAATCTCCTCTATTTTCAAAGTATTTACTGTTTGGAATAACTATTTGATGATTGGCTAATACAAACGCTACTCAATATTGTCTTTGCTTTCATTGGTCATAATCCGAGCGAGTGAATGAGTTTTAGCTCCGCCCCTCGACAGTACGATGTTAGGTACCCCGCGGAAGTTGCTGGTGTGCGGAGATGTTAATTTTCGTGGGTAATTTGCAGGAGGTAGCGTGAAAACGTGATCGGCGCACTTGATTTTTCCTGACGTTTTGCATAAACAGACGAACGGTAGGCTTCCTGTTTTAATACGATCCTATTACTGCCATTTAAATGCAAGTACAAGTCGAAGTTAGCTAGCTAGCCTTGGTGCCTAGCCACAAAGGTTTAGGTTTTGGTTAATGTAAATTGTCAACACTCGCTGGCATCGAACTTTGTGTTATTTTGGTTCACGCTAGCATTATAGATAAATCATGTTTCTTGAGTACCATTTTTGCTGGTTATTGCTTCGTATATTTACTTATTGTTGTATGTGTTTTTGTTTTCAATTCCTTAACAATGCTAAACCAAAATCTTCTTAAAATGTCAGAGTTATATGTTAATGTGGAAAGTGTCGCATTATTATTACGTGACTTCTATGACTAAAAGAACTCAACAAAAGCAAAGGTTGTATCACTGCCTTCTCCAAAGTGAATGAACCGCACATGTGCAGGTTTCAGTTCGGTCAAAGTGTCGTGACTTTGTCTCTGTGGACACCCATTTACCTCATTTTGTGTCTCGCAAACCTTTCATTGCAGTGAAATGTTGCAGTGTGGCATGCTGGAGCGAGACCGACAGGCTCTGAAGAGACGGTCTGCTGTCCTGTGCAAACAGCTGGTTGTGGACGAGCTTCTCATACAGTCACTGCAGGCAGATGACATCCTAACTGAGAGCATGGCCGAGGCTATAATGGTATGTGGACACAGGAATTTTTACTCTAATAGGCTGTATATATGATGAATGATCAACACACAGTTCAGTTTTGTAACTTTTGTGAACTGCCCATCTGACCGGTCACAGTAACGGGCTTTGTTTTAAGATATCTCTGTAGAAATGGCAATAAAGGACTCTTAACTGATGTAGATGGTGCTGAAATATAAATAGATCCACACAGGTACATCTACACTTCCTGTGTGCTAGCATGGAGCAACAGGTTCAGGTAAAACCCTGGACTTCACACTTAATTGTTATTATAATATAACAGTATTGTAATTGATATATAACCTGCTCAGGAGTAGTTTTGTTTTACCCCATGATGAAAACATGTAATAACGCCTCCTGATAAGGAAAAGAAAGAGCAAATCAGTGCACCAACAGTGATATGATCTCTTTTCTCCTCATTCTCTCTCAGCTATAAGAGGTTACCTAACCCTTTTGAAAACTGCCAGGGGACTGGAATGCTTTGATATGCTTATAGCATCATTTTTCTTGAGTGCCGATGGGATGATGATGCTGGCTGTTTGCAAAAATTAGCAACTGGAAAAAATATACAGTCCTTCTAAGCACCATGTTAAAGTGGGCTTTGGATGAAAAATATGCCTTTTTTTAAAAACCACGGTTTGTATTAATAAAGGCACACGATTTCTGCCTCCACGTCTCAATGAGACATGTTTCTCTATTTGAAGTCCTTTGCTCTGAAACTAATGCCAAAAGTTACATTCATCTTCTTTGGCCTCTTTCTACTCTGTTCAGGTCTTTCTTTGCCAGCATTACAATGATCATCGCATCGCTTCAAGCTGTGTTTTTCTTTCTTGTTGCAGAGATGTAGGTCAAATTCTCTGTCACACTGTAGGACGATCATCCTAAATTTCTGACTGTGTCACAGATCCTCCCCTCACTAACTAAAGTCACAAGATCATGACAGTAGCAGAGTTTGATTTAGGAACATAGTTTTTAGGAACCATCAAAGATGGTGTTGGTCATCTAAACTATTATATACGCCAAAAGGCTGCTAAACAATGAGGTAAGGGAAGACATAATGAAATATTCAGAATTGCGCTTGTCTTTTAATTATTGGAAATGATATTGGTGTGCTTATTGATGTAAACATTCCCTTGATGAGCGGGCTTGTGCTTCCTGTATCAGAACCAACTTTTTGGTTTTCTGCTACTTTCTGGTGTGATCAGAAATTAAGATTTTTTTTTTTCAGAGAAATTGTGAAACATTTGTATTGTTAAAAAAAAAAGATAATCAAAAGTGCAACTAAAATCTGTCCGGCGCTCTTATTTTCCTCTCCTCCAGGCTGAGCAAACATCTCAGAAACGCAGCTGGCGTTTGTTGCTCCTCTTACCAAAACGAGGACCCAAAGCCTTCAGCAGTTTCTGCTCAGCGCTCCGAGAAACGGAGCAGCAGCACCTGTGCGACCTCCTCATACAGTCGCCTGAGAGAGATGTCAGGGAGACGCATGCAGATGTGAGTGGGCCTGTTGCTGCACATCTGCCTTCACCTCCTCACAGGACTCGTTGCTGCAGCATTCACAGCTGGTTGTTTTCATGATTCAGACTCTTTTTTGCTCACAGAGTATTCAGTCTGACAAAGAGCCAGAGGCAAAGACAGGGCAGATGGAGAGAACAGAAACAAAGAGAGAGGTGAGAGGAGCACCTAAAATCCTCAGTCAGGATAACTGCGAGTATTTATTTTATAAGGCCAAGATAAGAGGTGAGAAATGTTTGGGACAGTCTAATTCAGAAGGACTTTGCGTCCCTTTGGGATTTGTTGGCTAAATTAGATCTGCACAAAGCTCAAAAGAAGAGTCGATTAAGCCTCACTGACTCGGTCTGTTGCAGACACCACTGTTAGAGCTAGAGGAAAAATGTGAGGTGAGCAGCACCTCATCGCTCCCAGTCCCAGCCTCAGATAGATGCTGCACTTCCGAGTCATCACTCAGGGAGTCGGCCCCAGTCAGGGAGGAGGACAGGAACAAAGAAAGACGAAGGATCAAGACAAGAGGAAGTGATGAGCGGACTGATGTGAGAATTACAAAACACATGCATCTCCTATTACTCACCCTGAAGGCCTGCTGAGTTAGTCAAACAGCTGACAGGACATAATAATTGGTTTAGGATTACAGAGGTCATACTCGCATACCAAACAACTGTTGCTGCCACAGTAAATATCGGAATCCTTCCTTATCTGCCTGGTCGAATTATGGTCTGTAATGATTTGTGTCTGATGTAAAATTTCAGAGGAAAGCGGGGTCTTCTCTTCCACTTCCAATTCAGGAGGAACTTCCTGCCAAAAGAACAAGGACACATGGTACGTGGTAATGCTGCAGAGCCCATCTGCACTGCAGTTAAAATAGGTTTCTCTGTGTGCAAGACTGTTGTAGTTGTCTGTATTTGTTTCCCTGGAGACCCAAGGTGTTGTGTGGACAAAAGGGTTTACCCATCTGTCTGGTTTTACAGCAGTTGATTTAACACTTTAACAACTCAAAAGCTTTTTTTTTTTAGTCAGCAGCCACATGATCAATGCAGCGTTTTTATTATTTAGTCTGCCTATTGTCAATTTTTTTTTTTTTACTGGATTGTGGTTGTGTTAGCTACCTACAGGCGCCACACCCACACTGTGACGCAATCTCAGCCATGTCGTTCAAAGTGCTCTCAGGAGCCGATGTTTGCTGAGCTCAGAGCAGTTTAACATGTGACAGTCAGAGATTGCTGTTTTATTGGGTGCTTGTCTGTCTGCTTCAGAGTCTTTGGAGTTCAGCCTCGATGCCGACAGTCCCATCAACACTCCCGTTCTACCGTGCACTCCTGACTTCTATCGCGCTCACTGCCAGCAGGTAAACTGCCCCTCCTCAACAGCTTGGCTTTATCTGAAACCACTCAGAAGCTGGTGTGTTTTAAAGCTGGATCTGAATGTGAAAGAAGTTTACCGGCATATTTTGGACGCCACCATGTCACAATAAGCCCCTCTATCCCACATCTCCTGCTCCAGTCTTATAGAATGGGTTCCTCCCCTCGTGGATTTGCTCTGGTGATCAGTAATGTGAGCTTCGACTCCCATGCTGCTCCCGACCTTGACCCAAGGAAGGGCGGGGAGGTGGACGACGAGGTCCTCAGGAAGGTTTTCACAGAGCTAGACTACATGGTCAGCGTCCACAGAAACCTCACCGCTCAGGTAAGACCCATGTCATAAACACAGGAAAGGATGTTTTAAAGAAGAACAAGTTAATTCTAAACCTGAATAACGTGTTTGTTGGTTTAACTCGGTTTAACTTCTGCTTACGTGGGGAAAAAAAGACTTTAGATCAATGTAAAGCTGTATGAGAAACCTGCTCGGGTGTGTAGACTCTGCTGTGTACGTTTGTGCAGGACATGAGGACTTGCATCGAGAATTTCTGCAGGCGTCCAGAGCACAGCACAGTGGACAGCTGTGTGGTGTGTCTGCTTTCCCATGGGGTGGAGGGGGCAGTTTATGGCACAGATGGACAACTCCTGCAGGTGAGTTTTCCTTTTTTTTAACCTGCCATTCAGGGGGCATGTTTTTTTTGTTTTGTTTTGTTTTGTTTTTTTAGATATGTATTGTAGTAACATGTGCCACCCGATCACTTCCAGCTGGACTGGGTGTTTCAGTCCTTTGACAATGCGCATTGTCCGCTGCTGCAAAACAAACCGAAGATGTTCTTCGTTCAGGCCTGCAGAGGAGGTAAGAGTTGATGATGGCACTGCTAACAAGTCCAAGCATGTGTTTGGAATATTTGTGTTGAAACTTTTGACACATTATGGAAAAGCATAAGAGGCAGAGAGCAGACAGGTGACAGACTCCACGTCCACGAGGCCAGATGTTGTTTGCTGCCACCTCTCAGACCGGCGTGAGGGTAGCTGTCGATGGCAGTTTATCAGCCATCAATCTGCTTGACAGCTCCAGAAAGGTGTCACGCATCATTATTTTATAAAAGCGTTAGCAAAACAGCAGAAAAGTGAGCATGGCACACATGTGTTACTTACTATGGCCCCAGCAAATTATTGTCTGTGATTTAACTGAAGGCCTGAATGCGCACCTGATGATGCTCATGACAAATCCTCCGTCCGCTCTCGAGCAAATCTAATTACGCGCTACAATCCTTTACTCCACCACAGTTGTACCGCTGAGAGGCTATTAGCTCGGCTTTGCTACAGACACTAAAAATAACTTACACACATGGTTAAAATTTGTTAAGTTCACAACAAAATGAAAAGACATCAATATGACATCACTCAAAGAATAAGTCTAAATACAGATTTTGTTTTTGGTCTTTCACAGAGAGTCAAGACTGAGTCTGGACTCTCCACTGAACTCTCGCAGAGTTTGGTGGATATGAGGACAGTTTGGTTTAACTGGATCTGCTAAAAGCAGCTCTTTTGATGTGAGGGTCTAAATGGGGGCTTCTTCTGTCAGATGAGATGGACTGTGGAGTGGAGCAGATAGACGGCCCAGCAAGGACTTTATCACCGAGCTGCGAGCAGCGGGACGCTGGGAGGGAAGGACAGGGGGATGCAGACTCCGGACAGAGGGTGGACTTGGGGAGGCCCAGGATTAAACTACCACAGCGGTCGGACATGATCTGTGGCTTTGCATCTCTCAAAGGTCAGAGAATTAGTAAGTCTTTCTTTTTCCACTTTTGCAATTCAGGGGTTGATTTAATCGATTTATTCATGAAATGTAAAGTCATTTTAATCTAATGCAGTGTTAAAAGTTTGATTCAATATAAAGCTTTGACAATAAGGCAGACGAGATGAGGAGTTCTGGCCTGGCAGTTTCTTTCTTTTTATCTTCAGCATTAGCTAACAAGAGTCTAAACAGGTCAATACGAATTGAGAAAATGCGTGAGGCCTCCTCGGGTCTGTCTTAACTATAAGTCTGTGACTGATGTCACAGAGGTGACATTCCTTCAGTCTTCCTCAGTGTAATTAGATTTGCTCAAATTCTTCATACCGATGGGATCATAACCATGTTACCTGATCTTATAGACACTCAGTCCTGTGTGACATACTCTGCAAGAGACAGACATCAAACATATCGATTAGTTTCTGAGTCTGGATATCAGAGCACCACCTAACAAATCTGGTCCTATCTACATTCCTCTATGAAGCTCAGTACAACAGCAAGCACAGCAGCACTAGCAGAAAATCAGAGCTGGCTTTTAATTCTGCCCTTCGTCTATCCTGCCTCCCCATTGCCTTCTGCTAATGGGCGGGTGGTGCCGCTCACCTGTCCTCCAGCCAATCACTTCTGGACACACTTAAAGGTTCCCATTAGGAGTCGACCTGAACAGGGAGGTAGCCAGACAGCAGCCAGGCCAGCAAAAAAACACCAGCTTCTCAAAGGAAAACACAAAAAAAGTGAGAGAAAACCACTAGATGAAGGAAGTACAGACATGTTCCAGACTTTACTTTGAAAGAAACGGAAAGCTTTGCTGTTTCTTTTATGTTATCACTAAGGCTTTTTTTTTTTCTTTCTTTTCTTTTTTTAAGGCACAGCCGCCATGCGAAACACCAAGAGAGGCTCCTGGTTCATCCAGGAGCTGAACACAGCACTCCGCCTCCATGCCAGAGACACTCACCTTGCAGACATCCTGGTTCAGGTGAAAAACGTGTGCTTCACTTTTACACCCGGCGTTTATTCATGCAACTTTCTAAATAACTGAAAAAAAATCAGTAACCTTCCCACCGCTTTTCTCCATCTGCAGGTCAACAGACGTATCAAGGAGAGGGAGGGCTACGCCCCGGGCACCGCCCACCATCGCTGCAAGGAGATGTCCGAGTTCACCAGCTCACTCTGCAAAGACCTTTTCTTTTTCCCCAAGTACCAGTCCCAGTATTGACATGCAAAAGAGCACTTTAGATCACCACACACAGATCATTCCTCCCGTTAAAGCCTGTCAGCAGAGGCGCACACACTCAAACTGCCTCTCACTCACACATTCCCCCCCGTCACGCTTCACAAAGTTTTGCCCCACACGCACTTGCAGGATTCTTGAAAAACGTAAAGCAGCAAGCTTATTTTAATCTACATGTACTTGGAAATGAGTGTGGAGACAAACCCACTGTCTGTGTGTCCGTGTCTATGCCAGTTAGAGGGTTTATATGTTAATCCTTTTCAGTCAAACTGCACAGCTACTCTGAGGTTTCACAAATCTCTCTTTTTAAAAAAGTATTTTGTATACAGATCTATTTTTGTGCCTTAATTTTGTATGAAAATGTTTTTATAAGGATTTGCAAAGCCCTTGTTTTTATTTGTACATAAGGTGCCACCATTTCTTGTTCTTAGTGTACGGACAGGCAGGGGGCAGCACTGCAGAGACAGAGGCGTTTCGTCCTCTCATAATCCTCAGCATTTTTCCCCTGCTGCAGTTCAAAGTGATCCAGGTTGTCATGATCACAGAAAGCCATGGCATGAGTTACAGCATGGTGTAAACTCCTGATTTCCCCTCAATTGGCTATTTGAGAAGGGGAATACACCACTCACAGGGCAGCTTCATAAGGATGTCTAGAAGAAATTTAGTAATGTATTCCTATGCTTTTGCCAGCAAATATTTTTTAAAAAAAAAAAAAAAAAAAAGATTTAATGTAATGATGTGATTTACACCCACAGTAAATTTCTCCTATGTTAGGGTGGTGGGCTGGGATGTGGTGCTACAAGAGATGCTCTGGCCTTTATCAATAGTGTTTGTCTCTGGGGGAGTCGTGCATTTATCCCTGTTGTATTTTCTACTGTTCTTTATATAAAAAGGATTAAAGACAAGTCTTCCGTAAACAATATGCATTATCTTAAAGCAGCCTGTGCCATGTGAGGGTTATCTGTCAGACAGAGCTTATGAACATGGTTGAGCTTTCATAGTGTCCCCCCCCAAACATAGAGAAATGTATTTCTGAGGGTTGTGGGAACATTGAGGAGCCTCAGCTAGTCGGGGAGAGTGTGTTCGGTTACAACAGTGTCGTATGAAGGTAAACAGAGCAGGTGGTTGAAACAGTATTGGTTGTTATCCACTGTAAACGGACCAAAAGACACATACAGCTTTTATGTTTTGCATTTTAAACTGAGGCGATGTGATTTGAAGCAGAAAACAGGAGTCAAGTACAAGCGATGATTTTTTGTTGTCAAGCTCTGATGAGATGCCGTGTGTGGGGGGGGGCAAAGATATGTGGTTTCTGTCATCACCTATGACTGCCAAATGTTCCATACAATAAACAAGCTGTGGCTTTTTAAAAAAAAAAACAATAATTTCATAATTTTTTTGTATGTCTGTCTGTGTGTTTTGCACACGTGTGTGTATGAATCTTCCCAAGATTGTGCATTCAAGCTGCGTGAATGCTCCTGTGCATGCCACCCTGTATTTGATCCTCCTTGTTGCTGTGTTTGTGCGTGTTGTTGCCGGCGTGCGGCCCACCCTCCCCGTCCTCAGGTATAGTATAACTGGCTCCCCACTATTTCGCTGCGCTCAGGTCTCCATGCTGCGACTGGGATGTATGTATCTCTCACACTGCCTGATAATGTTCTTAGTGTATCAGATAGAGGCCCGGCCAGCTGTCCAATGTCATTCTCCTTTGACACACGCACACACACACACACACACACACACACACACACGGACAGGGGCGATCAGAGGAACACATTTCTCACTGGCCTCAGATGTAGCTGTGAGATTAGGATGCTATGTGCTTGTGTGTAGGCCACAAAGCAGGGCGGGGTTAAGGGGGATCTGTGTTTGTTATTGTGGCGGTTTTAATGGCCGCCTGTTTTCGTGGAGCTCAGTGGAGAAGAAAGCGGACGAGAAGCCATCTGACGAAGCAGAGACTTTTAGATTAACTTGTCGGACAGGGAAGTTTTCTCTGTCGTGGCACAGAGGCCCGCGAGCTTTTCAGCCTTTACTGCTCACCTCCCTCTCAGCGTTTGCCCCTCTGGATGTCCTAGGCCGCTGTAGCTTTGAGCAATATGGAGATCGCCTTACTGTTAAGGCATTTCGGGGTGTGTGTTTTTCTGCGAGAGGGTACGTTTAGGGATGAGAGAAGTGCCTCAGCATGTGAGTATTATGGGGGTTGCCTTGCAGCATTGGCCGATAAGGTGTGATCTGTCATAGGGGTGTCGTGTGCACCTTCCCGCTCACGTTGCAGGGGCAGCCCTCAGAGGGGTGCCCTTCCAACTCCCACCCCCACCACCACTGTCCAAACAAGAACAGGCCATCCAAGCACACACACACAAACACACACACACACACACACATTTAATGGGTGGCTGGCAGGGAGGGTGCTGCAAGAGCAACAAGTCCTGTGTGTGCGCGTGTGTGTGTGTGTGTGTTATTAGGTGTCTGCAGTTCTAATAAAGGAAAGCGCTGTGTCCTTCTCTGCCTCATCAGATGGCTTCGCTCTGCTTTGTCTGGCTGTGTGATTTCTGTCTGTGTGCGCGCTGGTCCTGCCGTGGAGCCGGATGGCTGGCAGCCTCTGGATCATCTGGAGAGGGAAAGGACCTCGTCTGTGCCTTTAGGATTTTTTTCCCCATTTCAACAAGTGTCGTTCAGCTCGAGTTTCCAGGAGGTTGGGAAACTTAAGAAGATGTTTGCGTGTTTATTTGACCTGGTGTAAAGAGTTTATATATAAGACGGAGGTTGTGCGTACGTGTGTGCATATGGTTTTGCCAACGCCGTTGGAAATGCTGGGGTGTCCAGCAAGGTTATTTTTGGATCAGTGACAGAGTGTCAATGGCTGCAGATGCGTCGCAAAGGAAGGCTCTGAGATACCAGCAGACCCTGGTAGGTCTTTGCCGCTCTACCTTTATCTGCTTCGCTGACCTGTCTCTCTTTCAAAGCACTGTTGACTTTCTTTTCTACCTCCACACCTCCTTCATCTCTCTACTTCACCTGTACCTGAATCTTCTCCCAACTCTCGCTCTCTGCCGTCGTCGTTTCAGTCCGGCTTTTGCTCGCCCTTCCTGGTCACTTTGTTTTTCTCTGCTGCATCCTTTCTCTTCATCCTGTGTCACGTCACACCAACTGCTCCTCATGCCCAGCTGTCAGATGGGTACTCTTCATCTCGGCTCTCTTCCTCTGCCGCTTGTGCTTCAGAAAGATTTCCGCAGCTCAATCTCGAATTTGGCCCTCGAACACATTAACAGTCAGCGGCGTTTAACACCGCCCACAACACCAAACACGATGTGAAGGCGATAAATGCAAACTCATGCTTACCAGTACACAGGGACTTTGTTTTTTGGATTGCAAACATTGAGCTTTTTGCTTCTTCTCTTACCTTTTTACTGTACTTTGCTTTATGGAACCTGTGTGCCTGCTCAAGCAGCAGCCGGGAAAAGCCATCCCTTTTTTTATGTTGGTGGTTAAAAATACCTGTCTATGGGGAACCTGAGCAGACAGGTTAGACATACATGCTGAAATGAAGTCATGCCGCTACGTCATCAGGAGAGATTCTCTCTGAAGGATTGTGACACGTCTTGTGTCGTTTTATAACTGACTTTCCAGTTTGTGTGTTTTTATCCAAACCCATTAGTACGACAGGCAGAAAACAGCTCGCACTCGTGTTTTCTGCAGAGCTGATTGTGTGTTATTAGACGTGATAATGAGCAATCAGGGCAGGAATAGCTCGGGGGTGGGGGGGAGCCCAATTGTTATTAACAAAGTGATATGCAATAAAATCAGTGTGCCAATAGTTCCTCTTCCCACTAGTCCTCTTCTTTGAGAAGAGGGACCAAGCACATATCTGAACTGTCAACAGTCTCCTGAAGGCCCCCAGGCCAGATATAATAAGAAATCCCAATCTAACTCTTTACAAGCTTAATATTTGCAAAGTCGCACATCTCTTAGGTGTTAAGGCTGCTGTGGCGTCTGTGTGCGCGAGACAGGAAATAGGAGCCTCAGAGGACTTTAGGAGTATATGTGTAGAGCTGTTAATAGATAGTCTTAATATAATTCATGTATTGATCAGGGGGAGGAAATGGCTTTCGCATTCACACCAGTGTGCGTGGCAGACACGGGATTTTTTTTTATTGTTCCCAGGGAGGCGTTAAAGGTGTGCTGAATTTAATTTGAGAAAAAGTTTAGTCATTCATAAACTATATTACCAGGTCAAGTGAGATAAGAGGCAGCAAAAATGGACTCTGTCTTAACACATATACAATAAGAAGAAGTGGGTCAACGTAAACCAGAGATAAAGACAACGTTATTAACAATTGGTACGGCACTTAAACAGCACATTTTTAGATGTTGCCCCACAGTGCCTGAGCAAAAACATTAATCTCGCTCAGCAGATTGTCAGGTGCACCCCTCTGACATCTGAGTACCCGAACACACTGAACGAGAAGCTTGTCTATCCGTTTTCTCTCTCTCCTCTTTGCACGGTCATGGTCAGAAAATATTTGGAATAAAATGCCAGGAATCTTCAGGCCTAAATTGTGACAGATTTTTCAGACAACAACGCTGACCGACTCCTGAACTTGGCTGACAGAGAATCTGCAGCGTGAGCAGAGCGACTGTCCCGTCGTCTGTGTGAATTCAGATAAGCTCATCCAAACAGTGCATTTGAATTTCTTTTGCTAAAGGGCCATTGACTTACAGTAATTGGAAGGAATTAGACAAAAATACATTTAAATCCTATATTTGGTAATTTATTTCATATCATTTTCACTTTCAAGAGTGAATTTACTGGAAGCTGAAGCTCACCTGTGCGCAGACAGGCTCAGCTGAAGCGGCGCTGAGTGTGATTCTCCTGGTAGTAACGTTTCCTCCTGCCTGAATGCAGCTGTAATGAGTCACAATAAACCTGCTGCTGGTAGTGTGTGAAAACTCAGCTCTTCCTTTTTATGTAGTGGCATCTTTTTTTCGACAGAGAACATCTGTTCAATCTTTGTATTTTTTTAAACTTGAAAACATTTAAAAAATGGAAATGTTTTTGAGAAAGTTTAAGCTCAGTTTAGTGTCCACTGAGCCTTAAATCATCAGATCAATGCGTGCTGAGCTTGTGCACTTGTGTTTGCCTCCAACTGACACAACTCTGTCGACCCTTGACCTTAACAAAAGGAAAGCTCTCCCCTTGAGGACTCGTGTGACTCGGACACACACTGTACAGATGGACAGTGAGAACGGGGAGCTTGGTGGGTTTCTGGAGTGCACACACACACACACACACACCTGCTCCAACAGGGCTGGTTGTGTCCGACGACTTTTATGAGTGATGTGGGTAAAAACCAGGTTGTGTGAGGAGACGGTGAAATAGATATCATAAGTCTCAAATGTTACAGGCTGCTAAAGTGGATCACGATCAACTGCCAAATGTGTCACGCTCTGGAATGATGGGGATGTAGACGATTAAGCCATTAAAGTTCATACCATATTGCTGTCACTGGCTGTTTTTCAGTTATAGACCTGGTTACAATGTAATAATAAAGCCATTAGCCAGGACATCAGATGCTTTGAGAGGAGGCGCGATGCCGTCAAGCCGAGTCAATAACTTGTCATTGTTTTGTGTAAAGGTTAAAGCGCTCCATCTGTCCGTACAGCAAACCTCCTGGGGGAAATGAGCCGAAAAAAGGGACAAACAGCGTTGAGAGAGAGAATGGGAGAAGTGTGTCACTGAACATTGGGTCACACTGCAGCTAAAATTATCGACGAGTAAGGTTTCACCTCAAGGGTGGGGGCTCGGATGGATGGGGACACGGGGTGGTGAGAGGGAAAGTTTGAGCAGGGCCGAAAGGTGAAAGGCTGCCAGGAGAGTTCACATGCAGGTTAGAACTTGGAAAGAAACTATAAGAAACTATTCATGGCATTCAAAAAGTCAGGTTTCAAGTGTACGGCACCTTAAAGAATTCTAAAGGCGGAAAACCATGAGTACATACTTAATCCTGTAAACTAAGATCGCCCATTGATTTATGTTTCCTTTGGAGTGCAGAAAGTCATTTAGGGCTGTTTTTTAGCTCAAGGCGGTTAATGTATGGAGGCTCTGTGATCATATTAATGTGGTTGGGGTTCAATTCTGGCTGGAGTCTACGGCCACTGAACCCAACAAAACCTTTAGCAAAAAAAACTGTCATTAAGTCCATGCTCAGGATGAATGAGGAATTGGTGTGTTACTTTAACCACTCACTGGCAGAAACTGTTTAAATCAGAATAAATAAATGTCTCATTTTTCACTTTATGATATTTCTGCCTCTGGAAATAAGTTTGTACATTTAAAAAAAACCTGATTATAATAAATACTCGATAATTCAAGTGTACTTCTAAGAAGTCAAATTGTAAAGGGCAGTCCTCAGGATACAACACACAGAGTAAGCCAAACTCAGAGCCGTGTACATCAATCCACATCCCCTCTTATCAAATGCTCTCCAATAAATGGATAAAATGGCACAATACTCAGAACGAATGTTCCATTCCATTCCATTTTTCACAATGAAAGCAGTAAGAAGATTAAAGAGTTTATTGAGCCAGTCTGCAGGAAAGAAACATTTTTTTAAATTGACTCTTGTGAGATTTATTGTATTTGCTGCAAGGAACCCAAGACTCCATCCATTCTTTTATTTATTGCTCTGCTTATTATAGTTATTTGTTCCTGGCTTGTTTTCGGAAGTGGCCTGCATGTTATCCGAGGCTTCCTGAAATGAAAAGAAATGAAAGACATCTTGAAATGTGCGTTGACACACTGAAAAAATTGGTCCATATTGTAACTCAAACACCACACCCCAACAACTTAAATAAGGAGCTTAGATTCTCTATCCTGACTGAGGCCTTCTTTTAAACAAACCTACATTATACTCTATATATTTATCACTGTATTCAGAAGAAAGATGGAAATGGACAATAATCCAGTAGAGTAATCTTCTACTTGGAATAAGACAAGTTGCCTCATCCCTCAAAACTTTTATAGGATATCAGTCAAATGGGAGGTGGTAATGCTCTTACCAGTTGTAGCTGTTCGCTGATGTAAGTTATTTTAGTTTGTTTTAACTTTGTGTTGTGGAAAAGTTAGATAAACAGTCTTTCATAAAGGTTCGTATCATCATTATTTCTTTCAGTTATTGCTATCATTACTATAAAGATAAGGAAAAGAAAAAAGCTACAAGAGATAGCAAAGTGATACAATAATGCTATCGTTAAGAGATAAGTGGTTGATACAAAGGCTTAGTTTTATTCAGTCAGCAGGTATTATTTTCATACCTGAGCTTTCTTCCCTCCTGCCTGGTACCATTCATGATCCCGCCACAGGACTCTGCCGGTTCAGCCTCCCGACTGAATTAAGAGCTGCTGACAATTTATCGTCAACCCAAGTGCCTGTATTAACCTGTGGTGTGTGTGTGTGTGTGTGTGTGTGCGTGCGTGTGTGTATGTGTGTGTGTGTGTGTGTGTGCACGCGTAAAGTTCTGTCAGTCACTGAGGTCTGTACTGTATGGGAGCAGGTAGGGTCTGTGACTGTCATACTTGCATAACAGGAAAGGACAGGTGTAAGACACAGACATAAAGAGAGGGAATTACTGTACTGTTGGAGTGGAGCAAGAAAGTGACTCACTGAAGGAACAGGCTGAAAAGATGAGGGAACGCATCAACACTTTTGAGACATTTCTGAATTCTGATCAGTTTCTGGTAAGAGCCACCATTTGGTGGCTTATTGTCTTCTAAATATTGGAAACATTTAGTTCCTTAAGTGGAAAAAGACATTTCGTAGGCAATTTTGTAAATCTGATGATGATGATTATTATTATTGTTATCATTAGTGTTGTTGTTGTTGTTTGTATGGGGGAACACAGAGGGAATTATTTTTCTAGAGAATTCTAATCATGGCGAACATGGAAAAACTCATTCAAATTTAACAAAAGAAAAGAAGAATTTTGTCATATTTTGCCAGGAAATGGATAGTAAAATGTAAGCATTTTTAGGAGTTCCCTTAGCTCCCATCTTGGTTTTGGTCATATCTGAGTCAACCTTAAATAAATATTCCATGAACTTGGCTGAGGGTGGTTGAGTTTTCTTTTATTGCTGAAAACGACAGAAGACTCCTATAAAAGGCATGATTTTGTTTGTTTTTTATCTCTGCGCTGCTTCAGCTTGACTTAATTAGAACGTGACAGCTTGAACAGCGTTGGGATGAGATGTGGAATTGTTATTATGCTGGTTAATTAGTGTTTGCATATGGAGACGCTCTCCTGTGGAATTTGTGTGCGCTGGTTGCTCTGATGTGCACGTGTGCTTGTGTGTGTGTGTGTGTACACGCGCGTTTGCAGTAGGGGTTAATCTCCTGATCTGTCCATCAGTGAGTGGGTCAGATTTGATCATTAACCTTGAGCCACAGGACAGGACTTTACTGTTGTAAAACTCCAACACACACACATTTTCATTTGGCAAACACATTAACACAAACTTTGTCCGCTCGGCGACCCACACAAACACTCAGCCGTGTATGAATATGCAGCTCTCCTTCGAAAGGGATTCAGGAATGTGCTGTTATTTTTTTTAATTAACTCTCAATGTCAGGGTGCCCTCAAACCTCTGAATTTATTAGCAGTCGCAGTGGCTGAAGCTCTCTGCTCTCCTGCTCTCTGCAAATCGCTTCTGCTTTTGTTTATTCTCAGGATTTCTGAAGCTTCTTGTCTTTCACAGGGTGTATGGCCCGATCAAAATATGGATGAGTGAGTGATCTACAGATCTACGATTATGTTCACAGCTCCTGACTGCTAACCGGCACAATTTACCCACCCCATAATTTATCCACCCCATAATTTACCTTTTACTCCTAACAAAACCCAAGGAGGGATGGCTTACAATTTTCCATTTTCCTCCACCCGTGAGACTGGCAATAAGCACAACCAAAGAAGCTTGGGTTCTTACAAGCGTGCTCTCTAGAAGCTAGTAATGAGAGGTACCAGTGTCGGAGCTGTGCAGTAACGCCTGGCTACTTTCATGTCTCCACAGAGAGATAAAAGGGAGAAAAGTGGTGGGAAGTAATAAGAGCTACCAGAAAGGGGGTTCTATTGAATTTAGAAGAGTGTGTCGTAGTATAGGTGGAAGATAATTGAGAAGTGCATGCTTTATATCTTTTAGTTATGGATGATGAGTGCAAAAGTCAGCTCATATTGAGGGGGGCAAAAACAACAACAGCAACAATGTTCAAAGCGTGAGAAAGTTTAGGAAAGGCCAGCCGCTGGACTAAGTTCAGGGCCTCTGTGCTTGAGTGTACAGTGGGCATACAAGGTTGCATGGTGACAAAGTGTATACACAGGGCTGACAGATAGAAAAAGCAAAGTCATCTGACGTGGATAAATCGCAGCTCCCAGTGGGCTTCTCACGCTGTTACTCGCTGTTACTGAAATATCACATGAATGCAAGTGGTTCATCACGTCTAAACCATTATGTTTCCAGTCAGTCTATATATGAAAATACATTTGTAAGACTTTTGTTGGTCTAAACGTCCTCATGGTGAGAATAAAGGTTGTCAAGTTTACGCTGTGACAAATTTAGAAATGCGGTCTTATCAGAACTCCAAAGACTCCGTGCATAAAGTCAATTGAGCAAATATAAAGCTTTGGTGCTGTAGTTGTATTTTGGGCAATTTAGGATTTGGAGGCAGAGAAACTATAACTGGAGTTTATCCCTTACTTTATTAATCCCGCACAATCCTAATACTGATTCCTGTGACATCTGACTAACGTCAGGTGCCATTTCCTTTTTGACAGGTTTGAGAGCATGACAGGACAGACAGTTTCTTCTGTTTAAGAAGCACCAACAATTATACTGTACTCTTCCTGTTTGGGTCATGCTTCAGTTTAAATATTTGAAACTTATTCTTGATAAAAACACTGACGGTGTCTTAGTGGAGAAGAAGCCAAATGCAACATCGGTCAATGTTGGACTACCTCTTGATTCTGTAATACAGGTAGGTTGTGAGAATTCCACAGATACAGAGGTTCAATATCTGACTGTAATGGTCCACTGCAGAAGAAATCTTGTATGTAACAGCGGACATAAGCGCAACGGAGAAGGAGGGATGCTGCTGATCAGCAGTGAGAGGAAAACTTAACAGGAATAGATAGATGTCATCGTTTGAGCCCTGAATGAGGGTGCGGAAGGTAAAAATGTTCTATCTGTGTGAACTGTTCAGATGTTCCTGCTGTTCGGGCCCTGGTTTTGATGGCGCCTGGCGCCGGCAGCTGTTTGATGATGTTGATGGATTAGTGCTCTGGTGTTAATGTGTAGTGCAGCAGGGTCAGCGGGGCTGAGATTGTCTGCAGCGGTGGAGAAGGGACAGAACAGAGACAGAGCTGCTGCCACATCATGTTAAAGACAGCTGATGAAGAGCAGGTAAAGACATGAGGACCAAAGGCTCCATCTGGTCAGGGGGTGACTTAATTATTTTTTATGCTAATTTATTCTAGATAAGACAAATACAAGGACAATCCAGGACTGGTTTAAAAGCAAAATGAGAAGAGAATGACATAAATGGGCTTTAATATGGGTTATTGGCTTTCAAATCAAGATTTTTCAGGCTCACCCTTTTTAACGATTACATTTAAGGTGGCAAAATCTTTAGTTAAACTAGATGAAAATTCATTTGAAAAAATACAGTTGTTTAATGTTTTTACTATGTTCTTATTATATTACATATGTATTATTTCTATCATAAAATGCAGGGGGAAATGACTACAAACAACAGATTTGCATTAGAGTGATGGACAAAAACGGAGGCAGATGAAAAGTCTGTAAACCTTCTTATCTTTAGAGACCTTAAGAGGAAATGACATTTTTTTCAGAAAATGTATCTCTAAAGCTATAAAATACAGATTTTTGTCTCAAGTTGGACTTATTTTGTGTAGCCTGAAGAAAGGACTTATCACTCTTTTTGTCATGACATCACTGCTCGGCTCAACTCTTCAGACAAAGCTCTAATTTAAACATAGTGCCTGGAAGCACATGTGGATTTAAATCCAACCAGAAAGCTATGACATATGCCCAAATTTGGGTGATTGTATTATACACTGCATATGTTAAGTATATGCTGTGCATGTTTGCATGTGTACATGAAAATCAAGCATTTCTTACTAATTTCAAATTGTGATTTCTGATATCCTCGAGGTGAAGTAAATAAGTCATTCTTTGAACTGTTCTTCAATGTTTTGGCACAAAACGGAAACAAAATACATCATTTCAGGATGATATGTAGAAACCATGTGAAACTGGAGCAGTGATTTGCATCTCTTTGTGCCTCTTGGTGTTTTGCGTTTAGTTTAGCCCTTTTGAGGGTGAATGACTAATACACTGCTGGCACTTTGACATTGTTCTGAATAACAGTTTGTGGTTCCTAGTGTTTAACTCGATTTAAAATAACCCACCAGACGATTTAGAGGCATCAAAGGTTTTCAAAAGCCTCCAGCAGCAACGTCGTGGCCGCCTGCTATGCAGCACATTCATGTATTAATTATAAACTTCTATATTAGTCCCTGTCATGTGGTCATGTTGAGTCATGGATAACAATGGACCAGTTGTGAGGAGCTGTTTTTTGTGCCGTCAGACTGAGGAAAACCTCCCTAAAACATAAGCCGGGCCAGTCTGTAAATGCTGAAGCGACTTTGCAGCAGATGTGGTTGCGGATCGCTGCTGCTCCTTTATTTCATGAGTTCAGGAGATAATTATGTGCTGGTATCCGAGCCTTCATCATGCAGGGCCTCCTGGTTGGATGTGCCAGCTCTCCTTTCCCGTGTGAACATGAGACTGAAATGTGTGGCAGCCACCTCCTCTTATGATTTAGTTTGTGTACTGGGATGCATGTGATCTGCGGGTCTCAGTTGCACCTCGTAGCTGCTCTGGGAATCTGCAGTCTTTTACAGCTTCGATGCTTTTAAAGAGAACAGTGCAAACTGATCACGAGGTGTCGCGTTTACCGAGCGTTTGTGTGTTTGGCAGCGTGTGCGCGTGTTTGTGCGACTGTAGGTGTCACGCGAACACGGAAGGGGAAGACGTGGAATGTCCCCCTTCTCCAGGATCTCCTCCTCTGGCTCTTTACCACCCTCTTCCACCTCTCGGGGAGGGGTTTTTCCGTTCTCTATGCCCGTTTTGTCTATTTCTGTCTCTCGGGTATTCAGGTTGGTGTGTATCTCTTACACACACGCCGCACATTCCTATATCTTTCTTGTTATCTCAAGACTCAGGAACTAGTTTTATCCCCTGGCCAAGTCTTGGTTGTCAAATGTATTTCTACAGCTTGTCCCTCTCTGCCTTGTCATTTCTTAATTCTCATCAGTCTGGCTTCTTATTTTGCTTCATTTCTTGACGTGGTGAGCTTTGTTTCTTAGTGATGGCCAGTATTTCCCCCTGTACAGCTGTACGGAGAGTACAGGGAGCAACTGGGAAACTTTGCCAGACGGGAGGCTGCCCGTCTGCTGACAGAGAGACAATGCAGAAAGCAAGCGGGGGACAGCACGCCGGGCCGCAGAGGCCACAGCCGGCGGCATCATCATCATCAGGGGGTGACCCTGGAGTCACATCAAAGTCATACCTCTTCCATAAAGAAGCCTCGTCCCTACTCCAAATGCCAAGGTGAGCAGAACCAGAGAATCCGTCAGATTAGAGACAGAACGTTCATATATCAGATACACACATCCGATCGCCTCAGCTCCGGGATGCTTTGCATGGTGGGATTTTACATGCAACATGATGAGCTCATGAATTATGATACAGTGTTTTAACACCACCAGGAATCAGGGCAGTAAAATCTTAAGCTTACTAAGATTAAGAGTACTCAAGATCCTCTTCACATGCTGTATCCGCAGGTCATTTTATTTATTGAGATGCCCATCTTGCACTTTTTTAAGATATTTTTATCACTCACCCCAATGAGGACTGAAAACAGTTTTCATAGCTTTTTCCCTTATCTGAAGTTACTGCCTAATAATTCCTTCACACAACCAGTCACATTCACCCATTACTACACCTGTAGTCCATGTTGTCTATAGTTTTGTTTGTTTTTTTATTTGAAGAAATAAAAGAAAGTCAGTCTGTCACATTTACACACCAATCAATGCATGAGAGGTTGTGTCAGCTCCAGCGTTTTGTACGTGCATTTTTGAATCTGTGGCCTTGGATGGTCAGGGATCGAACCACCAATTTGCTCAACTGTCAGGAAAAAACCTTGAAAGGTGAAAACAGTAAGAAAATTGTCTGAAGGAGTAAGAAAAAATCCAGTGAACATCGACACTGCCAAATGTGTGTTTGTTTGAGCTCCGTGTCACAGGGGACCTTTAGTGACTGATGTTTTTTATTCTTGTGAAAATGATTCTTTTCTTGATGACCAACATTATGTATGTCATTCCTTAAACATCCTACCCATTCAGTAATTTATTTTTGTTCAAAATGTTAAGCTTACCAACAATCGATTTTAGCAGAAAATGAAATGACACCTGCTATGTTTTAGAGGAACTCTATTGCAATGCATTATGGAAGACGGAAGATCAGAATCAGAATACTTTATTAGTCCCTTTTTAAGACTTATTATTATTATTAGAGATGTATCAGGATGTTTACCCTCACTGCTTTGATACAGATTATTTTATAGTGCCTCAGTCTCATTCAGGGGGATTATTATTTAAATTTTGTTACATTTTAGCTGTAATAAATTTTTCCCTTCATCTTTCATTTAGAGATTCATGTCTGACAATATATTTAGTTAAATAAATTCTTAGTATCTGGTCAGATGCAAAAATAAAATTGATCATTGATCGTGACTGAATCCCTCTTGGGGTTTGTTACAATAGCCGACCTTCAAAAATAAACGAAGAGATAAATACGCTCAAAGTGAGTTATTAGTTTTATCTCTCTGACCCAGATTGTTTGGCTCGTGTACGGCGGTACATTGTGACAAAGTTGGGGGAGGACTGGATTTTTTTGGTTCTGCTGGGGCTGACCATGGCTCTGGTCAGCTGGAGTATGGACTACGCCAGTGCCAAGAGCCTACAAGGTAATTTTGGAAATTAGATACCACTGTTGCCAAATTAGAAGTTTGTTGACACAAGAATTTAATGTCTGTTTTTGTTCACAGTCTCAGTTCTCCATTTCTGATATATTTCTGTTTTTTTTTAGCTTACAAATGGATTTATGTGGAGCTTAAGGACAAGGTTCTACTCCAGTACCTGGCCTGGGTCACATATCCTATGATCCTCGTTGTGTTCGCCTCGCTCTTTTGTCATCTTGTTTCCCCGCAGGCCATCGGTTAGCCTTCCAACTTTTCTCCTGTTGTTATCATACTGTCACCATTTGTTAACATTAAAACATTTTGCCATTAAACTGGGGACAACGTGTCTTTTTCCAGATAATTCATCCTCTGTCTTTTTTCTCACTTTTGACAGGTTCTGGAATCCCAGAGCTGAAAACCATCCTCAGAGGTGTAGTCCTAAAGGAGTATCTGACCCTCAAAGCTTTCGTAGCTAAAGTCGTTGGTCTGACTGCTGGCCTGGGCAGTGGGATGCCAGTGGGCAAAGAGGTATACATGCAATTAAAAATTTTTCCTATCCATCTTGCACCATCACATCCATTCGAATGTTATCACCACCATCTTTGGGTCATTTTGCTCTCCATCACTCTGTCTGCTCTTTTGTCCGAGCTTGTGGTGTAATAAATCATTTTCTGTCATGTTTTTCCTCCATACCCCCACATACAGTCCAGCAAAGGGGGTACATTAATTTTTTCCATTACAGTAGCAGGGCAACTGTCACATCCAGCAATTACTCTGTGATTTATCTGTTCTGAAGCAACGTGGCCCACTTTTACACTCTTTGTTTTACAGTATGGCATGTCTGTATGAAAAACATTACAGCTTATCAGTGTCTGTAATATCCTCCCATCACCTCCAGGGTCCTTTTGTCCACATTGCCAGCATCTGTGCAGCAGTGCTGAGTCGGTTCATGTCAATCTTCTCTGGAGTCTACGAGGTAAGCCGAAGCCTTGACCAGAGCAGTGCATTTTTCTAATGACTCTCATGTCTTTAGTGGCAGCAGTGAAAACCCTAACGCAGTTTTTCTGATATGAGCTGCTTTGTTGTTGTCTTTGCTGTAGTTTCAGGGTTCCCGCTGGCATTAAAAGTCTTTTAAGCTAGTTTGAGTAAAAAGTTGTCTGATTTGCATAACCGTACTATGGAGTTATAGTTCCACTGTCATATATGCCAATAATCACACAATATCAAATGAAGACTATGACACTGGACTTTAGTCTTACTATATGAAATGGAGTACAATGTTTAAAGAGCATTTCAGGTTCTTGGACAGCACCAAACATGACACAAACATTTCTCGAAGACAGTGAACATTTCAGCTGATTGAAACAAACAGGTTAGCATGCCAATGTTAGCAGAAAGCTCCACTATTCATCACTACAGAGCGACTGTAGAATTACATGTTCATCCTCTCATCGTTACCTTCTGACTTGGTTTCGTACTGAATAACAAACTAGATTTTCTTGGATTTCTGAGACCCAAAGCGTTTTTAATGCCAAATAAAAAGGGGAACTCTGCGTTTGGTCCCCGTCTCTCTCCTGCACAGCTCACATCCTCCCCTCCCCTCCCCAGTCTCCTGGTGTATATCTCCCCATCGCATCGTGTCTGTGTTAGTTTCTCCCTGTATTCATATTGTGACTTATATACTTGGCATGTGTATTAACATTCACCTCCCATGTCCCTGTCACCCTGTTTTTCCGCCCCCCCCCCACTCCTCCCATTTGACGTCCATTACTCATCCCTGCTTATCTGTGTCCCCCTCTCCATCCTCACCTTGTACCCTCAACCCCAGAATGGCACCCATAACCAGGACCTGTTGGTGTGTGCGTGTGCTGTGGGAGTGGCCACGTGTTTTGCTGCTCCTATAGGAGGCAAGTCCTGCTAAGCTTGAACAGACACAGGTCTCCGGTCAGCTTAAAACAGACTGTAGACCACTACGCAGCGTAATAAATCATACATAACATGGAATAAATGCATGCAGATCACTGCACCTTGAATTATGGGATCTTAGAGGCAAATATCCTGTTAAATGCCACCTATTCTCTTATGCTGTTGACCAGTTCCCCAATGTTGGACAACAGCTATAAATTTATGGTCAAATCTCAAACCCGATCCCACGGAGCAGAGGTGGGCAACTCCAGGCGTCGATGGGCCGCAGTCCCGGAGGTTTTAGAGGTTTCCCTGTGTCTACACACCTAATTCACATCAACACAACATTAGCAGTCCTGTGCAGAGCCCAACAATCTTTAGAAGAGATCCATTTTATCCGAATCAGGTGTGAAGAAACCCTGCAGGACAGTGGTTGTCGAGGCCTTGAGTTGCCCACGCCAGCCCCGCAGTGTAAACAAAACACCACGCTAGTGTTCAGAAGCAAGGACAGCTTTTTATTTATTTATTTATTTACTGACATGAGATTAAAATAGAGAACAATGTGTGTAAATGCTTAACACAAACAGACCAAAGGAAAATAAGTCCAAATCAAAGTGCAAAAAAAGGACATATTTTTAGGGACTGGCACAATCATTCTTCTCTGGTCGTTGGTTTTTGAAGGCAAATGCGAACATATTAAAGAATGCACAAACAAGTTTTGTTGAAGCAGACCCCCACTTTGACAATATGTTACAGCTTGTCAGTATCCCAGAATCTTCGTGAGGTTTCCAGCAACTGGAAAGGTGAATTTTATTTGAGTTTTTTGGTCCTCTAAAGTTGATTTGATTAGTTAAAGAACGAAAACACACATTGTAACTCATCTTAAAACCGCACACTGATTCCTGTAATTCAAGGACTGCAGTGATCAAAGTGTTTGATGTCTCCTTCCCTCAGTTTACACTGATATGTCTCCATGTATGAAGATGATGTGAATGTTTGGTTTGTATTGGCGTGTGCATCCTCTGCTTTATATCTTCTTATATTGATGTCTTCTGGTGGCTTTTTATCCCACTCCATTAAGCATTATTTATTCACTTTAATCCATTTTGCGTCCTCACTGTCAATTCTTCCCCCTTTTGGTTTCCCCACCCTGTCCCTCCACCTTGATCTTTCATTCCCTCTTTCTCCAACCCCTTCTCCTGGTCTTGTTCCTTCCCCTCATCCTCACTTTCCGTTCATCCCTCCATTTCTGTCTCACCCCTTCACCTGCCCCCTGTTTTTCCTCTTCCTCTCTGTTTTCTGTGCCAGTAGAACCCTTATGGTTACACAGACATACTGACTGTTGGCTGTGCCGTGGGGGTGGGATGCTGTTTCGGCACTCCACTTGGAGGTACTGTACAACTTGCACGTTGCCCGTCTTCCAAACACTCTCTTGTACTGGATCAACACTGCCATTGCTTTTTATTCTTTAATTTTTTAGGTCCACCTAACATTTGGATAAAAACTTTCAATTCTGAACTTGTATGGGAGTGTTAACAATTCTCCATTCATCGGCTACATTTAGGCTGTCAGTTTTAAAAAAAAATATTGTTAATGTTTAGTTATCAAGAATGTAATTCAAAGTTAAAACCTTGACATGTCAGAAAAGGATTTAGAACTGAAAACATAACTTGAACGCTAGAGAGAAGAAAGTCAGATGATTCTTTATCCCTTTCACCCAGCTGACCCCAGTCTCACTGGATTTACACCCCAAATTTATGGGTTTCTGCACTTCTCCTTAAACCCAAGAGGTGTTTGAAGTCAGTGGATTAAAAGTCACCAAATCGCAACTTTTATCTTCATAATGCAATCACAGCACGGTGACAGGATTTTTTTTTTTAAAGTTCATGTTTCACACAGGCCTCTTCAGATTTGTTCTCCCACAGAGACCAAAAGCTTTTGCCAATTGGCCAATTTGCATAATACAGAAACAGTTCTACTCATCTGCTGCACTGTAATGATGAGTACGATTAAAGAGACACAGCCCAACGGCAACAACACAAAAGATCAGCATTTCAACCCCAACAAATCACTCTCTGTGGCATAAGTGAAATAACAAGTCCAGACTATTTTACTTGAATTGTTTTGTTTTTAGCGTCCTGTAATTAGAGGTGCTGCATACCCTATTTAGATTTGAACATGTGTTGCCATTGTTTGGCACAATTTTGAATTTGGGCTGATTGCAAGAACTTTCATGAGGTCAACTTCCACCAAACCCTGAATGTTTTTCTCAGAGTAACAACTCAGTTTATGAAAAATATTTTGCTTAATATTGCAAAAAAAGAAAAACTTTGTTTCCCTCTGTCATCCTCAGATCTAATCTTGTGCAAAAGCAAACAGAAACGTACATCATTATTTACTGGATTCCATTTTTGCACTTCTTCAGTATTGTTTTTGTGACTGTGGTTGCAGGTTAAAATTTTTTGTCAAGCTGCAGAGTGAAATATGTTTGGTCATATGTCTTCCTGAAGGGTGATCTGCATATCTAAAATGCTTCAGATTTTTCACAGTACTCAGGTCACAAAATGTCTTTAAGTGTATCTTCATCCTCGTCTCCTACCAGCTGTTTTTACTTAGTTCAGAATCATTTTCTGACTAGCCTGATATTTATTTCACAGCTTCACATTCTGATTATGCAGGTGTGTGTGTGTGTGTGTTAGAGAGAGAAAGACAACGTTGTTTACTTGTGTTTGAGTGTGTGTGTTCTCCCTGTGGTTCTCCTGTTGTGTATAATTACACCCTCAGCTTCAAAGGTTTTTGGACTCATTCAGCTTTCTTAACTAATCTCTGCCCTCTTTCACCTTCCCCTCCCTCTACTCCCTGTCCATCCTCATTTTTCTTCCTCACTGTAATCCCTGCTCTCCCTCTGTCTTTCCTCTCCTCCCTTCTCCTCGTTTTCCACCATCACCAGGGGTGCTGTTCAGTATTGAGGTCACGTCTACCTACTTTGCTGTGAGGAATTACTGGCGGGGCTACTTTGCTGCCACATTCAGCGCCTTCATATTCAGGGTGCTCTCTGTTTGGAATAAGGATGCTGGTGAGAAGCACATTTAACGTACACACACAAGCTGCCGAAGACAGCTGAGCTTGCATTTCATTAAAAACAGCTGAACATGAGGGCAAAGTAATATTAGCTTCTTTAGATAAACCCGAAATGTTTTAAGTCATCATTCAGCAGCGTTGCGCAGAGCACTTTATAGTCATATTACCCAAATACTCCAGAATATACAATTTAAAAAGATCATCTCCATTTCACATAAACTCAATTTCAGAATATGAGGAGGAAGAGAAGAACCTTGCTTTACTGATTTACTTTTATATTCGCCCACCATCTACAATTTAGATTCAAACCCCCTTTATATACATAGATTTTTCTGCTGAGTGTTTTTGGTTGCTGGCAATTTGATTTTGACACACAGCAAACACCTAAATATTAATGCTGACTAAGCCTCCCACCACCAGCAGAACTGTGAATACATCCTGTCACACTGCAACCTTCTAACATCCTGGAACCCAACCCCCAAACTTCCACAGGATGCGTCACAAAAGGCCTCATCCAAACAGCGGCATGTCATGAGCCAGGAGATATTTTCACACCCACTGTTACTCATCTCGACTCTATTCTAATCTTCATTCCTGCAAACATTTTTTGTAGTTTTGTTTTGAACAAAATTCTGCCTGTTGTAGATATAAAATTTTACATAGCATCCAAACCCGGATTATACAGGGGAAAATAAGTAAAACTGAAATATACAGCAGAGAAACAAGAGACAAAGAAAGATAAGCATAATGTTGCTATGTTTGATATTAATAAGTACAACTTATTTTTTCTCCTCCTCTCTCAGTCACGATCACAGCTCTGTTCAAGACTAACTTCCGGATGGATTTCCCCTTTGACCTGCAGGAGCTGCCTGCATTTGCAGTAATAGGGTGAGAGTGCATGTGTGAGTCTGCTGGCTCCTTTGGCTGCTTCGAAATGAAATGGAACATTTTATTTACCCTTAAATCAGATATGGCCTGTGGTCTCTGTGAACTCCTGAAACCGGCTTCACTCGTCTTTTAGGATCTCGTGCGGCTTCCTGGGAGCGTTCTTTGTTTACCTGAACAGGCAGGTAGTTCTCTTCATGAGAAGACCAACGGCTCTGACACGTTTTCTAACCAAACAGTAAGACGCCGGCACACACCCACACACACTGAAACACACCCCCTCGCTGTTGCTTTGGATTAACGGGATGCTCACTTCTCGAACGGCTGTGGTTCTGGTGGCTGATACCGTGCACTGGAACTGAAACCATTTGTGCATTCACATTCAATTCCTTTAATGTTTCTTAGCTACACTCTTCAAACTCATCAGTCTCACAACACTGGCCAGAACAGTAGCAGAGCTTTAATAACTTTTCAGGCAGCTATTCACTCAAATGGGGGGGAGGGGATCCCATCCTCTGAGACTCAACAGTCAGGGAACATTAGTTTTTACCATTTGGACAAGGAGAGCTGCAGCACTAAGAGAGCTATACAATCAGCACAGGCTCACACTCAGACACTTATTTATATGGCAACAAATGCTGTAGATGTCTGAGAGAGTCCTTTTCCTCCTAATGTGTTGGTGACTGTGTTTGTGTGCTCGGCCAGTCGTTTGATCTATCCAGGCGCAGTGACACTCATCATCGCCACCTTCACATTTCCTCCCGGTTTTGGGCAGTTTATGGCCGCAGAGGTGAGACTGAATCGATCTCATGCTCTCTGATTTCTTTCTCATGTGTGTTCTTTGCTATTTCTGGAGGTTTGTGGGGGGAAAAAGACAAAGTCACTGAGGCATGACTGCATGCATGGATCAGTGACATACTTTGGAGCAGAAAAAAGGCCATGATAATTGGAATTTTATCAGCAACTTAAAAGTAAACTTTAATTTTTTTTAACCAAAAATTCCATTTCACAGGTGCAGGGAAGTTCTTTAAAATGTATGGTAAAGGCTTTTTTTGGGCTGCATAAGGAACTGCATGACATTTTCAAATATAGCACATTACTGTATGTTTAGCGGAGCAGAAAAACCAGCCGGAGGCAGAGTTTTGGTCATCCGCTCTCAGGTCAACTGTATGTGGAGCCCAGTGTGCCCACAGTGGTTTGTCATGGAAAGTAACCGCTTTTTTTGACAGGCATGCAAACATTCTTTCAGGTTCTGTTGCATAGGCTCAGTTACCCTTTTCAAACTAAACATAGACAGTGTGACTGGACTGCATTTCTTCATCACCCGAGAGGACTTAGTCATTAAATGGACCACGTGCGAGAGGGCTATCTTTTCAGTTGCGTAATGTTTTGCTGTAAGGACCATTTATTTGAATTAATGTGGTGCGCATTTCCACTTGTAGGCTAAAAAGCCAATTTTTTTTGTTTTAGTTTAGTTTTGTTCAAATTCACTCTGGAGTTTCCAGCTCTATCTGAATTATTACAGAGTCTGAATCAGACTCACAGAATAATGTAGAAAAGGTACATTTCATTGTATTTTTTTCTCCTGGCTCCTGATGGCATTGATGATAAAGTTTAAATCATAATGAACAGAATAAAAAAGGCCACAACATCAAAATATTCATATCTGATAGCTTGCACATAGTTCTGTGAAACAGTTGGACGTGTGGAATCTGAAGCTTGTTGCTCAGATTTGAAAATAGACAAGATCTCATCAGATTTGGATCGCTGCTGCTGTTTTTGCACTGCAAACCTTCTTTGAATTCAGGACGTTTATATATTTACTGTAATGCATGGAAATGTACTTGTATTTTGCTGTTTTTCTTCCAGTCTTTGGAATGTACAGTATATGTGGATTCAACAGGATTGAATCTATTTAGTTTTCCTAAATTTTCCTGAATCCGTCTTCCTGTCCTAACAAAGAAAATGTATCATTTACACGTGATAATTCAGTTTTACTGTGTGTGTGTTTGTTTCCTCTGGCAGCTGATGCCCAGAGAGTGTATCAATTCCCTCTTCGATAATTTCACCTGGACTAAAATCTCAGGCTACCCTGCTCCTCCTGGCCTCGGGCGCTCCTCCGCATGGCTTCATCCTCGTGTCAGCGTCTTTGTCATCCTCCTCCTCTTCTTTGTCATGAAGGTATCTCGCCCTCCCTCTTGCTGAATGTGAATGTTGCCTTGGAAAGAAACATCATGAAAACCCACCGGGGGGGCTGTATCCAACCTCGATCCTTTTTTTGTGTTGCAGTTCTGGATGTCAGCAGTTTCCACCACAATGCCCATTCCCTCTGGCGCCTTTATGCCAGTGTTCATATTAGGTAAGAGGATTTTGTAACACGAATGCAGAATCTCCTGCTGAGCAACCGTTCAATTTGTCTTTACCAGCATGCCTTATCTTTCTCCTCAAGGAGCTGCTTTCGGTCGCCTGGTCGGCGAGATCATGGCCACTCTTTTCCCAAATGGAATACTGTTTGATGGAATAGTCTATCGGATTCTCCCGGGGGGCTACGCTGTCATCGGTCAGTCTCCCAACCTTCACATATGATATCGTTGGCCTTGACTCCTGAAGTGTTCCAGACTGAATTAAAAAAAACTGTTCAATTTCACCTTGACTAAATGATTTTATGAATACACAATAAACACTTTTCCCACCCAACAGGGGCAGAAATCCTTCAACAGAACATACCTCTATCCCTGTATCCTCCTCTGCTTTCTGCCAGGTGCGGCAGCCATGACAGGTGCAGTCACTCATACTGTTTCCACGGCAGTAATCTGCTTCGAGCTGACTGGCCAAATCTCACACATCCTACCCATGATGGTAGCGGTCATCCTTGCCAACATGGTGGCCCAGGGTCTGCAGCCCTCCCTGTACGACTCCATCATCCAGGTGAAGAAGCTGCCCTACCTGCCTGAGCTGGCACTCGGGCACATCAGGTAAAGGAAAAAAGCCTTCTCTTGTTCTTCTGTTCAGCTCTCATTCGAAAGAAAAACGAATTTATAATCTTTTTCGGCATTTCCAGCAAATATAACATCTTTGTTGAGGACATCATGGTGCGCAAAGTCAAATTCTTGTCCTCACAATCCACCTTTCGGGAGTTAAACCACCTGCTCGAGACAACAACCCTAAAAACCATCCCGCTGGTGGACTCTAAAGGTAGGATAACTTCTGCCATCATGTTGGTTCTTAATGCCTCTTTCTTGCACTTTAAAAGATTAATGTTAAAGGATTAGAGCGGTTTAATGATGTGCCAAAATCAGCTGAACCTAATTCCATTTGATCACTTTCCTGGATGGATGCTAAGCTATCGTCGTTCTTACAGCCATGAGTGTGAAAACGCGTCCAAATGCCAAACTACTCTTTTGATAATCTGCAGAATCCATGATCCTGCTCGGCTCCATCGAGAGGACAGAGCTTCAGGCTCTCTTAGACTGGTGGCTCTCACCAGAAAGGCGAGTGTTTGAAAGAGGTCAGAGTTCACCCGGCCAGGGCTCCAAAGTCAGCTGGGAGTCTTTCACCTTTGTGGATGAGGAGGGAGAAGAAAGTGTCAACAAGGTGGAAGAAATGCAGAAAGGTTTAATTTACCACTCATTTGGCTCTAATATTTAGCATATATTCACCACCGGTGCTGTAACCCCTCAGACTACCACTCTTGTGCAAGAGGAAAGTAATGGACCCATCCCATCCGCGATGCCCCAGGAGGCCTCCACCAATCACACAGACTCAGGTAATAGCTTTTCTACTGCACACCAGGTTCACCCAGCAGTTAGCAGCCTCCTTTTCTCTGACATGTGCGCCGTACCCTGTTGTCAGACAAACGCACGCTACCGTCTGTCAGGAGGGCTCTTCAGAGACTCTTCTCCTCGACGTCTTCATCAGGCCAAAACGAAACTCAGGTACTCAAGATCACCCTCACACTAACACATCACTCTGAGGCCAAAAGCTCGAAGGAGCAGGCATCACTGATCGGCTGGCAGGTTGGCAGAGACAGCTCAGACGAGGAAATCAGTATACAATGTCTACAATGGTACCATGAGCTAACCATGCTAAGGTGATGGGAGCATGATGTATGCAGGACTGAGCTGACATCCTTGGCTGATACTTTAAAACCACCTGAGGGTTTCTTGTTATCTGTATTAAAGCTGAAACTGCTCATCTGTTGGATTATCATATCTTTTTCTATCCCTTTTGTCTTCAGGAAGCCACGCTGCCTCCTGTGACTGATACTATGTCCCCAGAGGAGGTATTACACTATGCTTAGTCACCGTCCACACAGTGATCAGCCAACAAACCTGCCTTCTAATCAATAATTAGAAACTTCATCTCAACTCAGTCTGTCCCCCTGCTTTTTGAATGGCACATACAGATCAAAGCCTGGGAGGAGGAAGAGCTGGATAAACCGATCGATATGGAGCAGATACGCATAGATCCCTCCCCATTTCAGCTGGTGGAAAGAACCTCTCTGCACAAGGTGACTGGAGCATCATGTTGGTGATGTGTCAGAACACGCAAAGATCCTGTACAGAGTCTGATTCACATTGTTATGTTTCTCATTTTCAGGGAGCATGGTTTTTGCTTTATTTTGCTAACAGAAAGTCTGCCACCCTCATATGCATCAGCTCAACATGACCCCACTGCGAGTATTTAGACTGTAGCTAAACCTTGTTATTTGAACTATAAATAAACTGAAAAGATATAAAGGAATGATCTGTTGAAAGGAAGCCATAACATAGGGTGACTGGGATTTTGGAGAGTCACTTATTCCATTCAAGGACCAGCCAGGCACAACAACGCCTGTAGAAATGTAATTTAATCTTAATTTCACACTGGAATTTTATGTTTCCCATTAGACAAAAAAACATAGCTTAAAAATGTCGAATTTTCCTGTAAAGGAAGAGTGCACAAATTTGGCACAAAGTGTCACAGTAGCTGCTGATTCCTTAGATTTACATTACAGATAATGTGATGCGTTTTATTCACTTGCTTCATTTGGAGGTTAGCAGTATTGACATAAAGTATATGTAGAGGGGACAAAGACTGGTGACATAATCTGCCACATTAGTCGCTTATCTTGCTAATACTTTGAGGATATGCCTTTGATATGTTATTTGGATTTCAAGCAGAATTCCTTGTTTCCATACTCTTTAATTTTGCTTTACAGAACTGATCTCTCGCTCTGCAATTCCCTGCATACATGTAAATACGCTCGGCTGCAGTTCATAACTGCTTCTGCCCTCAGACACAGTGTTGCCAAGTAACCCTATGGAGGGGACATGATAAAGTAAAACAAGCTCTTCTGCAACGTTTCGGTGATGATTCAAATCATATCAGGCACTCTGTCTGCAGGCTCAGGAACATCAGAAAAAGAAAACCGTTAGAACTTCTGTGAACTTACAAAGGGCGGCCTGAATTCACTCATATTAGTGAGGAAGACACTTACAGTGGCAACAAACTGCCTAATTCAATTCAGCTTCATGGGGCCAGTGGGAACCGATTCCTGCTGTTATCAGGCCAAAAATAGAGACCTGGACAGGCCACTTTGAAGTAATCTTTAGCTTAAGCTTGTCCATCAAAAATTTCTGACAATGTCCCTTTCAAGAGAGCATAAGATTTGCTTTCTTTTTCGCATTTTATTTTTGAGTTTTCAGGTTTTTATTTCCTCCTTAGTTGAACCAGTATGCCGGCCTTTTTATTGTCTCCTGTGTCCTACCTGGAGCTTTCTAATGTCTAAGAAAAGAACACAGAGGAGCCATTTTGTCGTATCAGCTTGGAAACATGCAAAGGGATGCTGCAACTTTGCTTTAATACATGTACAAATATATTTTTTAGTTTCTGTGACAGTGGCAATGACAGAGAACTGAAGGCTTTCTACCCTTCAGCTCTGCAGTTTGTTTTCTGTCCTTTCAATTACAAAGACTCGAATCCTATATTTTATGCCTCCCCAGTGTAGTTCTGTCTTACATTGTTTCCTCTTATACTTGTGGATAAATTGTTTACCAGCTCAGTCATGCAAGCAGAATGCTGTCACAGTACATCACATTTCACACTAACTGGATCATCTTCTCCTCTGTCTCATTACTCAGACCCACACTCTGTTCTCCCTGCTGGGTCTCAGTCACGCCTATGTCACCAGCATTGGAAAGCTGGTGGGTGTAGTGGCACTGAAAGAGGTAAAGTTTCCCTCTGTGTTTTCTTCATCCGCACATTTTTGTCAGGTCTATTGATTTGTGGCAGGACTGCGAGCTGTGACATCTCACTTTGTGGGCAGTTGTGGTGCCTCATGTTTTACGCTCTGATTCGTGCAGCTATTCCATCGACCCCCCTCCACAGCCCATCCTCATGGACGTTCACTTTTCTGATTTGATATCATTGCTCTCACATATTTCTATAGCCTCTGTATTCATTTGAACCTTTTTTCTGTTTCGTATGACAGCTACAGAAGGCGATAGAGGGATCGACTCGAAGCGGCGTGAGGCTCCGTCCCCCTCTGGCCAGTTTCAGAGACGCCAGCCGGAAAACAAAGAAGCACCAGCCTCCCTCATCCACCGCCTCCTCGCCCACGCGGGACAGAGACCTGTGGGGGGAGGGGAGCAGAAGGGAGGGGGAGCTGGTTAAGAGGGAGCACAGGGAGGATTCCCGAGGGCAGGCGCCGTCTTTCCGAGGAGTTTCCGAGTCTGACACGGCCCCCTCCTCCCCGGGCAGCGCGGCCGGCGTCCCCGCCTCCACCAGAGGAGCCGAGGGCCCGGAACAGGAAGCAGCGTCCCCCTCCACCTCCTCCCCCGTGTCACCTTCACCTCCCACCTCCCACGCCAGCCCCGTCCTCACCATGTCCTCCCTGCAGGAGGAGAGGGAGAGCGAGGAGTCAGATGAGCCCATATAGACGGAGCAGGCTTCAGGGGGAAAAAGACTTTGGCCTGGCTTCGATTTCTAGTTGGGCCCAGAGACAGTGCTTCAGTCTGGGCCATAGAGTCGAGCCTCTCTGACATTAAGCTCTCCACCAGAAGGACGAGCTGGTGCACACTAAGCTCTTGAAACTTGTAGAACAGGATACTTTTTTTTTTTTTTCTACTCTGACAACAGCCTAACTTTTTCACTCTTTTCAAACTCAGGTGCCTTTCTGTGTTTTGTGAACTGCAGATAGTTATGTTCAGCCCCACATATTACCGCTGTTCCTCCTCCATTCACACCTAGCAATGGTTAGAAGTAGCCGACCGCTGTCTGTATCCATATCTGTTCATTTTATGAAGAAGAGGTGAGCTACGGACAACCGCCAACAATGACCTGTATGATGCTGAAATAATATATTCAAGAAAACGTCATTAATCTGGCCTGAAGGTCATAAAGATCACACTTTTAAAGTTTACTGATTTGGTTCATTTTGATTTAGATTTAATCAATCTTTCCCTGTAAACACTGAAATCATTATAAGCAGTTTGTAATTTTTAAAAATAATAAAACCTAAAACTGTCCACTAACTCATTTGAATTGTTTAAAGTTCACATCTTAATGTCTTAGTTAGACAAAATCTTCAAACGATCATCAGTGGAAAGTTACCTGTGTCTAACTGTATGATGCTTCTTGTACAGTCATGAGGTACGTGCTTTTTCCATTTTAACAACTTTCCATTCCTGCTTTTTTAGATTTTTACAGCAATATGTTACTGTTTGCACAGTTTTGCTAAAGTACTCAGTTTGAGTATTTCAAACACATTTTCCTCAAAATAAAAAAAACTATCTTATGCTGTTCCATGCTCAGATATAAGTGTAACCATCCCACACTCTATTAAGCTGTAACAGTTACTCCTTTAAGGACTTTGAATACTGCCAGCATATCATGCTTCACTACCAATATTTCTGATAATGTGTATGGATTTTGAATATAAGCTATTTCTATAAGTAAGTGGACATGTTGCATGACTTAAAATGTGGGTACATTTGGATGATAAAGGCAGTTTGTAGAGGAGCATTTTCAGACTGAGATAACAGTGCTGTTGATATTTGTCTCACTGTGTCCAATCGACACATAATAGCAAAATACTGCCGTGCTTTCCTCTGAAAAAGAGGTGTTGATGCTCGTCAGGCTGGAAAAGGTTATGAATTGTAACGAGTCTTGCCCTGTCAAATATGACAAAGATTATGCTCAGGTATTGATTCAGTGAGATTACTATTATTTTAGGGTAATTTCTTTCATTCTGTCTCCCATTAGACAAAAGCCCCACGTTCTACAGAACAGAGCACTGCTCGATAGTTAGCTAAATATGAAGGCAAACTAGAAAGCTGCAAGTAATATCTTGTATTGATGAATGAGACCAAAAAAGACAAAACTGTGGTCTGACTGAGAAGCATCATGATTCAGAGAGGGAAAACAAACAAAAAGATGGTTTGCAGGTGAGGATTGAAAGCAATCTGCTGGTTTCCGTTTTATTGGACTGTATTTGATCAGATTTTTTTATTTCCTCTGGAAAGGACGATGCGATTGATTTTGTTGTGCATCATTGTTAAGTAGATTAACTCAAAGTTGTTGGAGCAAACCAAGGTGAAAAAACCTTTTTTTTTAAAGCGGCCGGTCAAAAAAACTGCCATCAGTCAAATTAAAACTTTGGGAAGGAAACAGAGTTTGGGTGAAGAAAGCCAGAAACATCTCAGGGCTGCAGCCGTTCTGTAAAACAGTATGAACCGAAATTAATCTAAGCTCTTATCGAGGATAAATCATCTTGTGTTGTACGATGGAAGGTCACTCTAGATACTACAACAGGCTAACGTAATGCCCCTGTCATCCGACATACAATATTAAACAATTTACATCAATATGTGAGTGGAAAAGGCTTTACTGTCTTGTTATTGGTAAGTTTTGTTGTAAAATTATCAAATATGTAGAAGGATTCTCAAACTCTCAGGCATTATAGCTATGAGGGTGACAAAGATAGTTTCAGGACCTGTTCTGCAATAAGTGTTTGGAAAATGGACTGAACAGAAAAGCCTGATAAGGCAGAACTGTCCTGTGTTTGTTAAGACGTTCGCCTCAGTTGGACATTGTCATGGTCAACCTCAACAAAAAGGAAATCATGCATCAAATCAAAGTTATTGGGAGTCATCTCCTACTAAACAGGCATTTAAACACGCAATTCAATCGCTATTCCTGACCATGGCACAAGCTGCCAGAGGTGCTTAGAGAAAGCTATCACGTCAGTTCCAACATTTTGGCTTGAAAGGAGAATAGGTTTGAGCTTTAAACATCTTTGTGCTGTGAAGGTCAGCGGTGTGTTTCGGGCTCTGTGAGCTCAGACAAATAAGCGTTTATCCCCAGTGGATGGGGACTGTCTGTGAGTATTTGCCATTAAGATTCTCCTGGCATAAAATCCCTGATAAGGGCTGGAGAGGACAACCTGCTGGATTACACTGCTTCCAGTTCCTTGGTGACTGCCTTTTTTTCCTTCCCTTTCAAGCTAGCCAGAGTCACCGGCCGGCACTAAATTAAAAACAGCTGAACAGAACATATCACATGTGTTAATCCTCCAGAGAACAAAGAAGTGGACATGTGAGAAAGTAATTATTTACAACCTGTGAAGAGAGAGACACACATGCGCACAACAAAAGCAATTTGTTGGTTTGTTTATTTGCTCTTTCTCCACCAGAGGAAAAGAAGAGGAGACGGGTAAAGGGGCTGGAGAGGGGGAGGAGGCTCTGTCGTGCAGGAAAAAGAGGGGGAAGAAAATAAAGAAACAGAATGACAGAGGAGAGAGGGGAAACAACGTGGAGGAACCAACCTGTGACAACTGTCCAACAAGCATGCATAGGTGTGAGTGTTCTCAGTCACACTGCCTCATATTTAAGCAAATTCAACACAGCATTTTGTACAGCGCTTAGGTCTTTTTTTTGTTTTTTTGCCACACATCTCCCAATTTTTTGTAACATTTTGGTTGCATTATATCGTCTTTTAACTGGTGTATGTATACATATACATATATATATATATACACATATATATGTATATATATACACATATATATATGTACACATATATATATGTATATATACACACATATATATATATACACATATATACATATAAATATATATATGTACACATATAGAAATATTTTTTTCAGGCAGTGATTCTCTCAGAAAGACAGCTGACAACATACTGTACACAGACAAACTTACAGACGGACAGAAATACACAAGTTTACAAAACAACAAAACAAACAGACAGAGAGGAAGTGAGGGAGAAAGGCAGAAGACCAGAGGCAGATTTTCAGCATCATGCCTGCAGACAGGTTACTGAAACTCTTAGAAGATGGCAGTAGAATCACACAAAAAACACAAACTCAACTGCAAAGTAGTCCAGTTAACAAAATGTGGTCAGTAAACCTTGATATCCACAGAAATATATTTGGCTTCATGTTATTTGTTTATTCATTCATTGAGACTTTGGGAAAAAGTAAATAAAAAAAGAATAAAAAAAGACTAAAACTGAAGCAGTGTCCTTGCTGCATGTTTCTCTATGAAATGACATCTCCTTCCAGCAAACAGTCTAGCCCAAATAGCCTTTGATGTTTTACCATCGAAAAAATAGAGCAGCTTTCTTCCCACCTCACTGAAGGAAAAGGTACTGCTCTCAGAAGGGTTGGGACCTCCATAAAATCATATTCTGTACAGGTTATCACATCATATATCCCCACCAAGTAAATGTTCAATAAATCAATTAATATGTGCCATCATAAAAATCAGTCTGTTTGTGGTTTTGAGCCCTGCTACGCTGTGTTTGTACGACCTGTCGTTACTGGAATTCTTTAAGTATAATTACATGATGGATTATTTTAAACTGAGAGCTGCCAAACTGTTAGTGTTCTTCGTTTCTGTCAAAAGTGCTCAAAACCAGAAAAAAACAGACTGCTTGTCCACCATGGCACCTATTCTAACTTATACTGGGAGGGATTTCAACAAGTCAGTATAAAAATAAACATCGTTCCCAACATTGCATAAAGAAGCAATCGATAAATAAATTCTTTCAAGTTTGTCTTTGTCTCCAAACGATCTCACACAACCATGAAAGTGCGAGAAGGTGCTTCCCAAGAGAAAAAAGATGCAACCAGTGCTCGTATGTCGTTGGTCAGTGAGTCATGCACACGAAGTCCACAGCTGCAGTTGGACTCCCCTTTTTGCCAGTGAAGGCGTGCTCTTCTTTGGGTGAAAGAAAAACCGAACGAGAGCATGCTCCTCGAGCATCAAGTTGATCGCCATCACACTCTTGGCAGCAGCTTCACAGTAATAACGATGAGCAGGAAGACGCCGATCTATTCACCTCCAGTGTGCAGGCCCAGGCTTCAGTTCTGTTCCCTGATTGGCTGAGTGAGGCCCACGGGCTGCAGTTTCCCAGCGTGACCTCAGCCTGCTGCTGCTGCTGCTGCTGTTCCTTTTGCATCAACCGCTGATGAACCCTACAAGTTTAAACACCCTCCACGCTGAGCAGTCGCTTCTGCGTGTCGTTTGTCTTTGCGTGGTGGAACGCAACAGGAAAACACGCTAAACTGCAAGCTTGAGCGCAATCCCAAAAGGGACCCAAGAGGCGTACAAAAATAAAGAAATCATACTGCAATAGAACAGCTGTGACTGTGAGTGAGAGGCTATTTCTATATACGCTATTTACATCTCTGCGACAGAGCTGAAACTGGTCTGTTTGGAGGCCAGTGTTTGCTTGCCTATTGCTGGTTACAATTTAGATATTTTTGTGTGTGTGTGTGTGTGTGTGTCTGTGTGTGTGTGTAGGCATGAGCCAACAGTGAATCCATTTTCAGCCCATCTGAAAGTAAATGTTTAAGAGAGTTTGGGGTTCTCTCTTTAGTTGACCATGAGTCACGCATCAAAAGCAGCGCCCATGCACTGAACTCCACCTTCCAGTACATTCATAATAGTGGTTATCTTCCTCTGTGTGTCGCAATCTACACCTATTGGGGGAAATTAAAACAGCTGAGGGTTCCTGTTGTTGAGTGGCTCAGTTTTGGTCGACGTCGGGACTGAAAGCTTTCTTAGTGGGAAGTGGGCAACATCAACCGTCCAAAGGCAGCCTCTGATGTGTTGGATTGCATCAGTGCAAGAAAGATTCGCATATGCAGCTCTGTCTTGAAACTCGCCACTCACACTCGCCGCAGATCCACTGCGGCCTCACCTGGGATACTACGGTTCAGTGCAAAGTCTATACAGGGCCGTATAGTACAGGTACTCCATAGAACTCTGAAAGACATGCATACAGAGAGAGGGAGTAGGAAGCATACTATCTTACAGTACAATCCTTATCTGTGCAGTGTTTAGAGTGTGCAGTCAGCACAGCAGGCCTGTCCCTGGGTTGTGCCTCGGGCATCCTGGGGCCTCAACATCCCAGAAGAATTGATTTCCAAGGGGTTAAAACCGCATTTCACTGAAATGCTGGGGTTTTTTCGGAGCCTACTTCAGTCGTCTGTGAGATATCGGGTTGGTTTTATTAGAGTAAACAGAAAAAATATGATTGATGCAATAGGGAAATTAATTTGATTAAACACTAATGAGTTGAGTAACAGCTGTAAACAGAGCAGCTTCCCCAAAGGAAACCTGTTATCATTTTGTCATACACTTATACATAGATTTTTTTTTTCCGCTTTATTAAAAAATTGTTCGTATTGTTATAATTTTGACTTACGTTAAATTTTCATTATCGTTATAAGACGATGTCGGGTTGAATTTCTTGTTTTAAAAAAAGCATGCATGTTTCCATTCCCCTCTTTTCAAGTTGGTGTGGTTTCATTTCTCACATGGAAATGTTTCAGTCAGTTTGTGTTCTCTCTCCTCCTCCTCCCTTCCGCCTTTCTCATTTTTCTTTTCATTCCTTTGGGATGTAAGGCTTACAAAGAAATAGTGTCCTTTGTTGCATGAGCTTTTGTCTCTGTGTGAGTCCACCTCACACCTGTTGCTCACCCTTTTGAGGAATTCATCTCCGACCAAAAAGTTTTTGATACCTGAAATGGAACAGATTAATAGATATATATTGTTGTGTTATGCTCTTTCCTTGCTGCCTCCCCAGTCAGTTTGTAGTCAGGAGTCTCTTGACACTAAGGAACTTAATTGGTTGCTATGGATGCAGGTGGCCCCTCGTCCTTTTCTTTTTCCTCAAGTGTCTGAATGAGGCCAGAGGTGACATCAGAGGTCTTCCGCTCGGTGATTGGTTCTGATGGTGGTTGCCCCGGACTGCTTCCACCGGAGGCATCCCCTTGCCTTGGTGGAGTCAACATGGCCGATTCTGGTTCCATGCACAGCGTTATTTCCTCCTCCTGGTTAGGAAAAAAGCAGCAAATATACACCGAAAATCAATTTTGATCACAAATAGAGGCAGTTTGGCAAAAAGTTAATCTCTTTATCTAAATATGGAATTTATGTGAGGATTTTGTTTTTTTTAGCCTGGCTACGCAGTTAAATATAATTTAGGACGGGGATCTCAAACTCTGGTATTTGAATAAGATGTGTTGAAATGAGGAAACATCCTCCCTCAAGGAGATCCCTGACTGAGGACATCAACATTTTTTTTAAACACCTGAGAAAGAGACTCACTATAATGTGAGTCTTCCTGTTCGTATCCTGGTCACTTAAGAAAATAAATCCACACACCAATCTGGCCCTCACTTTGGTTGAAATACTCAATAATAGCTATATGACAGCCACAAGCCATAACCAAAATATACACAGATATAAATTTGTAACACATTAATAATTAAATTATGATAAATAAAAGTGAATCAGTTTCAGTTTTTAACAAAGAAATCAATAGATTAGTTTTTAAAAATATTTTTTTTTATACATTATATAATTGCTGTGTTAATATATATGATCTATTATAATACTTAATGTCAGCAATATGTTGCTTGCAAATAATGACAACAATCCGAAAAGAATAATTCATTTAAAGGTAGCTTTAAGTTGTTAACTTTTTGGTAACAAGACTTGGGGGGCTGGTCTTTTCAACATGGAATTTCAAAAAGCTTCAAAAACTTAAATTAAGGGATTGTCAGGAATCACTCATATTGTATCATGAATGTATCATGCTATATTATCTATTATCAATGAATACTTTTTAATTGATTCATCAACATGCCATAACTTAAATAATAGACAAGTTTGTGCTTACACAGAAAGATACCCTGTCTAAAATTAATCACTGACGACATAATTAATGTAAAACGCTCTTTTCACCTTGACCTCCTCCTCCTCCTCCTGCTGCTCCAGTAGCGGGGAGTGTTCATTTCCCACCATTTCCTCTCCAGTGGGAACACACATGCTTGGCTCCACTACCGCCGCCACACCCATGTAGCCTCCGGCTTCTGCCTGATAGGCGTCCATCTGCCCCGTGTTCCACAGATCCACCAACGGAGGGTGTACAGGATGGACCAGACTGTGGATGGTGCTGTTGGGTGTCGCTTGCAAAGACTGGGTGGCACTGTGCAGCCTGTGCTCCAGAGCCTGAACGCACAGCAATGAGACCGTGGTGAGGAAACACAACCAGATCGGAGATGCCACTCATTTTTATCCTGCCTGACAACTTTAATCTGTGTTTTTCTGAGATTCTGCCAAGTGGACCATGCGCAAAAAAAAAACACTTACAGTGTTTCTGTAATTATGTGCAGGATGTGCAAGCTGCTGGAAGTTAGAGCTCAGTTGCCTTAAATCTTTTATTTCATCTATATGCATATGTATCTCTATGTATCATGATCTAATACAAAAGAAAAAGAAAAAAATGTATTTTATATTATTGCACCTGACTGCTTAACCCTCATTAATATAACATTTCTCACACAGTATGGAACTGTTTTCTAAAAAGTTCAAGGACTAAACGTATGTTACAACGTGAAAACTGAAAAAAAAACTTGGCCTTGCTGCATTTTGCAAAAATGTCCTCAAATAGAAACGCCTCAGCTGCTGCAGGTTCATGCATCATCAACAGCACCTTGGACTAAATACAAGCTACATATAGTACCTCACAGCTTAAACCCCTGTGTTGATCCTGGCAGAGACACACGTGCACCACTGAGAGTCCACCTGCTCTGCATCAATCACCTGTTGTTGCTGATACTGCAGGAGCTGCTGCTGCTGGTAGTGCTGGATCTGTTGGATCTGCTGCAGCTGCTGTAGTTGATTCTGCTGTTGGAGGCTGAACTGCTGCTGCTGCTGCTGCTGCTGGGACAGATAGTGAGGCGCCGCCTGCCCGTCATAGCCGTCCGTCCCCATAATGTAGGACCCGGCGGGGGGAGACCCCATGCCGGAAGGGTCGGTGTTAGTCGGCTCCCACGCATCTGAAGACGAGAGGCAGTAGTGGCCCTGGGAGACATACGTGTGAGGCCACACCTCTGCTGATGAGTGGTGCAGTATCTGATCTGGAAAGAATGAGGGATGCAGCAGGTTTTTAGAACGGGGGGAACAGATGGAGGCAGGATTGTGCGGTTTGGTTGGATTTCCAAGCAACAGCCCAGTTGCCTGAGTCACTAACTGAGGGAAATCTTTATGTCACGATGCACTTTTTTTTTCTGATTTCTATTTTCTTGTCACATATTAGCCAATTAAAATCTCTGTCTTTCATTTACCCAGCTCTTTTAAGTAGAATATTTAAAAAATCTGTCATTTAATGAGTCGTTGTTGTAACAACTGATAAGTAAAGAAAAGGTTGATGTGACTACATAGAAATTCGGACTGAATTGTCTTTGTGCTGCCTGGAGAGGTGTTATGACAGAGCCTCTTCAGTATGCATCGAACACAGTCTGAACGCTGGCACACCTTACACTGTTGAGTCATCACTCTAGTCAAACTATATGTGCAGACACAGCCTTGATTCACTCAGTTCTCTCTCTTAGTCAAAGGATACAAATTAGACCAAAAGACTTAACACCACCAAACGTTTTCAACCTGTACTAAAAGTTTGTCTGGCATAAAAGCGATTGGATGATCAGAGGCATATGAATGAAGCCTTAGGCTTGAAAGCCAAGAAATATTGTTTGTAGAATCTGACAGTTTTTTCTGTGAATGTGCCATGCTTGAAAACGTGAGAAACCTCGGACCGTATTTGTTATTGTCCGCGCTTCAGGGAGGATGAGGTTAATGAAAAACTTCATATGGTTTATCCAAAATCACAAACACTTGTAACCATCTGTGCCTTTCAGGAGGAGGAGAATTGTTTGCTGGGAGAAAATATTGCTGTGTGCCAAATATGTTTAACATCACTGTTTATACAAATGCAGCACCTGAGCTCACTTTGCAGCCTGAAGAGAAGACACATAACAAACAATTCTGCAAACAAGCCTGAAATTGCTTTTGGCTTTGCCGGTGACTCCCTCTGTGTAATCACTGCTTCAGCGACAGCTCCTCTCCGTCGTATCTGTGGTCCTTTACCTCGACTGGTGATGCTCTCCTGGTTGACCTCACTCAGGTGAGCCACGCTGCCCTGGTTGGATCCTGACCGTGGACTCTCACCGTCCATCGATGACCATGCCAAGAGCGTTGCTTCCGAGATTGCAAACTGCTGCAGGATACCTGAGGTCAGAATTCAAAGGATAAATACTGCTGAGACCTCCTTCATCTTTGATTCCAAAAAAGAGAGCCTGTGAGCAAATGATTCTGCTGATGACAGTTAACAAGCTGTGCGGTGAGCTTGGCCTCAGCTGGGAGTTTGTTTCCAACCTGCAGCGAAACGAGCCTCCTTCTCTCCATCGCTGAGGTCGCTGTAGGCGTCGTTCTCCAATCGCCGCTCTTTTTCCCGCTCCTGGGTGGTGGGGCGCGGCTGGAGGACACCCCCTGCACCCACTGTCTGCATGCCCCAGTTCTGCCATTCGATCATGTGAGCGACGCGGCCCTGGGCCATGGCCGTGGGTTTGGTCACTCTTTCCTTCATAGTGCGGGTAACTACTTGTCGGGAATGGACAGTACCAGGTAGAGAATGGTGATGGAGTATGGTGAGATGAAAAATGGCGGGATGGTAAGAAATTGAAAGAGGGGAGGCACACATGAAAGATATGTTATTATTTCTTATATAATTCTGAGTTCTGGAAGCGCTGATGGATGTTGGGAATATGAATTTCCAGTAGGGTTGAGAAAATGAGTTTCTATTATGTCTTTTGATATATTTTACCTGTTGTATCTTAGTAAATGTATGGGCTCAAAACTGGATAAAAACTGTCTAATCAAACATCTCTGGGGTCCTTTTGGCCGGAATAATGTCATATTTTACAAATAATTATCAAATAAATCTGAACTACTTGTAGCTTCACAAAACAGACTCAAGTTTACACAGGGCTAATCAGTTAAAATCTTACTAAAAAAGTGACTGATGATGGGAATGGATTATGAGAAAGGCTAAATAGCCGGTGCTGTGAAAGGGACTTTTATGTGTTTAATGAGACATCATCTGGTCACGGTACATGGAGGAGAGGACACTGTGGATGTGTCTTATCTGACACAGGTGCATCATGGGATGGAACAGGTTAATTGGGGTGAGGCGGCTGCGTGGCGTGAGTAATGAGTGGTTGGCTTGTTGACATGATAGCTTTTTCACACCTCTGCTACGCTGCGCTGGGTAAGCAGAAAGCTGCTCTGTTTCTCTGAGCTGTTAGCCTGACTACTCAACGTTGCTGAACATACATTTCTTAAGGACAAAATTAATTTCCTGTTGCCGTGCTCCTACCAGCTGATATCTGCTTTGCTCCCTATTTCATGTGACCATCATTCAATGACATACTCTGAATCTCTTGTTATTTGATTCTCTCAGATGGTGGCACATGAGGATGATATTTATGAATAAATAATTGGACAAATTAGCACCACAACACAGAGCAGAGCTGCTGCACTTCACTACACTTCACTACAATGTCCAAATGAACTGCAAAACAGCAGGAGAAAACACCAGTAAAGGAAATAACTTTACCACACTGCACTTAATTGTTTTTTACACCGCACTGCACACAGTTAAAACAACCATAAACTCTAATTAGAATGCCACGATTACACAGCCACTTCACATAAAGAAACTACACTTCCCACTCACCTTTCCTGGGAGAAACAAGCTGTAAGATGATGTACATTCTGTGTCTGTATGTGTGTGTGTGAATGCTGTGTTTTTCAAGCTGAATTTATTCCACCAATGACTCGCAAGGAGCCATTGATGACTGATGTCTCAGTGTGGAGAGGAAGTGATGCAAAGGGAACCCATTTAGGGTACCATGCTAACTCCAGCGTCCTTTGAGGACGGAGTCAACATGGGGTCATTTACCAGAACCAGCACAGACACACACCTGACACACCTGACAGAGAAGACTTAGCCAAAGCCCCGATGCCATAGGCGTTTGAATTCCTCTTGAGCCGTGGCAGGATTGATGTGGTGTCTTCCATAGACAGCTGGAGGGGAGAGAGAGGAATGGAGGAGAGGGTGGGGGAGCGTGGAGAAAAGGACAGCATGGATGGTGTGACAACGCACACAGAATTTGACACAGTGTGTTGTAAAGACAGGGGTGAGTGGAGAGGAAAAGTGATGGAGGTGAAGGGTTAATATAAAAGAAATAAACTGTGCTACCAAAATCTTGACTCCATGTAAAATCGCTTTTTATGATCTGGTTGTTGCTCACTACTGTGCGCCAGTGAGGTAAAAGGCAAAATGGACTGTGAAGCTGAGGGGGTTCCGACGTTGTGAAGGAGAAAGAGTTGATAGCTACAGAGTGATTTAAATCAGAACAGGTAAAGGAAACAGATAGAGTGCCAAAGATGGAGGAATGATACTACAACACTTACATTGATTCCTTCCCATGAAAATTCTGAACGTCCATGCTGAGGAAGAGAAATAGGAGGAGGGAGGGATGGGGAAAGAAGGAGAGTAAGAGAGTGACAGGATAGACGGACCATTGACATGCGCCGGGGTGGTGTGATGGATACAGGGTTGATTGCACATCAAACATGCAGATGACAAGGGGGTAAAAAATAAGAAAAAAAGAGATATAGATACACAAGAATTTCCAGGAACGCGGAGTAAAGGACCAGAATGACAGGGAGAAGGGAGGGGATTAAACAGGGATCAGTTTATATTTGCTCAGTTATGTTTAGAGTAGAGAATATGCTGTGATTGAATGAGTTTCCTCTTCGGTTACATGTGCTGCCAAAAACGCTGAAAATCAAAAAAATTCCTCCCTCAAAATCTGTTTGAGGGAGGTGTCAGAGATGTGTTGAACTGTATGTGATGCTGCAGACTGACGGGCGACCAAGGCTAACAACGGGAGGAGGGAGAGAGTGTGTTGTCAGATGATGAGGACACAGCAGATAAGCAGCAGCTTCTGCTTATACAACATTTCTCTTCATCAGCTGGGCTGACACTAGCCGAGGCTGAGGCAACAAAGGGCCACTGGATGTTCTAAAATGTTTTCACCTTCCTGACTATGTATATGTGAAAGCTTTGTAAAAAAAAAAAGAGGAATAGAAAACATATATTTCCATAGACAATGAGCCTTTTAGAGATAAGAGGGTTCTCCCTTGTCTTTGAAACATGTATAGACCTGTATTTCTAATCATTTGGATTTTCTGTTTGAACTGCATACTTTTTCTTTTTTTATCCTTGAAAATGCACATAACTTGTGACAGTTGGCAATGTGTACCATCCCATGAAGCGCAATCCTTGTCCCAGGATTTATCCCCAGGAGCAGCAGTTTTGGACTTAAATACATCTGATGCCACCACACCATTGACAGTGTGAAAAACATTCTGTCAACTCTTCTGTGAAACCATCTGCAGATTTAGAATTAAGATACAACATGAGTACATATTCTTTGCTAATTGTCAGCAAAAATGTCAAACTTTGATGTAAAGATGAGGTCATTTTTTCAACAACTGTGTTCTCTGGGCCCTTTAAAGGCACAGTCCACTTCAAGCTCATTAGAATCTAAGTCATCATAATACTATCATAATCCAATCAATTCCAATACAGTAAATTCCAAATTAGTCCAATTCATCCAAAGCTAGTTATATGTGACAAGGAGACAAAAAGCGAGCGATTACCAAGGCAGCATCCACTCCCTCTTTCAACATGTCTCCAGATATTTCTTGTGAATCGATAATCGCCTCTTCCCTTCCCTTTCTCATGTCTTCCTTGTAATTCCATTCTTTGCTCCCACTTCCCTCCTCAGTGGCTCTCCTTCTCTGTTTCTTCTCTTCACAGGAGTGTTTGTGAGGACAGATTCAACACACTTCAGCTGTTGAGCTTGGGCCCTTAAAGCAGCTTTACTAGTGTTTTTTTTCAATGGCCCTGACAACACAGATATAGTGTATGTGTGTGTGTGTGTGTGTGTGGCAGCTTTTTCTTTCCGAAGGGCATTCTGGGACGTGGTGCATAAATAAATGATGAAATCATTCCACAGTACATTTGGTGAAAAAGTAGAGATCTCCACTCTTTAGTCCAAAATGGTTTCTTCTCGTGTGTCCTGTCTCACAGGGATCGGTTTGAGAGGAACGGATCAGTGTTGGAGGAGAGGAGAGAGCAGAAGTGGAAACACAATAATAATGAAATGTGAAAAGTGCAATGCCGCTGCTGTTCTGCCCCGAACCAGCTTTGCACATTGACTTGTTACAGATGGATAACAAGCAACAGAGTGTCCTATCGACAGCAATAAGCCAACCAAAACCAGCGAATGTCCATTCTTCCTACAACACCCCCCCATCTTCGACAGGGAGGCGTAGTGGAAGTTGAGTGGCTGACACTGACAGGAGTTGAGCTACTTTACTATTCTACAAGCAGAAGCACTACAGAGAGCAGAGGTGAGCTGCAGTTGCTCATCGTATAGCTGCCTGCTTGAAGTCAGCGGCCATGTTGGTTCCTGATGTGGAGAGGTAACAGTCCACAGTCAGAGGAAGACAACAAGGCAGGTGAGCCCGAGCGATTGCTAAGGACTTACTTGCTCCCCATCCTTTTGGACTGGCACGCCATCCACCGCTGAGAAGGAATTAAAGAAAGAGAGACAGAAAGACGTACAAGAGAGAGAGAGAGAGAGAAGAGAGATACACAAATGTTAATTTTCAGGGGCAAAATAGCTTCCATAGAATGTTAAGACAGCTTATCAACTCTTCGTGAAGCTCTGGTTAAATTCTTATTCTCCCTCTATTCTCATTTTGTAATCGTTCTTAGAGCTCCAATCATTCCTGTCACAACCAGTATCCCTAAAAACACAATTAATTCTTATCTTTGTTCAGCAAAGAAAACGAGAGAAAAGAGCACACACATGCATAAAGCAAATATATTGATCCTCTCGGATTTAGCTAAATTCCCAATACTATAATAGACACATAGATAAGAGCGTTAACATTTCTGTTAGGATAAATTATCTGTTATCCATTTATATTTCAACATGGTATAACATCTTGAATTTTCCAATTACCTTAACTGTTTATCTTTAAATTAAAACAATAATGAAATACATTTACTGCTAAAATAAAATATTTCTTTTTCCCAAAGTCACAGTTTACTCAATAATTTTCCAAACAGAAAGTCAAATGAATGCAGTAAACTGAACTGGGATGTTTCATAATCAGTTTTGTCTGGTAATAAATTCTCTTTGCCAGCGGTCATCAATCTTTAAGTCAACGTCTGCCTCTCATGTTCCCCATTTTTTTCAGATGTGCATGTTTAATGGATCATAAATAAATCAAGCTGTGTAACTATGTGAAATCAGTCCCATTGATTTTTCTCCATGGTCGTCTTTTTTGTTTTTCACTAACATTTAAATATCGTTCCATGTTTCACAGCTGCTAACCCATCCCATCTCTTTTATTAGCATTAACCCCAGGAGAGCCAGATACAACAGAGAGTCCCAATGAAGCACCCGCTGGATTTAGTTGACAGTGCTTCATATCAAATGGAATGGCGTGTGACTTAATTCAAAAGTAATCTCACATCTGATGATGTATTATTTTAATCTTACGTAAAACAACATATAAAACAATAAAAACAACCTTTTTCAGTAGTTAATGTTTTCCATATTTTGAGAACAGTTGCTGAAGCTCAGACGTAGAGCCACAATTTCCGTTAAAACATTTTATAACTCAAAAGCAGTTTATGAGACAATATGACAGAGCATGTGCAATGCTATTCACCCAACACAAGGTAGATGAGCATCATCTGAAACGCACACTCACTGTTGGATGAATTAACGCTATTATCCCTCCTCATTCCTGGCTGTCCAAATCCTAATTAAAACATCGGTTTAATTAGAGAGTCTGTGGAGTCTAATGGAGTTTAAACACTGCCTTGGTCTCTAGGTGATCCTCTGTATCAGAGGGTCTGTGCTCTCTGTGTGCAATTCTCAGAGGGCATCACTCCTGCATCAGCACTCTGTGTGTGTTGCTGAGCACAACCGGGTTGCACCTCTCGTAGCTTCCACTGGAAATCATGAGCCGCTCCTCTGGAGCTCTGAGAAGCACAGAGAGTCGATGTCTTTCAGTGTCCAGTGTTGTTTGTGACCCACTGACCCAGTGTTTCAGAAACATCAGCTCGGCTCTGTCTCTGTTGGGCACTCAGCTATTACCCTTCTCTCTGAACTCCACTAAGTCACATTAGATCTCTGCAAGGGCAGGACACAAGGGACAGGCTTTATTTCAGCAATCGCCTGCATCCACCTCTGCAAGTGGGGACGTTGAAACTACAAATAAGAACACTCTGTCTGTTTTGAACATTTACCACACTATTGGGTCTCTTAAGTGCTTTGGGGCAACAATCTCCATGAGTATCAAAAAACATCAGCCTGCCATCTTTAATCGATCTCACGAGCCAGGTGAGTGCGTGTCATTCTCCTGGTTGGTTCGACCCAGTTTTCGTCAGCTGGCTTTGTGTAATTCTTCCAAACAGAGTGCTGCTTTGGTTTCTCCAATTACCTCTGGACATTTTCACAGAAGGTACACTGTATGTATAAATAACTGTCTGCTTGCACTTTACCAGGGCAAAAATGATCTTGCGTGTCAACGTCGATTTACGGGGAATGGTGCCCAGCTCGCAGGCTTAGACAACTGGACGATCCCTTTGATATTGAAAAAAAAATTTGGTAGTTATATTAACTGATAAAAAAATGGGGGGAAATCACTCAACTTGAAGATCGAATGAAAGTCTTTACTGGAAAAACTGATTTAAATTATCATTTTCTATTTTTTCAGGGGGTTTTGGGAAATCGTGTTTCATTTTGGGTAAAGTGCAGACTCTAGAATGTGTACATTTTATGCTCTATATGTTTAAATGGTTCTGTGTAACTCAAATAGGAACATGCCTCCTCTTCAGCCCTTTCTGTTTTCAGAAACTTTTACTTTCCCTATTAAATGAACTTTGAATGACCTTGATAGAATTGAACCAGGTGTGTTTGAATGTTGATTCAGTGTGCTGTGGTGTGAGGGTGTTGCTTACTGGTTGTAATCAGTAAGACAGAAAGATATATCATACTCTGCTGTGAAGGGAGAGAGTGTCCCAGATTTCTTTCTCATCTGGGTTAAAATTCTGCCCTGAAAACACAAACTATACATGAACATGCACACCCACATGCATTCGGCTGCTGGCAACATGCATTATAATGCACAGAGTGATGCCGCTCCCTCTTCTCCTCTGTTTCTGTCCCCCTTTCGAGCCTTCGTAGTGTCCCCTCTGCCTCGTTCAGCCAATTAGCAGATTAGCAGTCACTCTCTCCACACATGAATCACAACATGGCTCGAGAGTTTGCTGGACTGCAGCCGCACAAACTACCCCTCAGAAGCCCTCCAGCTTTCCTTCAACGGTTTCCACGCCGTGTGTTTGGCTCTGCAGTTGTATTTGCACTTCATCAGCTGATGTCTGTCAGCTTCGGCTTCACATGAGACCACATTAAGGCGCTTTTGTGCTGTGAGCCACAAATGTTTGTGTGCAAAGCTGCGGTTATTCAGAGGTAATTGTACTTCTCAGAATATCTCTGAGGTGATGGGTCAGTAGTCATTATGCAGCAAGGCATCCTCCGTATTTTGCCTCTGGATAGGTGATGCTCTTGAGGTCTCAGCAGCACAGCGAGTGAGCGTGTTATTCTGCTCCTGAGAAAGCTAGCAGGATCCCTCCTTGAGGAAACAACGGCAGAGAGCACATGACCGCAGCTCTGAGCCAGCCTCTCCTCCCCTAGCGCTTCTCCTCCTCCCCCATACACACAGCAGTGCAGCACTGGATACCCCCCTGTCGTCATATGGGAGCTGGGCTTAGCTCAGGCGAGGAGAAAGAGCAGTGAGCATTGTGGGAGGGATGGCTTAGAGACACAGGAGGGGGAAAAAATGAGGGAGCCAAGCGACCGTGCGTAACAAACAACCAAAGATCTGCAGCGGCTGGGCTGTCAACTCCAACTCCAGCTGTAGTGGCTTGACAGCTCCCACTGAAGTGGGAAGCATTTGAGCTTCATCAGTCTTTTTTACTCCAAGTGCCCTGCAGCAATAACAGCGAGGAACCGGGGGGCTCTGAGCTTGTTTACCGTGACAGCTGCGGTGAGGCTGGTTGCCATGATGGGGTACCGGCTTGGCCATCAGCCCACTTGCAGCGTCATGTGCAGATGCCGGTTTAGTGAGCCGCAGAGTTCAGTGAAAACACAGCTGAGGTCCAGAGCCCAGATGGTTGCCAGTGTTCGGTAGAGAAAAATGAACTAAAAGTGTCTCCAGACGCAGCACTCTCCCGTGCAGACACACAGTCGGGCACTGGCTGAAACTCTCAAACACAACATGGGACTACCGTGAACTTGGGGAAAGGACACTGCAAATTTACAGACCCATGAATGACAGGCCTCATTAATTTGTGAAGGCTTGAATGTTTCTGCTATCCAATTACAAAACAAATACGGAATAGTAGTTGTCTGGGCACGCTGTATCTTGACAGAGGAACTTGCTGCTTAGCATCTTTATTCCAAGAAACGCCCCACAGGTGATCATGAAGATCAAAAATTTGTGGGGGACTGTCACTTAAAATAGTTTCAACAGGATGAAAACAGGTCATCGAGGGCAAATCAAGGAGTTAGGAGCACAGAAAAATTACATTTTGATGCAGACAGTCTCTCTTTTCTTTCTTGCTATTTGATATCCAAAGAGGACATGGCCTTATTTTGTTTTATCGGCACTGAAGTGGTAAGTAGCTGCAGATAACACCAGGGCAATCAGTGCTGGTCACACACTAATGCTTCACTCTTCCACAAATTCTTTCAATTCCACGCACACACACAACACTACACAGCAAAAAAATTGTGTAGATTAAATTTTTTCTTCACGACATTATGTTTCCATTTCTCAACTGACTCTGTGGCTGAGTCACTGTTTACAGAACGCCTGCTGTCATGTGCCCACACACAGGATTCTTGTTTCTGATGTGCCACAAAGGTGTGCATGTGCATTTTCATCACTCTTTTACATACAACGATCCCTACTCGCAACCATAACAGCACACGTTAGACAAATGGCAAGGAGGCACATAAATCTACGGATAAACACCAGCTCCGTGTCATATATACTACACAGGAGTCCTTGGAAGTGTAAGCATGCTGGTTGAGCACACATACACATATGCTGACACCCTCTCAAAGGTAAGGGTCATCAGGTCCAACCGTGTCTCCGGGATACTACATCACTGAGGCATTGACCTTGAATGTGCTCCTATGCACAAGGCTTTTCCAACCTGGAAAAGGGCCAGTAAATCAGCCTCTGTCGCTTCCATATTTGCCAGTTAGATTGCAAAATGGTACATGAGACATGTTGACAGTTGTTGACTAAGAGTGTGTATAGGCCAGGTGGAGTGGGGATGTTTGTTTTTTTATTTTAATGGCAGGGAATCCCTATCTGTAGCGCAGCAGCAAAAGCAGAGGCATGGCACAAGCAGTGGTCCTTTTGACACATTCACACCCACGTACAATGTAAATATATCAGCAAGTGGGCAGTCCCACGAGAGATGTAAACTGAAGGTCATTCCATGCATAAAGAAATAATACACATGAGCACACAAAAACACTAACACTCGAGCCGAAAGATCTTTGAAATTTGATTAAGATATTAGTGTTTTATCAAAAATGCATATAGAAAATTCCAGGAAAAAACAACCACATGATTTTCCCGGTGTCACATTTCTTATTAGACCTTCGCTGTAAGATCTGTAAATGAATTCAATCAGATTTATATCTAATCGAAGCAGACGACAACACTGCCTAATGCCTAATCCACAAATATATATAAATAACACCCTCACATATTGAGCAGAATCAACCTTTGACACCTTTTAAACCTGTAAATTGTTTATCTGCAGTGGTATGGTGTGACAGGAGGTGAAGACGAAAAGATTCTGCTTAATGGGTGAGAGTCATCACGTTGTTCCACATTCGCATCTATCATTTCAACTCTGTTGCCCGAACCATGGCAGTTACAGTCTCACTGCTCACAATGCCCTAAATTAAACAGTGATTAATGTCTGAAGCAGTCACGGGTGGAGTACAGCCTGGTAAGTACAGGGAAATGCTTCTGATGTGCTGCTTTTAGCGCTCTGACAACTAATAGAATTATCAACACCACATCAGAAATGCGATCATAATAATGGTGCAGTAACAGCATTACGCTGACTCTGTATTCGCCTTTACAATTCTGCACTGGCACACTTGCTGATTCAAATGGAGAAATGGAGACTGTAATGATTTTGTTGATTTGAGGGGGCTAGAAGGAAATACAACTGCAATCCACTTCATCTCAAGGCCCAGCATTCACGTACTGTTTTCATAGTAACAGTGATCGTGTCCAGGCTCTCAACGCTTTTCCAAAAGTGAAATTTCAATGTGCACAAAATTCGATGAAATAAAAATATCACGTTAACAGAAAGAGACCACCAAAAAACATCCAACATCATGGCCTGAACCTTGTCATGTCTTGTCTCATCAAAGTTTCATGAAATGTGTCTCCTGTAGTTTGGCTTTTTGTGTGGGCTGAATCTAAAATATGTGTTAAATGCTAAAGCAGAACAGTTGGTCTCACTCCTGGCATGCCTCTCAATTTTTCAAGTAGTTTTGATTCATCAACAGCAAACCCAGAGTCTTATGTCTTGAACTTTTGTGCTTTTATATAAATCAACATTTCATTGGCTGCTTTTTGCTCTGAATCTCTCATGTCTTTTTGCCTGGGGCATGATATGAATCACATGACCCTTGTGTGTCCTCCAAGGGTCATTTATACCAGCAATGAATGACCCCACAGGGACACACAAGGGTTAAGGCTTCTCAGTGTTTTTAACAAATACCCTGTGGTTTACAATGTCAGTCTGTTAGGGGCAGGCATATTTAGAGATTGGGAAAAAATAGATCACAACAACAGCAGTGAGTGATATCAGAGCTTCGCCATAAAGTACACTCCAGGATATGATGGAGCTGGGGTGGGATAATGTTACCAGAGGACAGACGGATTCATCAGGCCTACTCCCATACAGAGACAGGCCTCCTGCTGCTCCTCCTGTTGATCTCTGCTTGGCAGCCTGGGCTGCAGCTGAGATGGCCAGTCGATAGCACGCACTAAAGCCATTCTCACTCAGGATAAACACAGCCACGCCTCTAGACTGGCACTGACTACTGATGCCGCTGCTTACAAGAGAGCCACTGACCGGGGCTGCTTGACAACGGCTGGTCATCCTATGCCAAATATTTGGGTTCGATTGCAGAGCTGTACAGTGTTCAGAAAGACAACAGCGAACCAGAGGGAAAGCATCCTCATAAGTAGCTGTTTAATCTACGCACATGGGACTGACAGCCTGCAGCTTCCGCTCGATCACATTTTTCTTTATCGCAACCACTAATCACTTGCCATTCCGAGGGCACCCTTATTGCATTTTTAAGCCTCTGTCATCACTGATATAAGACCGAGCATCAGTATTCAGGTGGAAAACGGAATGCGCTCGGTCCCCTTCAATCATATTACTTCCAGCCGCTGGAATCAGAGGATTTGTGTGCTCTTGCATCTTGACCTGAGTGTTGACGGAGGATCCCAGTCTCAGTTCCCAGTTCCCAAGCTGTGCAATGAGTCACATAATGTTATTTGGATTGCCCGAACCACCGCTTCTGCTGTATTCAGTTCACACCTGGCCTCTTAACTGTGTCATGTAGTACTCTTTTTCTTAAATTGCACATTCTGGTTATTTTTTAAATCCTCTTTCTCAAGAATGCGTGTGTCGTTAGAAGTCAACTTGCATGAGCACAGTGTCTGTGAGCTGGCTCCGACACTCCAGTAAATGTCAGACTCTTCACACATGAAAGCTGAATGTGTTGATTTACCAAAGAGGGGTATGTTTTGGAGCCTGACGTGCTAAGTGGCATATCAATATTTAACACCAAAGGAGGTTTGTGTTTATTTTTACCTTTGAGTGTGATTCGTGTCAAGAGCCTGATCGTGCACGGCCATGTCAGCTAATCAAATTCATGAAACTGACTGATTGTTTATCAAAAAACAATACTGTCAAAGAAGACCTCATAGTGGATGGGAAGTGTTGCTTTGAGGTGCTGAACATGACAACAACGGGTTTGTCCAGGACTGCCTCACTTCAAAACTCCCATCAAACCCCCTCGCTTGCACGTATTTGCCCCTCCTTCTCCCACTCACTCCAATGCGAACTGCCTGCGTCCACTTAGATTGTTCTTCTCCTGCTCCTTTCTTTATCCCCCGCCGATCCCCGTTATTTATACAAGTGATATCAAACAGTGCAAACACCCATGACAGTGGCATTATGCCATTTGTTTTTTCCTCTCATCCTCCTTGCTATGCCTCTTTAAAGATAAGCACAAACACAGTGTTTTCCTCTCTTGCCTTTCTCTTTTCTCCATCCCTCTGCCTCCTACTCACACACATATACATACTGCCAAACAGCATCATAAATCAAGGGATGGGAGGATGGAAGGAGAGGGGGGGCAGGGAGGTGGGGATGCAACCACTCACACAGCAGCGCATTTTAACACATATCGTCACTGACATCTCGCCTGTGTGCCGTGACCATACATGCATATCCTGCCACTAAAGGAGCTCTACCACACCAACACACAAAAAGGTTGCCTCTAGTCTCTTTGCAGAACCTTGGTTGCTCGTGCAGGACCCCCCATCCTACATCCCCTACACACACTACACACACACACATACACACACACACACACGCATCCCCTCTTCCCCACCCACCTCCTATCCCGCAGTAAGACAGGGAAGAGGAGCAGTGCTTACTCAGTCTCCTGGAGCCGATGCATCCCATGGTGTATTCACAAAGGCCCTGGATACAAACGTGGAAGTGGAACCCAGGCGCCGTGCATTCTCCTTCTTCCTCCTGCGACTCTCTTTCTCTCGGCTTCTTTTTCTTGCTCTGCCGTGCTCTCTCTTTTTCCTTCCCCCTCCTGCGCTTGCTCGATCACCCTCTCCCTCGCCCTCCCTCACTCCCGCTCTCTCCCTCTCCAGTGCGGTGTCTTAGAAGAGATCCGGTTAGTAAGTCAGTATGCCTGAGGGGAATAGATTAGAACTAAATAAAGATGTGAGGCATTATCAGAACTGTACACAAAACATATATCATGCAGTAGTTTCAGAAACTATTGGAAATATTTTCTCCATCATCAGTTACCTGTAACGTTTTTCATTTAATGTTCAGTTCGGTCTTTTTGTGCATTTACACTCAACAGTTTGAGTTACACAGCCTGAAAATGTAAAATCAATAGAAAGATCAAAGCACAAGCAATAATCTCAAGAGACATGAAAACAATGAGACTGACTGATGCATGTGTTGGGTTTCCACCGCTAAGATCAATAGCAGTGCCAGCAGTGTCAGACTGCCATTGTTGTAGATATCTCTGCACTGCTGTATATTGTTGAGCTAAAATGGGGGATTCTTTCTCTGTCTCCCCCTCCTGTGTGCAGTCAGCCTGACAATGCACTGCAGCGGTTTTCTCTCCCTATACCACACCACCACCACCACCACCACCCCATTCAATCACCCTCCCCCTCCACTCTCCCTTCACACCCACCTCACTCCACACTGATCGCTCAAAATATTGCACGCATATCAACCGGCGATGAACAGTTCTGAGAGGAGAGGAAAAAACAAAAGCAGCAGAGGGTTTTCCTTCACAGTCACACTGCTGCTGAGTCCCCGCCTCTTTTGTTGTCACGTCCCAGAATCGATCCGCCCAGTCAACTCTGCACCTATTTCTCTCTTTCTGCTTTTTCTGATTATTTTCCTTCTCCACTCAATCTCCACTCGACTTCTTTCTGATCACACCATTTTCTTTAATCCAGTTCACTCTAATTTGACCCCTCAATGTATCTTTAACCCAAGTGCATTACAAATCCTTCAACCTTCCTGCTTAATTCACTGTCATGTCAATACTAACTCTTGCTTTTTCTCTATTCATCTTCCTGACTCCCCAAATTCTGTCCCTCTGCATATCACAAATTCATGCAAACTGTTCCCAAGTTTTTGTCCAAAAGATGCAGGCACAGTCTGGACAGTGAGAGGCTTCGTGTCCGTACAGTCATGTTTTGTTGACCATACAACGGGTAAAGATGACAGAGAGGAAAATAGAAGGGCAGATGGGAGGAAGAACAGAGAAAAAAAAGAGTCCGGCAGATGGGGGGGCTGATGGGAAGGAACGCGGAGGCAGAGAGCACTGGAGTCATGTGCTGGAGACAAGCCTGTGTGACATAAATTAGCGCTCCAGACAACTGACAGACAAGCGAGAGTCACTTAGGGGATAGAGATCTGAAAATGAGATGAAGGGGCATCGTTTTGAAGTTACAATAAAGAGATTAAAGCGGGTGGTGTGGGACTCGCCCGACAAAACAAATCATACATAATCCAGCCGGTTTATGCACTCTGGTTGGGTTTATATATAGATGCATTGTAGCTCATTCTGTTGGTTAAACAGGACCAACTTTGCTCTCAAACCCTGGTTCAAGAAATAAAACCAGTGTGTATCTACTACTGACAAACTGACTTTATGTTACATTCTGTCTTTCCTGAACACTGAAGGTTAAGCTCCTAACAGCATGAGTAAAAGAAACTGGATTTCATCAGGGCCTCTTGTTTGAAAGTCCCATTCAGTTCACAATAGCCAGAGATGTCATTTTTACATTTGATTGGCTTAAACTGAAAACATGCTGGTCTGACTAACAAAAAAAATTAGTATGCTTTTATTCCAGTCTCACCTCTGTTCAAAAACCAAAGAACAAATGGTCTAGCTTTAACACCTATCCTATTCTATGGTCCAAAAGAGGCACAATGTGCTGAAACACTCAATTATTGTTGTGAGTTTACAGCCCACACATTTAGGATAGTGCCACAATTCCATTTCAAGTTTGGTTTCACCAGGAGCAAAGATTTTAGCGAACAAATTCAATCATTTTTTGGACAAAAATGCACAGAATGTCAATTTAGTTACTTGTTGAAAAGATCACAAAAAGGTAGCAAAATCCCTTCTCCTAATTTGAAAAGAAAATGGATTCTGTTTCTACAGGCAACACCTCTTCATTACACTAAACTGCCTAGAAGCTGTCTAGAAGCACAGTGATAAAAAAATGAATATTCTGAAAACAAACTGACAAAGATGCTCTCTGCCCTACAGGAGTAAGAATAAGTTAATAAGGACCAGTTGCAACTTTGCCTTGCCCACTGACATACATGCACGCAGTCCTAAATCTGAAAACATAGTGATCTATGATACTGATACTGACTCAGTTCAACACAAGTCAACTACAGTGGGGAGACATTCTTGACACTAATCTCTAGTTGTGATCCATCTGCCACTCACGAAGATGACTACATCTCACTGTCTTCTTCGGCCCTTCGCTAAACTCACACTCACTCTCACACATGCTAAATAAAGCAAGTTCAGTGACATGAAACTGTCTTACAACACGTGGCACAGATGACTTCTATCATGTTGCTGTCAGCAAGTCTCTTGTTTGCTTATCTGGGGTGATGACGCTGGATTGCATCAAGAAGCAGCAGATCCCGCTTCATACTATCTTTGGGACCCACACACACATAATTCTGGTAATCATGGTCTTTCATGTACTTGTCACTATCTGTTCATCAGCCTCTGGCTGCTATGTAGGTTGCACCTCTGGGATAATGAATAACAGCTTCAGTACCGTCTCACTCAGGCAATTTAAAAGCATTCTGCCAGATGAATAGATTTCAAGTCTCTTAAAGAGTAGTATTAAGAAACACTAGCTCAGATGAGTATGTCTGCTCCAAAAGAGGCTGATTTTCTATTTGTATTGTCCTCACTTCTTTTCATTTCTATTTGTTATCATTCTGTGCCTCCACAACCACTCAAGTGTTACTCTGAGAGGTAATTAGATTCACAAGTTTCACGTGTGACCTCAAGGAGCCTCCACATTAGTTTGAGAGGGGAATATGTGTGTGTCGTCAAATAGAAAAAAGGAACAATACCAGACAGCTGGCCAGCTTTGATTATCACAAATTAAGAGAGATAGAGGACATGATGGGGCAAAACGATCTGAAAAGAGGTGGGAGGAAAAAGGAGAAAAAGATTAAGGGGGAAGTAAAACGGGGCGTATTACAGTAAGGTTTGTTTTTGTCTGCGAAAGGGGCGTAAAAGGTAGGTGGACACGGGAGAGATAAAAATTAGTTGTCTCTGGTGAGGAGCTCTCCAATGGATGAGTTTGTGATTAGCTTTGTTTTTGCAAGCGACAGACAGAGTTGATACAATTTGTTGTTGTCTTTATCCACGAAATCCATAATGCAATAAGCAGACACATTTTTTAAATGTTTTATGCTTGTGTGTAACTGGTACAGGCACTGCACTCTTGACGTGTCTGCATGTGGTTGTGCACTGTGGCTACACAACACAGTAGCATCCACACGAGGAGTTCCCAACTCTTCAATTATTTACAGTTTTCTTTTCTCCTCTCCTGCAATTACCCCACATTCTCTCACACTCCAGCCTCCATCGTCTAGACGACCCCCAACTTTGCCGTCCTTGTTCACCTTTAAAGACACCTTTGAGCTCAGACAGTTCCTCATGTGTCCACTTCCCCCCGGAAACCTCTCAGTCTGTTTCAGAGTCATGTCAGTTTAAATAGGTTTCCACTTTACAGCCCGTCTTGTCTTTGGTCATGTTTCAGGCTGATGTTGATTTGCTTGCTGACAGAGGATGTGGATAACATGAGGTGTTCCAGTCTGAGGCTGTGTTCAGCAGTGTAGAGTGTAGCAGCCTGACACCTGCAGGGAGGACTGGGAAACCGCATCTAACGTGGGACTTTTCAACTGGAGGCCAGTTGGAGAGCAAAGACATGTTGAGTATAGACTCACAGACATTTCCCTGGAATTTCTGATTTTCAGATACATGTGTGTGATGAGTTTTGTATGTGTAAAGAAAAAACAAACAAACATCTGTCTGAGGCTGTGAGAGTTCTGATTCTGATTTAAATTAGATACGGGATTAATCCAAAGAGAAATTAAATTAAGACATATACAGATACATTAATTATTAGAATATATCTAATATTTCATTTTTGCAAGCACACAATTAGTTGTATATTTCAAGCCTTTTATGTCAATGTGAAGAAATATAAAACCTATTCACTTTTGGGGTTTTTTCAATAACATAAAAAAGTAGTCATGTTGTGAGATAAATTCCTCAGAGTATCTGATGCGTTGTCAAAGGTAAAATAATGAGACTAATAATGAGACGTTTTTGTTCGTGATAGACCTTAGCCATGGAGCTGAGTTGACGCTGGACAATTTTTTAAATTAAAAATCTATATAAAACCTGCAATGTTTCCTTAAATGGGCAGTTCTTTTTGAACATCTGTTTAATTTTATGCAAGCATTAAAAAAACATGGGCTCTGTATTGCTATGGCTTTAGAGAAAATGAATTAGAAAGAGCAAAATGCTAGAAAAAGACAAAGAAAAATCATTAGTAGTTTAAAAAGTGAGTGAGTCATTACGAGTAGGTACTGATTCATATGCAGTAGGCGGGTTTAGGGAGGAGTTGAAAAAAGATGGGACTGGAAATAAAAAATGCAGCATAAGACAAAATGAGAAAGGAAGGAACTGAGAGAGAAAAGTGGTGAAAGAAATGCAGAATTTCAGAAGAGAAATGTGGTGCATTTGTAAGGAAGGGGGGGAAGGAACTGTTCATACCAAGGTCTGGCTGCATTCCAGGCTGTCTGGCTTTGTCTGCCTTACCTTCGCTGAACACCGGTGGAGCCTCCACCCTGCCTGATCAAGCCTCAGTCGCCCTGGCACCGGAGAATGAGGCAATGTTTGCAGCTGGATAAACAAAGGGCAGAAGAGCGCTGCACATGTGTGCTGAGGCACGTCATCTGTCAGAGAGCAAGCTTGAAAAGTGGAATAAATCCAAAGCAGGGTAAAAACACACAAACCTTACCTTCAGTGTCAATGTCAGTGGCCTGACAGATTGCAGCCGAGATAAGGGTGCCCCATTCTTTTCCCAGAAACTCACCGGGGTTTCTTTGGAAAGCTCAAACTGGAAAATCAACCCATTTTTATCCCACTGGAAATGGGGAGAGACTGGAAACATTCCTATGTGGGACAATAGGCTATCAAAGACCCCAATGACCACTCCCAGTGGTTCACAGCTTTGACCCTGCCAGCAACTGGTTACACAACAGTTTTCTGCACAGGTCTGCGGGTGTCAGACCTGGGAAAACCTTTCCTTCCGTTTCACAACCTGAGAGTAGTGAAGCTCGGCCATGTCTCAACTTGACTGCCACAGCGTGATCTGAGAGTTGGTTGTAAAGATATGAGGGTCGGAGTCAGATGAACCATAAAAAAATCATATTGCCAATTCAGTCTAAACTTGACGCATGCTTATTGAAAGGATTTTTTTTTTGCCTTCAACAAAGACAAAACATTTAGGAACTGATTGTCCACTTGCTCGAGGTGACTGTTGCTGTTGCCAGCGTTTTCTTTTGCTTCTAACAGCACAGATGGGCCTCCAAATAATAATTGCTTGGATGACCGGTTTACAGACAATAAATCTATAAATACTCTATATTGGGTCTATAAAAGAAAAAGTTTGTTCTGTCTGACTGACACACTTAAAATATTTCCCACTTACCATCACGTCTTGCTCATAATCCATAAGAATAAATATTGCTAATGATCTAAGTGGTTGACTTTGTTGCTCTTAGATAGTTTTGATGCGATGTAGACTGTAAACTACCCACAAGTTTCATGGATTAAGATGCTTTTGCTGCTCATTTAAATTTTTTATACCTTTTTTCCATAGTAAAATGAAAAATTTGGTTGTCAATTTTAAAAATGTGTATTGCTGCTGCTGAACGAAGTATCATCTGAAAATGTGATGAGACTCGGAAGTGTGGGCCACATGAACTGAGAGCTTTGTGTGGGTGACACATGAAATGACGTACAGCTGAGTGACAGGATGGGAGGTGTCGCGATGACACCTCAGTAGCGATCACATCCTTTTAAAGAGAATGGACTTAGAGAACGCGTGCTTTTTATGACCAGTTGTCTATATTGCTCACAAAGCAATAGACGGTGCGGGTTAACTTCCCTGGTGATAAGCAAACAAAGATGTGGCAACCCACCTGGCAACAAAAAGAATAATCTCTACACAATCTGTTCCCCGGCTGTGGCACAAGGTTTTTAACTTCCTGGAAGTAAATAAAATCACAAACACTTTCCGAAGGCCAGGCCTAATGGAACATACTTTAGTCAGCCACTGTACCTCCTTTTGTTTAGGCCCCTGACCACTCTTTGAGTCTGCATCTAATCAAGCCTCAAGCCCCATTATATCTCTCCCTCCCTCTGGCTCCCTCTTTCCCCCAGCCTGACCTTACATGGAGAGGCAACGGGGTTGATGTCATTGAAGGAAGAATGCTGCAAGAATCCAGAGAGAAAGGAGAGCAGGAGTAGGAGGAGGAGGAGGAGGAGGAGAGGAGGAGGAGGAGGAGGGGTCTGACTGGACAGTTTATGAGTAGACATACAGAAATGCAGAGAGAAAGAGACCGAGTTGCTGTTTACACTGTAAGACACAAGTCCTGAGCTCAAGTCAAACGAGAAAGAACTTGTTTGGAAGGATGGTGTCATTCCTTTTCCAGACTGAAAAGAACAAGGGGAGGGTCCAATAGCTCGAGAGAGGAAGAGAGAAAGAGAAGTTGGCATTACAGTCAGCCCATACTCAGTTTGAACCAAGAAGAGAAAAAGAAGAACAAAAGTACGAGGGGGATTAAGAGGAGGATCCAGCTGCAACTGTGTTAACAGGGTGAGTCTTTTATGCTCTGAATGAGATCACTCATATGGAAACTGTGGCATGTCTGGGAGAGCAGACATCTGCAGGTTACCTAATAAGGTAAAGCCTTTTCTCTCTTTCATGATGGTGCAGGTTTTTTTTCTTTACAAATGGGGAAACCTAATGGTGTGTCATCCCTGTTACGTGACAGCCGGCGCGTTCTATCAAAATAAACCTTTTCAAACTACAAAATGCCCCTCAGGTACGGCTAGTTCTTAGGTAGAGATAGCTCTGAATGGGGGGGTGATCTCAGGAATGTATGCTCAGTGGGTGCGAAAGAATCCTGAGCGTATTCAGAGCGGCGACACCGGGTGATGGACACCGACGATAAGGCATGGCAATGCGGAAGCTTCAACAGGAAGTCAGGCCAAAAAGTTGACAAATCTCGGCAGCGAGCGATGCCGCCGTGCCCCCGGTGCACCTCGGAGAGAAAATAGGTTCCGCGTTGATGACAGCGCGTCTTAAAAGAAAACTGTCGTCTTTTCCACATGAGGTAAGGGGGTAAAAGGGGCGTTGTTAACCCAGAGGTTCAACCACCGAAACCGACCGACCGACCGACCGCGGCTGGAGACGCGGTGCGGCGTAGGGGTGTGTTCGGGCGAGCTAACGTCGCTGTCGGTGTGACAGAGGTCTCCATATCGGTCCACGGCGCAGGTGGGTGCCGGTTATTACCCGAGAATGATAAAATATGTCCTCTGAAAGCACAAAACGAAGAAAATGTCGTTGAAACGGAGCGAGCTAACGCCGCTTTAGCGCTAATAAACGCTGTGGTTCGTCGGTTTAACGATTTGAATGATGTGGTACGAAACGTTAGCTTCGCTAGCAAGCCTCATTAATAACATTTTTTTGCTCTCATTTTGGGTTTGGTTGAATGAATATGCATGCTTCCGTGGAATTAGCACAGCCCCCACTGGTAATATGCTGTTTTTTTAACCACTTACTCTGAACCCTGCCAGCTGCCATGTATTAGTTGGTGTCGGTTAAGGCTGGGGACTGAAATGCCACGGTGTGCATCACCGAGTACTGACGAGGAATGCAGGTCTGTCATAAGTGACACGTTTTCCCCTCTGGTACGTCTGCACCGGGAAGGCCTGGAGGCAGGGATCTTCAAAATGTCTCATTATCGCTCCCCCTCCCCCTCTGGAACAGTGTGTTAATAACAGATCAAATATGAGGAACTCACCTTAAACCTAAAGAAGGGCCTTGCTTTTGTGTCATTGTCCAATAGCTGTACTACTAAAAGTGGTGCTGCTAAAAGTGCAGTATATTATTAGAGATGGTGGTTTTAGGATGAACTGGCTGAGCATTTCATCATCAGGGTGGTTGTTTGTAATGTTGAGAGGACCTGCACCCATTGCTGCAATCACAGGGAACGCGGCCACATCTGTCCTGCTGGCGTGGCTGCCGTGGAGAGGTTGCGTTTCACCACCTGTAAGTTTTACGGATGTTCTCTCTAGTTAATACACTACTTGGAAAGTAGAATTAGTTCCAGGAAACACAAAAGTCTTGTATGCTTTTTGTAAAAAACTATTCTTTATTTGGACGACTGTCTCCTAGACCAGAAGGAGCAGTAGCTGAGGTGGTTGTTTGCACGTTGGCCTGACAAAGCAACGTCTGTGGCTACAAATAAAGGTCATAATGAATGGAAGAGAATCCTGAACATTGCTTGGTTTAGGTTGGGCTCTAGTTCAAGTCTTTAATACAGCATCATTTGGATTTTTAAACTAGCTCATCAACCCTGAATCTGATTAAGCGGGTTTAGATAATGGATGGATGGAAGTTACATTTAGAGTAAAACTGTTGTAGATGGAGTCATCCTTACACTGTGATTGTTTGTAGGTTCTCTGGTTCTCTGTCTAACCACCATTACTTCCTAGTGCTGTCCTCACACCAGTGAATGAAATGGTGGCCATATTGGCGTTTTAAGGCACGTTATGATAGTTTCTTACATCAAGTTTCTGTATAGATGTCACTTCTGCTTCATTATTTCTTTAACAAGCTAGAGGTTGTAAGGAATTTTAGATTCCTTATTTAGGCCATTTCAGCATTCTCTGAGAATGTGAAAATCCTCTGATTGTTAGGGAGCCTAACCCAAGGCCACAGTCAGTAAACTGTGTCTAAGATTAACTTAGCTGGAGAAGCTTCTAGTCTGAGGTATTAGTGGTTCTTTTGTTCTTTAAATTACCAATGAATGACTCTGTGTATGTCTGGGGTGATAAGGAATCCTCCTTAATTGTAGCCTCCATGATTCAAAATGCACAAGTTATTTCAGAGCATTTGGCTCAAAGCTGTTCTTGTCTAGCGCTTTGATTTAGTCTCGTTGTCTTGTGACTCTTCTTTGGCATACATTACGCCTGTGAGGGCAAACAGACCGGGCTGGAGATGGGGGACAGTCTGACACAGAATCCAGTGGCTGATGTTACAAGATCTGAAATGTGGCCCGCTCAATCGTTACATTCTGAGCGGGAGCAAGACAATGCAACACAATGCATTTCCAGTGACCTGTAAAACTGGGGCTCAAAAGGGTTGTTTGTCTCCATATTAGTGACCCTCGGCCTGAACACGCTTTCCCAGAGTCTGGGTGTGCTATTAACATCAGAACAATGAAGAGTTTCATCAACAGCACCGCTAGTCACTGATACTGTGAGGAGTGGTGGAAATACAGTTTAAAAACAAGTTGTTCTCTCGGTAAACCATTTCAGATGTGGAACTAAAAATCTCCTTTGTCATTTATTTGATAATGTATAGGCTATATAATATATATTTAGGAGAAGCAGTATATATACTCTTCCATTATTATTTTTGCAATGGTTTTTTAACAAGATTAGAATACATTTTCATAATGCTTTTGTAAAAAACTCGCCTACTTTGTCCTTGTCAGAGGCTACAATTGGTCCATGTTTAAGTATCAACAAAGGGACACAAAACATGAAGATGATACAAAGTGCTCCGTGAAGTAGCCTTGCGTCTGTGCTTTTCTAGCCCTTGAGGAAATGTCCTCAATTTTCCTGAGCACCAATTTTGGACACATACCAAGGGCCGGAAATAAAGTTTTGTATTTGTAAATTAGTTGGACTGGGCTGCAGAACGCAAACCTAGTTGAGTAGCCATTTACTAGTCTGGAAAAGCAGCACAGCGGTGTGCAAAAGTTCAAAATCTACAGAGTACATTGTGTGGTTTAAGCTGAGGCCCTTGCTAAATGCTACATGAAGCCATCCCCCTTCACAGCTGCAAAGTAGAAATGATTGAGTGCAGCCTCAGATGATGTCATGCAGTTCAAGTGGTGGGTGAGACTTGAATAAGAGGCCGAGGAACGAGATAGAAAGGGAGAAGGCACTCTGCGGCAGAACAATAATCTGTACCTTTAGCTGTGAGAACAGACAATCACTCCTCATTAAGAGAGTAAAAACAACAGAGCAGAGCTGCAAAGATGCATAGCGAGATGATTAGAGGGGAGCAGGAAAGGCAAAAAAGGTGATGTCATTGAGTTGGGTTTGCCAAAATATGTTCTTCAGCAGAGGGTCGCTCTCCTCAAGGATCGGGTTTCAGGATAGGTTTGTCGTTGACTTTCTGGGGCCGACTGCTTAGCTGATCTCACCCAGCTAATTCCCTCTGGACCGTGTCGAGGAACAGATGAAACCTTACCACAAGTTTTCATTCATGTTGAATAATTGAGGACTGTTGTGTCTTAGAGACAAAGAGGCTTCAGGACCCTAATTACAGACCAAATCCCAGTCTTTACTATACTTGTCAAGCACTCTCTTATAATAGGTTTAAGTGTTATTTGTAGAGCACTTTGTTGATATAAAGTCGACTCAATTCAACAAGAAACTTAACAAGAAGTGGCTAAATGAAATACCCAATCGCTTGACTCTCCAAGCCATCTGTGCTAAATATTCAGCAGCTCTTTTCCTCTCCATTAGACCTTCACCATCTGCTTTATTGATTGATCACACATTTCTTGAAATATTTAAGCGTTTTAGCTTAAGTCATTGAACTAACAGCCTCTGAGGCAGCTGTACAGATAGATGGATTCATCTGATATTCTGATCGTTCATCAGTCATAGCTTTCTGGACAGTTTTTGTCTTGCTTTGTTTCAACTGTGTTCTTGTTTGGTTCAGCTGACCTAGAGCTAAGTATTTTAGTAGATATATGACTCCTTATTTGATTACACAACTCAACAGCTCACACATTTGTAGGAGCAGCGTTGTTTGTTTGGGCGTGCGTGGTTACAAAGCTCATCAATAATCTTTACAAGAATAAAGCTGACATTTAAAAGGGGAAGCACTGCTTTTTCATCCAAGAGGCTAATTTAGTCAGTAGCACCACAGATACTTTCAGTGTTACATCTGTTGTTTTATTCTCTTGTTTATTTGTTGTCGGAGCTTGAAGTGTGCACTGACAAACGAGTGAAAATGAAAAACAAACGTCTCTTGGTAAGTTTTGCCTATCCTCACAATGCTTTTCAAAACCAGCTTTCCATTAAAAACAATAGGGATCTATATATTTTATACAACATTTCATATTAGTCCTTTGTGTAAACAGGTCCCTGTAAGTGAGACAGATAATGAATTATGAATAACTAACTAAACAGTTGTTCAAGTTTCTTTATCCTAAGTGACATTTATCACCCTTGCTTACCTTATCATGACTCATCGGTGCAGAGCAAGCCTCATCTGGATGACGCATAATGAACATTTAATAATTACATGCGTCACTTTGCTTAATCATCTCCACGTGCCGGTCTTTCTCTTACAGATTATGACTACTGTTCATGAAATATATCTGATAACACACTCCGAAAGCTTTAAAGTTGTTTAACACCCTGGTGCTTTTGTTTTTTGTTCCTGCTTTGTATGGTATTATGTGTTTTCAGCGGACTTTGGTACATTTGGGGCCTGTGGTGTTGAAGGAAGTGTATTCATTTTCTTTCTTTGGACTCTCGGTAGAGACACCAAAGCAAGTCAACATTTGTTCAACCATCAACATGTGCGAAGTAAATATTTGAGCTGAACCTCTTTTTGACGCACCTCACATGAAAATGTTAGAATTGCAGCCGTTGCTGTGCTACTCTGTGCTGCTCTGTGCTTTATGACAGCTTTATGAGTCAACAGCCCAGCAACACGCACTGGAAATTCTCTAGGTCCTCGGAGCTCTGATGTCTGTCAGCGTCGTGTCGATGGAGCGTACACACACTGGACTTTAGACGATTTGCCCAAAGGCTTGTTTAAAGGGCAGCACTGCGTGGGCAAAATCCCGACGTCAAAGGGCCGGTTGTATACAAGCCGATATATTCATAAGTTTAATGCACAGCATTCCACAGTCCTCTTTCATTTTGAGGTTAGCAAGTTGAAAAGGAATATCCACAATATGCTGTTTTGTCAGTTTTAACCGCTGAAAGGGCAGCTTCTCTGTTTTCAGTTAAAAGTAAAGCATTTTATCGACAGTGTAATTTTTTCCCATCATGAAAGCGGTCCTACCTCCGAACCTGGTTTTTATTAGAACCCAGTTTGCAACTGCATAAGCCTGAATGTTTTCTGGATGTGTCATCACCACTAATTCCTCTGCAAAAGCCTCGATGTCCACTTGCTGCCAAGGAATGCAAACCCTTTGACTTTTGTCAGCTGATTAATGTTGGTTTTTATCATTGAGTTTGAGAACAAGAATACCGATGGTGAATTGATGTGAACTCAGCAGAAACCTGTCTCATGTTTTCAGGATAAAATCCAAATGATTTCAAATGTTGTTTGTGTGTGTGTGCATGCATCCTCAGATAAGTCTACAAAATGGAAGACTCCAGCAGCAGCAAGCCATTTATGGTGACATCGTCTCTCAACTTCAAAGTTACCACTCCGTCTTTTTACAACCAGCCAAAGAAGTTTGCCTCTGTAGCACCACCACGACCCAAAAGTCAGACCCCTCCCTCAGCGCCATCGCCAACGCCACTGGGCACTGCTGTTATTGGTCGAGTGGGAGACCTGCCTCCACCACCCTCTTCACTCTCTGATGGTATTTGCATTGTCTAAGTTTTTTATTTGATTGTGTTTTGCTTTTGTTGTGAGCTCTGTTAACTCATAGAGCGCCTCTCACTTCATCATGCCTTGTGCTGCTTCGGCTGGAGCACGCAGAGCTTCCCAGCTTTTCAATGTGTCCTGTGTTACATCTGCTGTTTCTGTGCCTTCTTATGCCTTCTTTTCAGAAGAGGCAGAAATTGCCTTTTTTTTAATGCTGGTTTTGTGTTTTTAATTACAACCCCTGGCAAAAATTAGGAAAAAATTCTTGAAATCACTTCACTTGTGAAACTACGTTTCCATTTGCATTAAATAATACCTGCACGAGCCTGAACATGCTAATGAGTTTCTTGTTGACTGATTGACAGGAAACATGAGCCCAGCAAGAGTGCTGTCAGTAGCAACAATGAGAGGATAAACACTCCTTTCAGAGGGTGGTTGATCTTGGAGTGTGCCAAAGTTGTGGGTTTATTTCAGTAAGCTGTGTCAAAATATGGAGCAGGTGGAAAGAAAACTGGAAAGATTGTCGAAGATAATTATGCAGGTCAACCAGGAAAGAGGTCAGAGCTTCAGGGCTGAAGTTAATTTCCACAGGCATTGGTGAAATGGGGTTACTGTTTGAAAAAAAAATTCAAAGGATTCCATAATCTTTACCAGATGTTATGTTTATTTTCCTTTTTAAATATTCTTGGCATTATTCATGGAGGAGGACAGAGAAGTAAGCCACATTAAAGGTAGCCTTTGGAGTTTTTTAACGTATATTCAGGAAGAAGAGTGCTGATGAATCCCCTGTGTTTCCTGTGATCTACATTGATAGTGGCTACAGTGACTGTTCGCTCACAAAAGCAGAGTCCTCCCAAGCACACCCAATATTGTTATAAATGCATTTCCAAATAAGCCGTGAATGTGTGTTCACTAACAGTGGCTTACGTCATTTTAGTCTGGAAGGCTTACTCATCAAATCTTTTTTTGGCTCATGTTATCCAGCAGCTAAGCAAAATGAGGAAACTAACTTGGTCACATCCACAGCTCGTTTTTAATGTGGATCCTTTTATTAATGCAATCTTGGTAAAGAACTTTTTAGAAGTCAACTGGATGATTAAAAAGAAACCTTCGGGATTACTTTTAACTAATAAACTATTCTTTTCTTTGCCAGATTTCCCACCCCCCCCTCCTCCTCCTCCGCTGGATGACGATTTGCCAGCACCACCTCCTGAATGCCAAACCACACCTATTGCCTTTGATGCTCCCCCCCCCGCCTTCCCCCCCCCCCCCCCTGTGGCAGATCACCTGCCCCTCCCAGCTCCCCCCGAGGAAAGTGTCTGTCCACCCACCTGCCAATCTCTCCCTCCGCCCCCCCCACCTCCACCTCTCCCTGCCCCCGGCGCCTCTTTCCCCGCTGTTGCCGGGCACCCGCAGGTGAGTTGAGATGTAACACAAAAGTCTGACTCCTTGCTCTCTTTCTCTCACTGCATGAAACGGCATTTACCTGAAAATCTGATCATCATTTGGGACACTGGAGGACACTTATGTGTGACCATACTCAGTAATAGGAGTAAATTCAAGAATTTGAGTCTGCTGAGATTTTCCCACAAATTATATTAGCATTAGTCCGGGGTAAATCGGCCAGTTTCATGCTCCTAACAAGATTATTGGTGTTTTTTGCCACAAAAATAGTTTTCAACATAGAGTAAAAGATTCATAGCGCAGATGCTGGACTGCATTTGTTTTTTAGGCTACAAATAGATCGGTGTGTGTTAAAGGGGAGTGAGCATTTACAGAGTACAAGATACAAAGATACACATAGAAAATTCAAAACAAATTCTTCTCTTCATCCTCTTCTGTTTTGTTTTTTTCCTTGCTGTGTCATCCACCAGAAGCCAATCCAGCAGCAGACGAGCTTTGACAAACAGATTGACTCTCTGACCGACTTGTTGTCCGAGATGGAAACCAGGGGGCCGTTCAACCCTAAGGTATACAGCACAGACAGATGGGTAATAACTCTAACAGCCATCCAGGTAAAGCCTCTCAGTAGACCTAAGGTGTAGGTGAGAAGGACAACGGCAGCAAGCTGTGACTCATCGAAACCCTGCTGTAGAAAACAAGAATGAGCCACTGAAAAGAAAAGCAGAGCAAAGCAAAAGGAGAGAGAGGCTGGTCAGTGGAAATAGTTTGGAGAGTTGCCAATTCAGTTTTGTAAGTAGTTGCTCATCCATACAGGTTAGAAACTCAATTAGAAGTGAAGTGCATACGCAGCACAGCAGACTGAAAGAGAAAACAAAAAAGTGAGGTGGTTGGTGACTCACGCTGAGAGGAGACACTTGCTGAGCGGCAGGGTGATGCACGCCGAAACAAACGAGTGCGTTGTAGCCAGAGCGAGCTGCCAGGGATCCAGCGAGAGGGCCATAAATGGAGAGTGTTTTTTTTTATCAAAGTGGGAGGTGCTGAATCAGAGCAGAGTAACGTTGGCTCAAAACAGCAAAATAAATGTCAGAAAGATTAAGCACTTCTGATAAGCACAAACTGTGGAGTGCCTCCAGTGTTTACTTTAATCAAAGTACCTCATTTGTCCTAATAAAAGTGTCTGCTTGCAACATTTCTGTAAGCAGTGATGCAGACCATAAATTGACTTCCCTCTCTTGAGTTTTTTTTTTTTTTTTAGTTAAATGAGAAATTTGATTTATTGACCATAACAGCTACAGAATCTGTGAAGAGTTCATTTTTCTTTTGATATGTTGTTTATCAATAGTTACCAAGCCAGTATTCATCAGCACCGGCCACCAAGCCCTCAGGCCCCCCACCAACTGCTCCAAAACCAGCACTCTCCTTCTTGCCACCTCCCGAGATGGGCGACCGCCCTCCTCCTGCACCCTGGGCAGAGGAACTTAAGGCCAGGACCAACCGGCAGGCCAATCACAACTCTGGTCCAGACTCTGCTCAGCCGTTCACAAAAGGACCGGCCGTGGCTCCAAAGTCCAGTTTTGGAGGGAGAATGTCAACATCATCTGCCTCACTGGCACAGAAACTAAACCAGAACCTGAACCAGGCAGCCACTCCCGTCAACACTGTAGCAAAACCGTCTCTTCCCACGGCCAGCAGCTCGTTCCCTCCCCCTCCAGCTGCCCCGCCCGCGCCCCCCGCTCCTCCCAGCAACGCGACTGCTGTCCCCGCTGCCAACCACATCAAGAGTTCTCCCTTTGGGAGTCAGGTGAATTCAATCCAAACCCCTCCTGTGGCTGGGCAGCCCCCTCAACCCAAGATGGTGGCGTCTCCACCCTCACCTGTGAGCCAGCCAATGAAAACCAGCCCTGCATCAACGGTAGGCTCCGGTGTAGCATGCACTTTAGAAATACTCAGTAACTCATCAGATGGAGTTCCTCCACTTGCTTTAACTTTAAACACAAACTGTGAATTCTAAACAATGAAATGCTCTCTGTGGCATTTAAAATATTTGTAAGTAACATTTTTTCTCTGTTTGCACAAGCAGCCTTCACCTCCTGGCCCAGTTCCCATCCCAGGTGCAGGCGTGCCTCTGAACATGAAGGAAGTGGAGGAGCTGGAGAAAATGACCCAGGACTTCATCAAACACATGGACACCAACCCACCCGTCATCACCTCCCCTCCAACAGGTACACACATCCACATTCTGTGCTGTGCACACATTTATCTCACACTCCACCTTTTGTGCAGCAATGCTCTCACGTATGCTAATTAGAAAATCGTTCATCGTAACTTCTGTTTGACACCACGCTTATCTGTACTAATGTAGATGGATGGTGGGTGTCATCGTTGCTAATTAAAGTCATTATGGTGCTGCAAGTTTGTGCATCTTGCATGAATGGATCAAAACACTGTGTCTGTTTGACTGGTATTGTTCTTTTGGAGTTTAATAGACGAAGAAAGTGTTGCTGGATCGTCTTAATACCCCTCATTCGAAACATTAAAGACATAAAAGAGATTATATTCCTGTCAGTTGGCTGATTTATTTAGCTATGCAAAGGATTTTCTTTTAGAAAAACGGTTTAAGGGGGAATAGATGTTTATCTCCAGAGGCGTTGGTTCTGTTTACCACTGTGGAGATTCAGTCGTTAAGTGTTTGCTAATGAACACATAACCTACAGGCATGCTTTAAATTCTTGGTTTCTAAATGTTTATCAGGTTATTATTGACAATAATGGAGGAATGTAGTAAGCAGAAGCAGAACCGGGTAAACAGGATTTATTTGTGGGGAATGTGCCCTCATATCAATTGTCTGTGTGTCCTGTGCTTTTATTTAGAGGTTTGCGGGAAATGTGGCGTTGCTCTCTCCCGTACTCAGCCAGCTGTGAAGGCCATGGACAAACTCTTCCACTCCAACTGCTTCTGTTGCATGAGCTGCCACCGCCCCCTGCAGGGCATGCAGTTCTACGACAGGGACGGCTCGCCGCAGTGTGAGGACTGTTACACGGTGAGGAGACTCAGATACTCTTTATCTCACATGTGACCAAACTAGTCCAGCATTTGACACGCAGATACTGTGAACTGAAAACACGCCTGTTGTTTTTGGAGGTGTTCGTAACATTCATTGAAGATTTCCTCCGTGTCGAAAAGTTCAGCGCCCACTCCCGAGCGTGCTTAACAACCACATTAAAATCCTCCTGTTTGCTCTCGTTGCTCAGAGCTCCTTGGCCGTGTGTTCCCGATGTGGGGAGAGGATTACAGACCGAGTGCTGAAGGCAGTGGGACAGTGTTTCCATGCCCACTGTTTCCGTTGCAGCACCTGCTCCTGCGTACTGGAGGGGGCACCTTTCATCACCGATGACAACAACAACCCCTACTGTGTCCAGGATTACCACAGGTGCAAAACTCATATCAGAACATATGTGCAATTTCTTTCAGATCCTTCTGAAGGAATGGTGTTTTGTAGAGAGAGAGAGAGAGAAAACTTTTTAGCATTTCCATTTTTTTATATTTCCATTTTCCATTTAAAACAAAAAACAGGATTGATTGAGGCAGTAACAGTCATCCTTAGTTTGAATGACTCGGTTCTTTATCTCCTGCCAAAAAAGTGTTCCCAGCTAGGGGTCAGGCACATACGCAGCCAAGAGGTTTCCTGTAGTGAAGATGTGACGTGTCTCCACCTCCCTCTTGTAGGCGTTTCTCCCCTCTGTGTGTGAGCTGCAATGAGCCCATCATCCCGGCCCCAGGCAGCGAGGAAACCGTCAGAGTGGTGGCCCTCGACAAGAACTTCCATCTCAAGTGTTACCGCTGTGAGGTAAGACAGAAACAATCATCTGAGAATAATCAGGCTCTGAAAGTTTGAAGTTAACAAGCCTTTGTTTACCCTGCAGGACTGTGCTCGTCCCCTCTCTATCGAAGCTGATGAAAATGGCTGTTATCCACTGGATGGCAAGATCCTGTGTATGAAGTGCCACACCCAGCGAGCCAAGCAGGCTGCGAAGTGATTGGCCGCTGCCGCATGGCTCAGTTTAACCATAAACCAAATCCAAAAGCACATGATTTATCCAGATGCCAATTTGCCTTTGCAGCGGGGCTTTATTCAGTATATGTGCACAGGTTTGTGTGCGAGAATGTGCTTTGTGAAAAGATGTCTGCATGCCGATATTGTGTAGTTGAGTCGTTTATCCAGTGCAGAGGTAATGTACTGCACTGAACTAAACTCCCTTCATCTTTTGTTCCTGACCCCTAACGCTCCTGTGCTCCATCAATAGCTTTCCTTTGTACTACCGTAGATATTTTCTACCAACTCAATGTTTACGCTAAAAGTTCCAGCATAACTTGCACAAAAACAGCAGTCTCATGAATATAAAGTTGCCTTTCTCTCTCTCCTACCTAAATGTTTTTTGCAGCCCTAAGAACTGGGATTTTAGCATCTGAAGTCCTTCAGCTGCTGGTATTTTACCACGCAAGCAGTAGGACCTCGCTGACACTGAGAAAGATTGGTACTGTAGAGTGAGAAGGATCATCACACATCTGTGTTGTTGTGTACACCGTTAAGGATGCTTTCCTTCCCACAACGTACTTTATATCAGCCTGTCTGCTTTGGTGGGTTTTGGAGGTTGTGTAGGGCTACAACGCAGCTGCAAAAAGGTCCAAACAGTGAATGTTGCTTTTGTAGTTTTTGTGATGCAAATGGAATCATGTTCAGGCATGCTTTGAGCTCCGTCTTGCTACTCTTTCTTCGATCTTACTGTTTTAAGGGCAAAATTGGAACAAAAATAACCAGTTTTACTCTTTAAACAATAGCTTAAAGCTGATTTAATCGTGGTAAGTTTTTATAGATGCATGCTTTTTGGATGCGAAAATGATGAATGAACAAACGAGCACAGGTTCCCTCCCCTGAGATCTCACCTTCATCAGATGGTTCACTTATACTGTCAGCAGCACGGCTGACGTCAGGACCTGTTCTGTAAACTTGCACAGTGCCATATGAAGAGAAATATTCTTCTAGTGTCACTTTAACTAAAAAAAAATATCCCTGCACATGATGAATTCTCTTTAAAGACCAGCTAGAAAAAATAGTTTTATAGTAGTTTTAACGGTAAACAATTCTCCGAATCTTTTGTTCTGAATAATATAATTTAAGGATTTAATTTTAAGTATTATTCTTACTATCAAAGTTACATGTGTACTAGTATTACAGTGATCTGTCTCGAGAGCAGAAAAATGAACTTAGAAAGGTGGTTTAAGGTCCACTAGCAGGTGTTGAAGCACAGTGACCAAATGTGTTCAAGCAGAGGATTCAGACCAGTTAAGCGGTTAAATGGGACTTAACATGTTAACCTTCATGTTGGTTGTTTGAGCCCAGCCATTTTCCTCTTGACTTAATATTTCCTGGAATACCACTATTCTTTCCATTATCCAGCTTTTGTACTTAAATTTGTTCAGTAGGTTACTTACTTATTTCTTCCTATGTTACTGTACTGTTTTTCATTGATTAAATGCTAGTATTTCATGCTTATTTACTCGGCCTTAAATGTGCCTTCTCCATAATGTGTTCCATTGTTCGGTTTTAATTGAGCCTGGTTTACAGCAGAGTAAATGAGCTCCTCGGCAGGAGGAGCTTGTGCTTGCATTGAGCCAGGTGCAGAAAAATAGCAGAATGACCAACAAAACATGGCAATATTGACGGAGCGTTGCATGCTTGTTGTGGTGTCAGCTGTGGCGTTTCCTCGTGTGTTAAGTTCTCTGTCTCCACCAGTGACTCGCCAGTTTCTCTGCATCAGCCTGTTCTCCACATAGGATGATGCCTTAATGGCTGTATTTACCTGGCATTACCTTGTATATCATTGTATTAATTGTGGATGCCTTGTCTTTTCTGAAAACCTTTTTATACATTTGATATGTGTGACTGTGTATATGTTAAAACATCATTTAGCCTCACCCTTCCTTTTTTTTCTTTTTCTTTTTTTTGGCTGTATCAGAAGATCAAAATAAAGACAAATGCTCAATGCGGAAATGTGTGTTTTTCAGTTTTTTTCTCTCCAAACAGGACGTCTTACATTACTGTATGCCTCTATGGAGCATGTTTTCTCCCAGACTCTGTGATGTGTAACGCTCTGAGACCGTGACCTCCATGGCCCTCTATCAGTTGTTAACAGCCGTGTGTTGCGCTGATAATGACGATAGCAGATGTGTGTATGTGCGTGTGCATTGAAGTGTACATGCTTTCCTAGAAGAAGAGCTTTTCACCTCATGATAGGATGTATAAGCGAAAGCAAGGTGTTGGTGTTAACTCACCAAGTCCAGGCCATCCGGCTGTGGTCTTGCCAAAGGACAGTTTGAGAAATGTGTCTTAGTCTAAATCCTCTTCTTCCATAGAAAGAAGGCCCATGAGCTGTGTTCTATCTAAATTCTGGAGAGGAGCATAGGACAAAGCCTGCAGAGTTGTTTTTATCAGTGTCAGATGAGGAGAGAAGTGAGTGATGAAAATAGATACAGAGCAGAGTTGACAGCTGTCTGACGTAAGGACAGGGGGAAGACGCACACGTGAAAGAACACAAAAAACACAGGAGGCAACATAGTCCGAAAACACAAGGCAAGAATGAGTGAAACTCCAGTAGAGCTTGAGGTAAGATTGCAAAAGTCATATGTTTGGTATGTTTTTACTAAATTGTGTTACCATGGCAACACAACAAATGTTTACATTTCAACAGGGTCAACTTAATTTGTCAAAAATGGTAATATGTGTTTTTTAATGACTGCAGGTGTCAACACGGTGCAGACAAATGAAAATGTTCTTTTTTCTGTCTTCCTTTAAAAAAAAGAACTCACTACAACTCATTATCCAGGCATTTTGAAGTTATCAATAGAGGTACTAACACATCCCATTACACGAAAAGTTAGGACCTGGTGTAAAACGTAAATGCAAACTGCGGGTTGTCACAAATTTTATGTGTAATTGGAACTGGCTTGTAAACAAGTCAAACAGTGAAATCTGGGATGTACACACTTCTAAATTTAAGGCTAAATGTCGAAGAATGGAGATGCTCCGTAAACATGTCTAGATGTTACTATATAACTTTTTTTGGAAAAGGGCATTTTCAGAAGTAAAGATGGGATTGGGTTCACCAAGTATGATGTCACTGATTGTATTAAAAGTTTAATCTCAGCACATCAGGCTACAGGTAGAAAAATAAGTGCAAAATGGGGGCAACCTTCAGGGCCTCTGGGAAGTACTGAATTAAAAACAGGCATGGTTTTGAAGTGGAGATCACTGTATGAGCTCAGTATTCTACATGATGAACTGGTCAGACTGGCCTGGCTGCTGTCCAAAGTTCATATGTAAACAATATGAATGGAAACAAATATTCAAATGAATATGACAAATGAAGCCCAGGAGCTTTTGAGAGGCAGACATCTTATATAACAGTTTAATGGGAATATCACGATTTGCGAATATTGCATTAGATTAGTTTATTTTCATTATGTTTGCTTTTAAAAAGAATTTCTACCTTTTATATATGTGTTTGGTAAAGCATTGAACCAAATTTATCAAGAGTGACACATGAGCTGTTTTGCAAAGCTGGACATAAACCAATCTATTCAATGACATAATGATACTTCTTTCACTTGCAATATGGTGGCTTTTATTTAAGTATGAGTTTTATGAATAATATGGATTAACTTTCATGTTACATTGTTTGAACATGTTTGATGATCATTTAACTGGTCCATTCCTTTAACCACTATCATAACCACTCGTTCCCTAATGGGGTCGCGGGGGGAACTTGAGCCCATCCCAGTGGTCAGTTGGCGTGAGGCGGGGTAAACCCTGGACGGTCCGCCAGTCCATCGCAGGGCCATTAAACTGGTCAGTCGAATAAACCGTCATTACCACTATTTCCAAAGAAAAAAGATAAGTTTATAGATAAGAGCAAAAAGGCCTAGTTAATCATGGAGACTGTGAGAAAAAGCATCAAGGGACCTCTTCCACTGTGAATAGAGAAGGTAAAACCACAGTCCAAAAGCAAGGGACATTGTTCCAAATGTTAACAAAAACAGAATGAAAACTTTTGCAGACAAAAAGAATTATACTAACCACAATACATTACAGAAAATCATTTGAACTGGTTCATGTGAGGCTTCTAATTTCCTCGGAATAAACATCAGCTCACGATCACAGGAATGTGTTTAAAATATTTGGAAAGAGTCATCTTTCAGCTGTTGGACCTCAAACTGGAAAGTTGTTAATTTTGGTCTCATGTAGGATTCTGCCTGCTATGGATTCACTTTTCATATTTTAAGTTTTACTCTAATATACTCTCCTCTGAGGACCAGAGGATGCTGTGGCTTTATGTCCAAAGAGAATTTCATAATGTGCTTCATCTGACCAAAGAACAAGTTTTCATTTGGCTTCAGTCCATTTAAAATCAGCTTTGATCCAATGTGGAGACATGTTTATGTATGGCTTGTTCTTTGCATGGCAGAGCAATAACCTGCGCTTTCAGGTAAACACAAATGTTCACAGATAATGAGTTCAGGAAGAATTCCTAAGCCAAAACCATGATTTCCAGGGCAGAATGTGAGCTCTATGCAGTGGCCTCTGAGGGCCTGAACATCACAGGCATCCATAATTGTGTTTTATGGTGTCTATTGTCCACAGGGATGTTTCCACATTCCCTGAATATCTTGATAATATCTTCAGGATATTTGATGTATCCTGAATAAGCTTCACAGTTTCTACAAACTGCCATTCTACATCAATTTGTGTCCATGACCGTCTTTTTTCTTACCAAAACATCTGGACTGTTACCAATTAACCTAGTTAGATACAATATGTTGCTCCAGATGTTTTTTTCTAGTACTGCTTTTCCATCATTTCCCCCCTACTCAGTTTTTTAGGGGGATGATGTTAACATCAAAGCCTAAATGAATAAAACATTTATTTTGGTCAAATGTGACAATTAATTTTGTGTCTATGTTCAACAGTGGATGAAATATTTGTTTTGACATTTGGAAATTACTACATTCTGCTTCATGAGCCCTTAAGTGTCTCAACCTTTAGGGAATTGGGTGACTGTTTTACGTTGATTTGAAGTGTAAGAGCGTGTTGTCTGACTCAGCAAAAAATGAAAAGCTTAGTAAGAGTGGGACAGTAGACCTGTGCCAGAGCTCATCTCAGGCTATTGATGTCAAACTTTGCATGTTCCCATGAATTCTGTATTACTATTTCACTTCTAAATTAAGAACAAGCAAAAATGATAAAAGTCAACATCTAATATCTAAGAATATCTGATGAACTTCTGAATGATTATGCAGAGGTCAAGAAAGTAGCTGAGGAAAAGACAACTGAATGGACTTTTTTTTTGCTCCACAGCCATGATGTTCTTTTTTCTGAATCTGTTGTATTTTGTAATCCTGACATAATTCCAGCTTCACCATCGAGTCCAGTCATTGTCACGGCCTGAACCTGAGAGGGCGCTTGAGCTTCCACAACAGCTGCTATTGGAGTCCACCCTCCAGCACCAAGCAAAGCCAGTGTGGATAAAACATCAAAGGCTCCTTCTCCTGCTTCTGGGACTGTCTTTGCTTTCTGCCGTTTCGGGAATGGTCTACTACGTGCACCACAGCCTTCACCATGGGAGCAATAACAATGCCCCACCTGGTAGGACTCAGAGAAACACAGCAAGATGAGACAAAGCATTTGGAAGTTTGCCTTTTCATCCATGTCCTCTCTCCCCCTCTCCTGCAGTGACTCCGTGTCTCTCTCCAGCCTGTCAGCGGGCCGCGGCTCGTCTGTCCGTGTCCGCCGATCCCTTCACACAGCCCTGTGATTACTTCATGTTTACATGCAGATCTGACAGACTTTCACCAGACAGTGGAGGCAGATATAGAGGCCAGGGCATACCGGAGCATCCACTAAACCCAAATGAAAAGACAGAACACAGAGGACCGACAGACGATAGAAGCCTGAGCAGGAAAGCTGCTCTGCTGCAGTATCTGCGGGACATTTTAGGTGGGAATTCTTCTCAGTTACAAACAAAAGTAGTGTGGGGTTTGTGAATTTATCAAAATTGAGTCAGGTCTCACAGCTAATGGTACATGTAGAAAACATTGTGCTGTTGATGATAAATTAATCCATTTTCACTATTCTGAAGGTTCCATCATAGTCAAATTATATTTCATTATCAGGAACAACCACCAGCATTTCTAGATTTGACCACCACAGGAAGTCCCCGTGAAAAATTATTATTGAAAATGGAAAAATTTTGCAAAGATATAACATGCTGTGTTGTAAAAAAAATGCATGCCAGAAGCCATTCCTTCCTAAACTACATCTAATTGCCCAATAAAGATTAAGGCTTAAATGTTGACAGTGTGCAAAAGTTTTGAGCCTCTCCTCAGTTTCTTTAACATATTGCTGGCAAAACACGATCCTTTGCTAAGTTGCTGTGTGCAAACACAAGATTGACAACCCTAAAGTTAAGTGTTTCTTATGTTCAAATTTAGCAAAAGTCAATAAAACATTTCCAGTTCCAAAATGAAAAAAGTAGCTCAAGACTTCATAGAAAACCAGAAACTGAGCATCAGCCCGTTATTATTGTCCCTGCAGTCAGACATGGTGATGGTGGCTTCATTCTGCGGTGATATTTTTCTACACCAGGAGCTCAGAGGCTAGTCACGGTGGAGGGTACAACGGATCCTGAAAGATATAGAGTGATTCTGAGGTCAAAGCTCCTCCGGATTGCTTGAGATTTCAGGCAGGCATTTCAACAATAACCCCAGGAATACTACCAGGAAAACACTGATCGTCATTGTTCTCCTGTATCTCTCTCTTAGAGACCAATGGCACTTCGGGTCGCTCAGCTGTACGGAAGACTAAAGACTTCTACCATTCATGCTTGGACACAAGATCGATAGAGACCGCAGGAGCAGAGCCTTTCCTGGAACTTATCCAGAAGGTATGATGATCTTCAACCTGAATGACGGTTTTATGGCTTTCCAAAATAGATCATCGAATGTTCCCTTTCTACCAACCTTGGGCATTTCCGGTTGCATCTTTTTTATTTACTTCAAAATGAAAATAACCAAAAGAGAAATAGCATATGAGAATATGTACATTGCTTAAACATCCACCGTCAATAATTCCATATTTCAATAGAGAGGCCATAAATCATTGTTTAAAAAGACCACCTTATAAGTTTATAAGATAATAAAACAGATTATAGACTATCTATACAGTCTATAACAGTTTGTTGACATGAGAGATTAAGAGAAAAAAGAAAACAAAAGTTCTCATACGCCACACACTACGCACAGTTTACCTCTGCTAAGCTATAGAGGTCAAACAGACTGGAAATATTCACATTTACTTCACATATAATCACTGGCTTGCGACTGTCTTCTGTGGCCCACTGAAGCATATAAAGAGGAAGCGAAGTGTCCCAAAGATGCACTGAGGTCACTTCTCCTCAAACCACGTTGGGATACCTCACAATCAAAGATATAGTCTTTTTTTGTTGTTCTAAAGCTGTGACCCGTCTTCTTTTTCCTCTTCTGTTACTGTCTCTGTGTCTAGCTGGGAGGCTGGCGTGTGTCAGGGGAGTGGAAAAAGACCGACTTCAACTCCACCCTCAGTCTGCTGATGAGGGACTACGCCACTTTTCCATTCTTCAACCTCTACGTGGGCAAAGACCCGAATGAAACATCCCATGGAATGGCCAAAAGATACATACAGGCCAGTATTGAATAGAAAATGTGGATAAAGATTCGAGTACGATCCGCGCGGTGACTTTGGGTCATGTTTCTCAACACAGATTGATCAGCCAGATCTGCTGATCCCTATTGAATGGAACAGCAAGACCCAGAAGTCGAAGGCCAAAACTGAGGTAGACGGTCCCTGCAGATGCCAGGAATGTTCTGCCGACAACCCTCATCCATAAAACTAACGGGAGGGTGTTTTTGTCTTCAGACTCTTCGTCCTTTCTTGGCATTGTGTCAGCGGTACCTGGCCCTCCTGGGATCCCCGCAGAGCAGAAGCATGATCCATGTGGGCATGTTTATTTCTCTTTCCTCTGAGCTTGCCGTGGCTGCCTCGCCTCTGCACTATCGTCTGGTGAAAGGACAGCTCCATCAGCGCATGACCATCAAAGAGCTGCAGGTACAGCTAAATCTTACTGTCAGGTCTTTGTGGAGGCAAATTTGCGTTTCCCAATCAACTCTGGCTCAATCCGTGACTGTGACACGTTCTGTGTTTTGTATGTGAATGATCCCACAGAGACAGGCCCCTGCCATCAACTGGCTGGACTGTCTGCAGGCTACTTTCCATCCACTGTCGCTCAGCGAAGACGATCATGTCCTCCTACATAACTTACCCTACGTTGTTCAGATGTCCCGCATCATTAACAAGTGGCTGAACAAGCGGGAACTGAGCAGCAGGTATTGCAACTGAAAGAACTCAAACATGAACTGGCCGCAAACTTTGGGGTTTTTCACCTCCTGTCATTTGGTTCTACTTAGTGGCCCCCTTCACACATTTATGGTCCTCAATCTGCTGCACACCCTAATGCCTGCCATGGACTCCAGATTTTCTGAGACTGCAAAGAATTTTTCAATTGCTTTGGGAAATTCTGATGAGGTTAGTGAATATCAAAGCATTTGAAAAACTCAAATTTAAAAGTGAAATTTGTGAATTTGTTGGTGTCACATGGGAGGGGGGCTTGTTTTTTTTTTACCAGCAAGTCCCTCGCTGGAAATACTGCGTTCTGGAGACTGAGAGGGGATTTGACTCAGTCCTCACACACCTGCTCAGTGAGAAGACTGCCCACAGAGAGGTGAAGGGATGCATTCACACAAACTCCACATCAGGTAGAGATTCGAATTACAAGTTGTTTGATCTTCTTCAGGCAGAGACGGTGATTGCAGAGGTTTTTTCCGCCTTCAAATCCAAATTACATGAGCTCAAATGGACTGATCGGAAGTCTTTTCGGGTTGTCATGAAAAAGGTGACGTGTAAAACAGACCAAAAAGATATCTAACTTTTTTATCAGCATTTTGTCATAACAGTTATGAATGGTCTCTTTCTCCAGGTTTACTCTTTAATTCCAAGACTGTGGACATCAGGAGAAATCTCTGATGTAGATCAGCTCGACCTGCTTTTATCTGAGGTACATCCACATCTTTCTGTTAAACCTGTTTTCTTGGAAGACCTTTGAAGGGATTATTTCATAAGGATGGTCATATGATGCTATAAGAAATGAAAAAACACCTCACGTCCTACAATCTATTTCAGGTGACAGTCGGCACCCAGAGCTACTTCTCCAACTACATCCAGCTGCTGTCTCTGTGGCAAAGGAGACGCAGCAAACTCTTGACGACTCAGGCTGAAGCTGCTGATATGTGAGTGTCAGCTTCATGACTTCCAGCTGATAGATACTGGATAATAATCCTAGACTTTCAAAAACCTCTCATTTCTTCCAGTCTGTCTGTCACACCATTTCTTCTGGGTAATGAGCTCCTCTTTCCACTGGGAATGTTCATCCCCCCCCTTTTCCATCAGTCTTACCCAAAGTAAGATGCACACAAATAAAAGACGCATTACTTGTTTTAAAAATGATCCTTAAAAATGAACAATTCCAATTCTTCTCTAACAGAGCCTTGAATTATGGTGCGTTGGGTTTCCTCATTGCCAAAGATATCTTCCATCTGCTAGTGCCTGATAGTAAGAAAGAGTTTATTTAATCTGCATGCATGTGTATTTACCATCACTTTTGCATTTAGCTCTGAACCTTTGGACACTGAATCAGTATTTTTTATGATAGGCCTTTAACAGGAATGAGGGTTGCTGTAGAATGTGCTGTAATTTAGTTTAGAATCTTAGCTTTAATTTGACTATAAACAGATTTTAGGTATAAGTCAGCACATCTATTGGATAGACCCTACATCCTCCAGCAGTAGGCGGAGACAAACAGCAACTAAATTTTCAACTTCGCTCTTAAGTCATTTTGCTTTAGCATGTACACTTCAAATAAAATCAAATGAATAATCAGGAGCCCTTGTAAAATACCGCTTTTCACTGCTTTGATGAGAATGTGTTGCTGAAGTCATAAGTCGGGAAAACGTAGCCATTATCAAAGGCGTGCCTCCTTCTCTTCAAAGCTTCCCCAGAGGTTTACTGGAGCTCGCTTTAGCCTGGTTGAAGGTCCATCTGTTTTCAGTCTTCAGCTGATGAAATGCGGCTTGAACAAGGAGAGATCAAACAACTGACAAGGCACTTTTTTGCCATCAAAAGATTGCACAATGTACAGCACATTATGGTTCAATTTTCATTGGTAATTTTAGCCAAGGCGGTGGTAAGCTTTATGTTTGATTGAATCTGACCTGACAGTACTTTCATAAATATTTCAGGTCAATGAGCTTTTAGACTCTGTGCTCCTGGAAACAGCGTATACATGTGTCATCACATTACATGAGAACATTACATTAAAATGGATACTGTCATCCAGGATCCAAATCCTCAGGCTTATGAGATTTGCTCCTTATGGTGAATAAATAGATGCAATGAATTTAGAAAAATTATTTATATTATCAAGTTCATCAATATATCTTTTTTTTTTCTCAGAGAGCCAAAATGGGGATTTGTTTTGTTTTTGCAGTCTGAAGATTCAGTTTTTGGAGTAAATTTACAACTTTTCACTCTTAATTAACTTAATTAACAGGATATACAAAAAATGAACTCACCCCTCAGAAACAGAATAATTTAGTTTTGTAACTATCTCTTTAAAGAGTTCCACATATTTCTGAAGTATAATTCCCACACCCTTAGTTTAATTAGGATGTGAATAACATTAAAAATAGGTTACAGATTAAAGGTAACTTAAATAGGCCAACAAATCATTTGTCAGTGTTCAAATTCTTCCAGATATTAGTAATAAGAAGCTATTTTCTCTCTGTGATTAACAATCTCCATATGTGTTTTTTTTACAGTCTATTCTCACAGTGAGACCGTGCATGATGTGGGGGAATGTGTGTGGGCTAATTATCTGAATATGACGGAAAAAGCAGGCAGAGGGGGGGTGTTTTCCCTTTCAGCGGCGCAGCAGCAGGAGGTGTGGGTGCAGTACTCTGCTCTGCAGGTGGCTCTGCAGGTGAGGAGCCACTCCCAGACTGGAACGTCTCTCCGACAGCATTGTTGAGCTCATTAGTTACATTTTGTCCATCTATTTCTTCAGGCTTATGGTCAAAGCCTCAGCCACCGTCCAAGTGACACCTCCCTCTCTGGGCTGTCGCACACTCGTCTCTTTCTCACATCATTTTCTCAGGTAATTCCTGTCTTCGATTTTTTTAATAATCTTTTTTCCTTCCACCAATGCTGTTTTTCACTATTTTGTTCTCCAGGTAAACTGTGATGCTGACCCGTACCATGAATCCATGCCCTTGGAGCCGTCCTTCTTGATTGTAATGATTTGTGCCAAATCCGACTTGTGTTCAACAAGCCTACAATGCTCCATTGAACCCCCGAAGGATTTATCAGAGACATGCTGAGCAGCCCTCTCTAATAACAAGCAGGACTTTGTTTATGAAGCCATATTCTGGGTTCTGGATGTTGGAAAACTGCTGTTCAGTCAAGTATATGCATCATAGGTTTACCTTTCAGTTTTTTCCATTCAAACCACAATTTCCGTATTCCCTGTAGATTTTTTAGTTGTTATGATGCGTTTGCAGATTGCATTGATTGCACAAGCTGTTTAATACTCATTTAATGGAGAATAAACTTTTAAAATGTTGTTTTAATGTTTCTTTTTAAGCAATAAAGCATAAATTCTCTGAATGAGCACATCAATGTAAAAAACCTTCTACCTGTTTATGGAAGATGCTTACACTTGAGGTCAAACACAACCTGCGTAAATGTTAGAGGACTGGGAGATATTCATTTGACCTCTTTGGGGCATCATTTTAAACAGATAATAAAAATAAAAAGCCTTGTCAATAGAACAGCAAAGAATTGGAAATAAGCCTTTCTGTGAGAGGTGACTACTTGGACTGACTAATCTGCAGATATCAACATCTGTGACCTTAATATATGTTATTTTTGAGGAAAATCACCATTCCTAAAGGAGCAGCTGAACACGTGTGACAGGGAAAAATTTACCACTTACCCAAGCAGATTGGAGACCAGTGTATGAATGTTGGTTATGTACTCCACAAAAAGGTAATTTGGAAGTATGAACAAATTTGTTTTGTTCATTCATCTATGGACTAATGAGCCAGTCAATGTTATACACATAGCATCTACTGGTTCTACACATTAATAACACAATGGTGTTTTTTAACCTTTAATCGATCCCTCTTACTGTCTGTCAATATTTCTAAGTTTACACAATCAAGTACATATTAATTAGGTACAGCTGTTGATGTTTTACTTAACACAGTTAACTTCATAAGCTGTTAAAATAAACTGTAATCAAGCCTCATTATGTCTCGTTATTGACCTATTGTTGCATAGCAACTAAAGAACTGTTATTTAACAAAATGTTACTACCATTCAAAGCCAAATTGTTCAAGAATACTTGGAGGAGTCCCTATACTTCAGACCTGTTCTTAAAATATTTTCAAAAAATAAGCAACAAACAAAAATGCGGAGGAAGGCTCAAGTCGGAAACGCCGAAAATGGTATCAAATCTGGAGAAAACGCACATTTAGGACTGGCTAAACGGACAGGTAAACTCGCCAAGACACCAACAGGCAAAGGTCTCGGAAAGGCCGGAGCCAAACGTCTGGGGAGGCTGCTGAAACGGGCTATCCAGCCAAAGGAGGAGCCAAAAGGACAGAAGAAAGTTTCTCTGCCAAGTGAGTCAATGGTTGAGACATTAGCTGACTGCTATAACTGCTGCAGGTTGCTAGGATACTCCGCAAAATACTTAGACTGTTTTGGACTTTACCCAAAAAATTCAGGAAGACCAATTAAATAGCTGCAGTTTTACTCACGAGTTGAGATGTAATTTCGTTAAGAATGTATACAAACTGACAAATCATCTGACAAAATATTTACAAAGTTTTTATGTAGCAAATAAGAAGCCTACAAGCGCCAAGGTGTTTTTTGTTGTTGTTGCCAAGCAACCACTTAGTAACCTAGTCTTTAGCAGCTTCCTCTCAATGACACGTTAAGGATGAATCCATCTTTAAAAAAGATCCGTCACTTTCACTACAGCCATGTTCTTAATGAGAAAAATTGATCCTGGTATCATCCTATCTCCTCCCCAATCGTCCAAGATGATCGATTTATCTGCTAGTTATCTCACACTTCGCGTGATGATCAGGGGAACAAATTATTTCAAGCCTGTTTTGCTATTCTCTCCACTTCATTCGTAGTCTGTTCTCAAGACATTTAATTAATGTATTTTGAGTTGGGGTTTTAATCGCCATGGTTATGCATTATAACATTTTTTTTATTTCAAGGTTTACCACCACAGACTACAAACCATTATAGAAAATGTTTTATCAGTTTTCTCCACACAAGGAAAAGCTGCCTGTAGGTTTGTTGGTTATTGGCTAAACTAATAACCTTAGATTGTTTAGAATTTCACATTATATTCAGTATATGTACATAACTGTATATCACATATATTGTAAACACTTTGAATTTGAAGTGCTCCAGAATTAACTCTTTTTTTTTAAATATATGCATCATAACTTAAACAAATCCAGTAAGTTTTTGTATAATGCCCCTTTATTTTGTTTTGTTATATATCAATTTTAAAAGCTACATGTCTTTTTATTCCAGGTGTTATGAAGAGAATAAATCTGTGAGCAGTAATGGTCACAACATTTCTATCTTTCAGACACTCCTGTCCGTCTTTTCAAGCATCAGATTCAATCAGAGGCCAACAATGCACCCAAGACTAACTCCCCAAAGCAGGCCTCGCCGCAGGTCTCAAGGCTCATCCTCAGTGTTGTCTCCAAGTGCAAACACAGAGGTGGCATCTCCATGGCTGAGCTCAAGCAGACTCTGGCCACTGAGGGTTATGACGTCGCCAAGAACAACAGGCAGGTGAATGTGGTGACCAAGAGACTGACCAACAACGAGACGCTTGTGAGAACTACAAGAAGCACAACATTCAGACTTAACGACAAGGTAACACATTTTATCATTTAATTTGCTTACAAGCCATTTCGTTTTTAGCTTAATGAGTTTAACTTCAAACCTTTTTGTACTTAGAAGGTCACAGACACAACTCAACCAAAGACAAAGGCCGGAAAATCTCCAAAACCAAAAGGAAAGGTAAAGCCAACCTCTGCAACCCATAAACCGCCCAAAGGAGCAGAGAGATCAAAGAAAACACACAAAAAGACTCACACAGAGAGAGCAAGGCTCCACAAACCAAAAGGCAAGACTCGCAAACCGGCGGCAAAATCACACAAAAGTAAAAAACACAAAAGCAAATCAAGACAAAAAGTTGTGAGGAAAAAACAAAGACCTGCAAAGAAGCGAGCCACACGGGCAAGAAAGGCCCAGAGGAAGGCTAAAAGTACTCGGAGACGTAAAGCAAAGCAAGGCCGGTGTCCATATAAATCTTCTCCGAAAAGACAACCACAGAGAAGGAGGTCTCCAAAAAAAAGAGCAAAGTAGTGGCAAGGTTGAAATGCCAGAAAAAGAGCTTACTACACTAAGATAAGCAGACTGGAATAAACTGAATCCCTTCAAGCAAACTAAAGCATTTTTTATTTTTTTGTCCCACAGTTGCAGTAAGAACTTTCAATATGCTTTATTTCTTGAATGTAAGGGAGAAAAAACAAACATTACCTGACAATAGATTTAAATGTAATTATTGTATTAAACTCCAACCTCAACTTATGGTAGAAAATAATACATTTATTTTTTTACATGGAAAGGCAATGCAAGGTACAAAACCATTTTGTATTCCACTATTATATTAGAATACAAAGACAAATGGGTGTATAACAGGATACATGTCTGTAGTCCATGTGGCATCCCTGGATGTTTGGCTCAGTGTTTCTAATCCACTGAAAATAAGGTCCATGGATGCGTCGGTTTATCGGGCATTATCAGTTTATTTTGATCCGTTCGGTCACAGGACGCCCCACACTTCCTCAAAGGCAGAGCAGATCTTGGCACAGGTCAGTGCCGCAGAGAGGGGGTAGTTACTGATGGACACGGTCTTCTCTGTGTAGTCCACGTTGACCTGTTGAAGACATGAGCATCAGTAAAACTGCTAAGTGTTTGTGAATGAGAGCCTCGGAACAGCAACCAGCTGCATAAATCTCTCACCGCTCCATGTGCAAATGCTCCGATTACCACAGCGGCCGGTCCGTCTGGCACAAACGTCCGGGGGCCAACAGCCTCCCCAGCAGAGGAGAAAGAGGTGGCGATGCGAGGGCAGCCGGGAGGCAGGTGGTCAGAAACAGGATTTTTAATCATCCTCAGGAGCTTTTGAGGACCATCGGCTGCCCTGACACTCAGCTTGTGCAGCAGCTGCACTAAAGTAGAGAAAAAGAAATATTAGCAGAGTATCCCGCCAGAGAGGGATGGGTGCAGGGGAAAAAAAAACTCCATAAATATCATTTAAAATTAAATGATAGCTTACCCATCAGTCCACAGAAACGAGTGAAGGTTCTCGGGATGCGTGTCTGTGGGTTGATCTCTATTAAGGCGTTTTTCTCTGTATGGATGTAAACCTGTAAGAGGCCTGCTCTGTTCAGTGGACTGTCCATCAGCATGAGCAGACACTGGAATGAATGAAAATTATTTCAGTTATTGACGTGTATTCTGACAAAGCGTGTCATCCATGTGTCATTGCAAATAATAACAGCTGAATAAACAGAAATAAGGATTGATCACTCCGTCCATTTGCCAAATATTACAGGTGCAGAAACCCGCTGCCATCATAAATGTGAATTGTTACCTGATGTGTGATATCTGGTCTAATATGTCCCGGATCTCTGCCACTTTTGACGATCATATTTTTGTGCTGGTCACAGTTTAACAGCTCAAACGTTTTTCCAACCTGTAAAAGAAAAAAACACTCAAATTAACCGATTGCCTTTTACTTAATCAATAGTTCTAGATCATCACTGTGATGAGCAGTTTGGGGCTGCATCACAACAACAGTGCCCTGATTATCACCTTTACTGTTTCTAGCGACGCTCCCTCCAGAATAACAACCAGCCTCCTCTCTGCCATTCGGTCATGAAGGCTTCGGAGGTGCTTGGCTGGTTTTGGTTCATATTCGTCCAAATGTTCTAAACCACGCTTCTTTCCATCTGAAGCAGCCATGATGCCTTCTCCGGCGTCTTTACTCAGTCTCGTATTGATGACGCCACGACAAACGACAGTTTTCAGTACCGGATGCACTACTAGTGCTTTGAATTGTCCGTTTCTAATTAAATAGACAGATTACAATATATGTATAAATTTATATAATGATATATTCGAGGTATTGGTCACATGATTTTCTATAAAAATAATCAACATCTTACTGTCTGTGCGCATGTGACCCAGCTGCGTCACATTCATGCGCCGGATACACTTCGGCAACGTGTGGAGGCAAATTTCACGTGTGGAAATCCAACCTGCGATACCAAATTCTGAAGTCGTGTCAGAAGTCGTCATTTATTGGTGAGTATGTGAAGACTTAGTGCTAAACGTGTTCTGGCAGCTGAAGATTGTCTGCATTATCACCAAGAAGGATTTAACGTTTTAACAACCGCGTGCGGTGACGTAGCAGACGCAGTGTATGTGGTCAATATTTTTGTTATGTAAATTATCAGTCAGTACTCTCAATATTTGACCATTTCGTAATTGTTTATCAATATAAGGGAGCCTTATAGTAGTAAGAAGGACAAGTAAGGGAATGTAGCATTCAAAGAAACCTTTGTGAGTGCGTAGCATTAAATTGGTCACAACCGTCACATTTTGGGTCATTAGCCCTGCTCACGATAATGGTGCATTTCTCTCACCTTTTATCTAAGAGAATACTTAATTCTCCATTGCTCGATTTCCCACCAAAATTTTTTATTTGTAATAAGCTGTCTCCCACGTACTGACTTCCATTTAAGATTTGAGGGCCCAGGAGGAGATTTGTTGACCTGTGCACTGTTAAAAATATGGAATATGTTCGAGGATAGATTGGAAAATAATAATTTTTGCACCTTGTCATTAATGATACACAATCTTTGTAACCCCTGCTTTTCAGGCTGTGTGTATCTCTGAGCCATGGGTCGGAAATTGGATCCCACCACCAAAGTGAAGAGAGGGCCGGGAAAGAAAGCCAAAAAGCAGCAGGGAGCAGAGGTCGAGTTGGCTAAGTTTTTAACAGAAGGTGAGAATCCTTTGTGAACTTTCCTTAATGAAGTATGGTGTTGAATTAATTAGTTTAAATAAATTAGACTGGATCGGTTGTTGAATTGTCTAAAATGTTTTTTTCCCTTTTTGCAGAAGAAACTGGGACAAAACGTCTGTCAAGTCGAGCAAGGAAAAGGTAAGAGGTGCCCTGATTATATAGCGTTAATTACTGCTGCTCTTATTAGAATTTGTATATTCAGTTTTTTGTGGTTTGCTTCAGAGCTGTCAAGAGAGTTCAGAATTTACAGAAGCCTAAAGATGTGACTAAGGAGCAGCCCAAGAAAGGTACCCATACGCCTAAATTCTTATTGTAGCATCTGGTTTCTATATATATTTTTATTGGTTTGCTGGTTTTCACGGTGTGAAATTTTTCTCCAAAAGCTGAACATTATGCCCTGTCTTGTCTATCTGTTCTTCATCTGTAAAGGATTCACGGATGAAAACAGCAAATGGTTGACACCGGCAAAGAGGAAGCGCAAACTTGATGAACCTGAGAGTGTGGATGATAGTGAGGAGCACTGGGAAGAGGAGGAAGATGATGATGAAGAGGAGGAAGTTGAGCAGCAGCTGAAGAAGAAGAAGGGAGGAAAAGACCAAGAAAAGGGCGCAAAATGTGATGTGAAAAAACTGGAGGAGGGTGACGATGATGATTGCAGTGATGAGGATGACGAGGATGAAGAAATGGTTGATGACTATGGTGCTGTAGAAGATGGCGGTGGAGATGAAGCAGAGGAAGAGGACAGTGATGGAGAGGATGTATGTAAATTGGTTCAGCAGTAACTTTGAAAAGTCCATGTTTATTAACAAAGCCTTTGTTGCCCAAAAACCATATTTGTCTATCTTGTAAAATTCAAGAAGTAAAACCTTTGTTGTGTGTTTCTTCCCCCTTTTCAGCTTCTTCCCATCGAACGTGCTGCAAAGAAGGAGAAAAAGCAGAAAGAATCGTTGGCTCTAGGGAGTGATGAGGACGACGACGATGATGATGATGAGGAGGACGAAGATGATGAACAGGACTCAGATGCTGACACGGAAGAGGAGGACACAGTTCAGACCAACACAAATGAGGGAGATTCATTCAGACTGCCTGAGGCAGAGGACGGTGAGAATGCCACTCCTCAATCATGATAATCTGTTCTTCTGCGGAGAGTGACATCTTTTTCTCTCGTTTTTTTTTTCTTTTCTCTTCAGGTGTCCTGTCTCTAGACTTGAAGAGCATCTATCAAAGAATAAAGGACAACATTGACGTCCTTTGTAATTTCTCGGCAAAAAGGGAGGAGGGCAAAGACAGAATAGAGTACCTCTCTCTTCTGAAGAAAGACCTCTGTACCTATTACAGCTACAACGACTTCCTGATCGAGAAGTTAATGAACCTCTTTCCTCTGTCGGAGGTTTGTCTCAAAAGTGCTAATCCTGTCTTACACACAAAGTCAGACTACAGCCCTGAACACAGCAAATGCGATTTCTCCTTAAGGTCATGTCTGCAATGTTGAACTGTACTGAGCTGCTTTTAAACTTTTTAGCAGGCGGTCAGAGGTAAAGCGTGACAGCGAACACTAGTCATTAAAAATGGTTTTAACAATCACGGGTATTAACACTCATGCTTTCTATTTATGAGTTTATGCATGACTGCGTTTGTAAATTTTTCTAAATGGCGTTTATGTGGACACGTTTTCTTTGAAATACCTGTTTCAGGTGTTCTTCCCCCAACAGCTCAATTTTAGTAAAAGAAGTTTAGACCTTTGAAAGGTGACATAGTTGTTCTTTTTCCTGACAGCTGGTTGACTTCCTCGAAGCCAATGAAATCCAGAGGCCGGTCACTATTCGGACCAACACACTGAAAACGAGGAGGCGGGACCTCGCACAGGTGGCTGCACAGATAATGTCTTCAGATAGCAACGCACAACTTAAACAGACACTTTTAGATTTTGCTTTTAGGTCAGTTCTCTTCACTGAAATGCTCAGGTTTTGGGATTATTTTTTGTTTTTTCCCCCTGCAGGCTTTGATTAACCGCGGAGTGAACCTTGATCCGCTGGGGAAATGGTCCAAAGTCGGTTTGGTTATCTTCGACTCCTCAGTACCAGTCGGTAAGTTCCATTTGATTGGTTGCAGCGTTCTGATTTGAGAAATGGAGGAAGTTAACTGGGGACTCTCAGAGAGGATTTAGCCAGAGGAGTCCTTCTGCAATACTTCTGCTCTCCTGTCTGAACAGGCGCTACACCGGAGTATCTGGCTGGCCACTACATGCTGCAGGGAGCCTCCAGCTTCCTGCCCGTCATGGCGCTCTCTCCACAAGAGGGAGAGCTGGTGCTGGACATGAGCTCAGCTCCAGGGGGAAAGACCACCTATGTCGGTAAGATTCGCTGCCTCTGCTCTCTGCAGGAGATGCGTAACCAACATGTGGTGAACCGCCGTCTGTGTGGTAAATGCCTGCTTTAGATAAGCTCGGAAGCGAAAGAACTCATGGATGTCTCCACCTTTAGCTCAGCTGATGAGAAACACGGGAGTGATTGTCGCCAACGATGCTAACGCTGAAAGACTGAAGAGCGTGGTGGGAAATATTCACCGTCTGGGGGTCACCAACACGGTGGTCAGTAATTATGACGGCAGGCAGTTCCCAAAGGTAGTGTGTTTATTGAGTGTTGTTGTGCAGTGTGTGTTTGGCTTGTGTTTATTAGAGATTTATTGCTTGTGCTCTAACATGTTGAAATTGTGCTTGAAGGTAATGGGCGGATTTGACAGAGTGCTGCTTGACGCTCCGTGCTCAGGCACCGGAGTTATTGCCAAAGATCCAGCTGTGAAGACCAGTAAGGTAAATGGCATTCAAGGGTAGCATTAAAACCCCTACAGCTAGCAGAGTTGGCCTTTCATTTTAACTTAGCCATTTCCCCCTTCTTCCATTCCATCCTGGTAGGATGAGGCAGATATCCAGCGCTCTGCTCACTTGCAGAAAGAGCTGATTCTGTCTGCCATCGACTCTGTTAATGCTGAGTCCACCTCTGGAGGATATCTGGTCTACTGCACGTGTTCGATAATGGTAAGTCTTCATACAGTCACTTTGAACAAGAAAACATTTTATACTCTTAACAAGTGAGTAGTGTACCAGTTAAACATAAAAGGAAGATTTAAGTCATTTAAAGCTTGAGATATCTGAAAAAAGATCAGTCGTATGCTAAAATGGAGTAAAAACATACACTTACTCAGCCTGCAAACCTCTGTATGGAGTGACAGCTGAGCTAGATGTCTAAGCTCATCTGTTCCAGAGAAAGTCTGAGTGGGAAAGCTTTACTTTTTTTAAAATGATTAACTCCGTAGGCCATAGCTATAATCTGGGCGCCGGTACCACATGCAGATTTGTCCAGATAAAGTAAAAGAACACAATCAGAAAAAAAAAAACATTTCTGTGGCATGGTGGACTTTGCAGTGTGCCTACTTTGGCTGATTTTTTAAGTCACATACCAGTGTTTTTAAAGATTTCTGTAACAGAGAGCAGCTTAAAGTTGAAATCCAAATTTTAATATTTTTCTTAAATCCTGATTTAAAAAATATATTTTGATATATTTTTCACAAAAAATTGGGCTTATATTTTCACAAAATTTTGCAAAACCTCCAAGAGTATCTTTTTGCAACATTTTGGAGCCAATACTAAATACAAAAACATAATAATTTTTTTTAAATTGATTTATAATTGGTTAATTTGTGATTTATTTAGACTGTATACTAATAAGTCTCTGTTCCACTAGGTGGAGGAGAATGAGTGGGTGGTGAACTACGCCTTGAAGAAAAGGAACGTCAAATTAGTTCCCACTGGACTTGACTTTGGAAAAGAAGGCTTCACCAGGTAAATAAAGTATCCAGTGTTGAATGTCAATAAGGGCTGGAAATACTGAGTTGTAAATTATTTGTGACCATCTAACAAAAAACATATATATATATTTTTTTGTAGTTTCAAAGAATTTAGATTCCATCCTTCTCTGCGACTCACACGGCGATTTTACCCTCATTCCCACAACATGGATGGGTTTTTTGTTGCTAAGTTCAAGAAGTTCTCCAATGTAATTCCAGTTGTTCCTGCAGGAAAAGGTAACTAAAAGCCACATTTAATTCTATGATTACATTTTTTAGCATGAATTAACCCTCTGCGTTTGTTACCCCTGTAGAAGAAAAGAACACGGAGGCTGCTGACGCTACAGACTCTCCAAAAGAGAAACCATCAAAAAGCAACAAGATGAACAAAACGTCTCTGACAAAGGCTGATGGCGTAAAGCAAAATGCCAAAGAAAATGGAACAGCAGTTCTGACAGCTGCCAAAATGAAATCAAAAGGAAAAAAGAACTTACAAACTGGACCAAAGAAAGCAAAGGTTGCCAAGCTGGATGGAAAGACTGCTGAGGGCCCCGAGAAGCCTTTGCTGAAGAAAGCCGATGAGAAAAAAGAGGGGCCAAAAGCTGAAAAAAAGGAGGGAGGCAGATTTGAGAAAAAGCAAGCAAAAAAGAGAAAAACACCCAAGACTGCAAAGAACAGACTTGGGAAGAACAAGTTCAACAAGTTGAAGCACATGTTGCAAAAAACAGATAAAAAGTGACAAATGGATTGTGTAAAAATGGTCTCTTTTACATAAGAACTTTGCAAAATTTTATTAAAACTCTATTTCTGTCCATAGAAAGAGTTCAAGTAATTTTTTTTCAGTTTTAATACAACAGTTTGTTAGATGGCAATGTACCTTTTGACATTTGTTTGTTTGTATGACAGAATATTCATCATGTTTGTTAGTTAAGTGCATGTGGACCTCTGAGAGATTTAAATAATAAATCTTTTAAAAGGTTTTTCCATGGCTTGTGTGACATATCCTTCATGCGTACAGTCTACTAGTTTTGGACATTCTTTAATTGAATTGCATATTTTTTATATGGTTTAATTTCATGAGTAAAAGTCTAGACACAGTTATATATTTATGAGGTAAGTAACTTTTAGCAGCAATGAACTTATTGAGTCTTACAGTTGTGTAGTTGAAAAACACTTCATTTAAAAACTCATTATAGGCTGCATATTCAGCTCCACGGAGTAGAGTTTCTCCTGGAAAAGCCGTTTTTCAAACAGCCAATCGAGTTTTTCCATTTCCAAACGGAAGCTGTGTTGTTTACATTTTCCAAGATGGCGGCGGGGATGTATTTGGAACATTATTTGGACAGTAAGTCGTTTAGCCAGCTGCAGGCTTGCTGGAATATGTTCAACCTGAAATGTTTTCTGTATATTTGACTTTTCTTTACGAACCGCTGTTTCTGTTCGGCTCTCGGCGCGGAACAAATGGCGTTATCCGCTGTAAAGATAGCGGGTGTAGGCTCGGTCTAATTGCTGGAAGATGGCAACGCACCGACACGAAGAAAGGATGCTGCTTTATGCTATAAAACTAACCGGCATGCTTCAGTTTTGACGCGCACGTCAGCTGTCTAAATGTCACTTGCCAAATAAATCAAAATGATAACCCTAAATGTTGTTCGGAGGATGAATATGCACGGAAGGTTTCGATGGCCTCGCCGGATGCATTTTTGTTTAATTGTTTCAAGATGTTTTCGCTGGCTGCGATTGAACTGCTGTTGTCCATCCCTCCCTCCACACCAGGCATCGAAAATCTTCCCTTCGAGTTGCAGAGAAACTTCAATTTAATGAGGGATCTCGATCAGCGCACAGAGGGTGAGAATACTGGACTCATAAATTTGCGTGGATTTCAATGTGGCCACACAGAACAACCTCAGTAACTGTCTTGTTGAGATGAAATAGTTATTAGTATCATTTTCATCAAAGGTGATCCAATACTTAAAATGAATGTATCCCACTGGATGAAACATATATTCTAAAAACTAACAAATTACATTACATTGTTTTGTAAAAATAGACATTTAAGAGATCTTACCCATTAAAGGTCCCCAGAAAAGGACACTAAATGATAAACATCTGTCACACAAAATAAGGTTGTTATTTAGTTTCAACTGGTCTTGTCTTTGTCTTTCTTTTTTTTTCAAATTAGTTTTAAAAACATTCTGAAGGTTTAAATTGATAACCTGTGATGAGGAATCAACAAGTAGGGAAATGACTTGTTTTAGAGCACAGCCAGAAGGTTTGTGCAATCACTAATGCATCGTACTTTACAAAGTAGTACAAGTCTTATTGTATTTATGAGAAATTTGATTGGAATAACTGTTGAAATGCTTCTTTATTTTCTTTTTCTTTCTGTAGATCTAAAAGGACAGATTGACTCTCTGGCTAAAGAGTACACAGCCAACGCTCGGACTCTTTCCTCAGAGCAAAAGCTGTCCATACTGAGGCAGATCCAGCAGTCCTACAGTAAATGCAAAGAGTTTGGAGATGATAAGGTGCAGCTGGCCATGCAAACATATGAAATGGTTGGTGCCTTGAAAATAAATATGTCTCTCCTCAAGACGATTGCTAAAGTTTGGTAATCTGATATGAACAACAACAACAAAAATCCGTCTGTTGCAGTTTGTTGTTTATGTCTTTTGTTTCGTGCAGGTCGACAAACACATCAGGCGTCTGGACACAGACTTGGCTCGGTTTGAGGCTGACCTGAAAGAAAAGCAGATTGAAAGTACAGACTATGATTCCACCTCAAGCAAGGGGAAGAAAGGTGTGTGTGAGTTTATTTATTCTGCTTTGTGGTGGTGATCTGTTGGGTTTAAAAAAGGTCTGTTCTTAGTAATACTGTTTTGTCTGTTTTTTTGGTTGCTTTTTTCCCAGGAGATTCCAGACAAAAAGAAAAGAAAGTAGCAAAAACAAGGTCTAAAGTGAAGAGTTCAGATGAAGATGGCAGTCCCAAGAGTGCACAGAAGAAAGTCAAACTCCTTCAACCGTATGCTGAGTTATTTGTGACGATCTTTCTCTCATCATTCATGTCTTTATTGTCATTCCTACAGTGGATGTTTTCTTATTTTTTGTCTCCTTGGTCAATAAACAGAGGAGAATTTAACAGCCCATCCTCCAACTTTGGAAATGTGCACCCATCTGATGTCCTGGACATGCCTGTGGACCCCAATGAGCCCACCTACTGCCTGTGTCATCAGGTGTCTTATGGCGAGATGATCGGATGTGACAATACTGATGTGAGCTCTGTTTTATACCCACTTCTGTGTACACTCATTCACTCAGAAAAATTAGATGCAGCGAGACAAAAATAAAGAGTTGTATTCTTTTAGAAAAAAATTGAACTCCTAAATATTTAAAATTTGGTCATCCGATCTGAGATTTTAAGTGCTTCATCGCTGCCAGTAAAGGAGGTTTTATAGTCAGAATAATTAGGAAAAGATAGAGTGAAGGAAATAGGAGAAAGTTTATCAAGCTAATTGGGTATTGAAATAGTTCTCTTTTCAGGTACAAATGTAGTTTCTGCTCTTTAAACTGTTGTATTGTAAGGTGTCATGCAATATGTAAAAGGCTCTTTGAGCTGATTGATTTTGAATGTCTGTTTTTGAAAGCCACCTTTTGTCTGGGTTAAGTGTCCCATATGCCCAACACTTAGCAACACTTTGTGTGCTCTGTCTGTTTTTTTTTCCAGTGTTCCATTGAATGGTTCCATTTTGCATGTGTGGGCCTAACCACCAAACCACGAGGCAAATGGTGAGAAAATCAGGACCAACAGAACATTTCCGGCTTCACAGAATTGTTGCCAAATACCATCTGTTCTTATTTCTCATTCATTACATGCAGGTACTGCCCACGATGCTCTCAGGACAGGAAGAGGAAGTGAAACACCTGGTTGTCCTGAAACAAAACAAGGACGCCAATCTGGTGGAAGACAGGAAGAATATTTCTTCACTAGCGACTAGGATTTTCTTTTCATACTTTTCTTAACATTTGGTGCTTTTCTTTTTGGTTTACGTCCTTGCCTTGGTCTGATGCAGCGTGTGGGAAGGAGCCAAGTGGTTACAAATTAATTTAAGGTTGGATCTTTTCTTTATATAAAAAAATAACATCAATTCAGTTTTTTTAGTTACTTGTGATTTTTTTTCTAAATTTTCATGTCTAAGTGAAAAATAAACACTACAACTGCCCCTTGTGGTTTAATAATTGACATTTCCACGACACTCTGTACAGTCATTACATTGAAACTATTTTCAGTCAATTGATGATTTGATTCTTTGTTGTACGGTTGGTTTCTTGTGTTTAACTTTGCAACACTAGTTTTGTTTTTTTAATTTAACAAAGGGGGAGATTTTCAAATAAATGCTGCACCCTACAGTATTAGTTACCTGTGGTAGTGAGTTTGACCATCTCATTTTAACATTTGACTGAGTGATGCATAGTAAGACATTTCTTGAAAAGTATTGTAATTTCTGTAGCTGAAATATTGAGAGTGGGAATGATTGTTGTCAATCATTTGAATACAGCTACTACCTCAAAAAACAGAACATTTCCCGTGTGGTCTTTTGTCTCAGTGTGTTCTCTGATATATAAAGCATTTCAAAATTGTCATTTAACCCGAATGTGCCTGAAATAGTAGCTGCCTTCATGATGTAGGGCATGGTATTGTCCAATAGGTGGTAGTGTGGGTCGGGCCCAGAACCAAGGCGCACATATGACGTCACTGCTGGGTTTCTTTGGCGCGAGGTACAGACAAATTTGAAAAGCTGAGGACTCCAACCGTTTAACACGGGAACATCGAAAGAACAACACTTAGTTTGTCCAAACGTCTCACTCGTGGCAAACGGGGCAGCACTTGTTGCAGGTAACTTTTATGTTTTAACTTTGACAGAACTGTTCATAAGTTAATCCTTCCACGACCATTTCCACTAAACGGCTGACAAGTTTTTTTGGGTAACGACGCATCTAGCTTTAATAGTTAGCCTGCTAACAGCGTTAGCTGTTGTTTGCTTTGAGTTACAAAAACGAATTTTACTGGTTTATAGAAAGTGTGCTTAAGGTTTCTACCTCTTTAACCTATTTTTCTTAAAGTATTTATCTAGACCAGGGTGAATTTGTAGGTTCAAATGTGTATAATGTAAAGAAATGTGATGGCTTTGACCTTTATCGAAAGCCTTGTACTTGTTGGATAGCAAACTGACTTACTAAGATTGCGAATCTTTTCACTTTTTTACCGTGGGCCTAGGGATGTCGTGGGACTTTTTTGTGCCCGTGTGCGTGGGGGACCTGGTAAAGACAGGTGGGATAAACCAGTATGTTGTCCAGGATGTGGTCTCCCCGAAGCAGCTGCCATCCCAGCTCAGTAGTAAGTAGTGGGATTTTTTATATGTATACTGCATATATATATATATATATATATATATATGGAGCTTGCCTTTGTTCACAAATGTTTGTGACTGAATGCTTTCCTACACATCAGGATTCAAGGCAGCTCTCAGAAGCCAGGGACCTTTGTGTATATTGGAACATTTTGACACAGGCTACAGCGTGTTACAGTAAGAGACTATTGTGTTATTATTACAAATATATGTTTTTTTTTTGTTTTTTTTTACAGTGATTAGTCTTTTTACAAAACCAATGTATTCACTTTTTAGACACTTCAATTCTGTGGATCTTGGGATGAAGGAGGATACTCTGGAATTACTTGTTCAAGGTTAGACCTGATCTTTTATTGGATGTTTTTCATATTTGAATTTACAACCATGTTTTACTTGGGAGAGTATCATTGTAATCTTTCTCTTTCAGTGGTTTGTGGCCTGGCTGTTTCCTTGCCGGAGCTTCTTGTCTCTACATCCATCTCAGCAGCAGAGCGCAAAGAGAAACTTAATGCAGTTAAAATGAGCGTCTTCTTGCTTTGTAAACTCACTGAGAACCTTGAAAGTGTCTCCTGCAGACAGAGCATTGTCACAGCACCAGGGAAGGTATGGTCATAATGTTAAACGTTTGTCTATAACAGTTAGATAAATGTTTTTTTATTTTTTTTATGAACCATTGAGTGTCCATTGATGATTCCATGATAAAGTTTCTGTTCCAGTCAAGGCTAGAGGTTGTGATCTTTAGCCAACTGATTGGTGGGTAGTCTTGGTAGTGTGGTTGAGTTTTGTTACACTGCTGTAAGGGCCCACCCATAATAAGGTTGTCTCTTCCTTTAGCCCATATCCCCTCTGAGAGAAATGGGATGGGTAAATAGAAGATGTCAAACAATGTATGGGTGCTTTTTCTTGTATGTCTTTGTGTATCTTGTTAAATGTATATTACACGTACTCACTGGCAAAAAAGCTATGATCTCTATAAAAGTTGATTTGACAGTTATAATTAACTGAAACTCGTAATCTGAGGCTATGTTATGTTTATTTGAAATTACTTATCACATTTGGGGGCAATTAAGGATATTTTTATTGTTAAAATGATCAACATTCTTTTTTTGGACAGGGTGGGAAGAAAGGCAAGTCTAGTGCAGAAGGACTGATACAGTGGGACTCGGAGAGAGAGAAAGTGCTGCAGGCTCTTGTCCAGCTCCTCCAGCTCGATATCCGCTCCCTTTGGAACCTCTCCCTGGTGGAGGAGGAGTTTATCAGGTACTTTATTGGCTAAGGATGTGTGGGTGAAGTGCCATGATATTGATGTCTTAACCCAGTTACATGGTGTGATTTCCAAGCATCAATAACAACTTAATAGTGCCTTTGCTTGTTCATTTGTGATGTCACAGCAAATCAAATAAGGCTTGATGATCCTGGAAAGGCGTTTAACGTGTCAATTTGTTGCTTCAAATGGAGACATTTTACAAAAAGTACAATGTTACTCATATGCAGATATGATTAATCTGCACACACCCGAACAGTAATAAAGTTTGACTAATTGAATAGTCTTTTTTTCTGCCTTCTTAGCTGTGTGACATGCTGCTGCTACAAGTTGCTGGAGAACCCAACCATCGGTCATGTCAAGAGCAAACCCACCAGAGATGGCATAATTCACTTACTGGGGTTGTTGATCAAAAAGTACAATCACCTGCTAGGTTAGTATCACTGTCTTATGTTTGGCATAGTTGTTTGTTGAAGTTTTAATGAAAACTCTAAACCTTTACAGGTGCCAGTGTTAAAGTGATCCAGTTGTTACAACACTTTGAGCAGTTGTCATCAGTGTTTGCCCAGGCTGTCTTTGTGTGGAGCACAGAATATGGAGTCAGAGCGATCATAGGAGAAGTCATAAGGTCAATACATACATTTTTTATTAAGCTGCGGACACTTTCTGGCTTATATTTGTGGCTTAGTAAAAGGAAATCTAATCATTTCAAACTAAATGCATTTTTCGTAACAAGTTTATTTTATTTTTCCCATCCCTCAGAGAAATTGGTCAGAAGTCAAGTGAAGAACTTGTCAGAGAGGGATCAGGTGTCAAAGCCTTTGCCACCTTCCTGTCAGAACTTAGTGCCCTTGTACCTGATTTAATGATCCCCAACATTAGTGTCCTCATCTCACATCTGGAAGGAGAGGTATGTTTTTGCCCCAAAGTTCCTGTTAAATAGCTATCTTTGTGCTGTGTACATGCATATTATTAAGTTAGAAACATCACACCACTCCTAAAGATGTCGGATTTGGTCTTCCTCCTTGCCTAACGGACAAAAAATTGCCAATTAAATGAGTAAGGTTGTCCTCTTAGTGAATGAAATGCATCTATTGCAGCTTTAGTGTTATTAAGTTTCTTTATATTGTTTTCTGGCATCAATAATTTGCACATAGTTGGGACTTCAGTGTTTACAGACCACTGGATACATTATATTTTAGCAAAAAATTATTTTTTTCAAATGGCACAAGGAAAACTAAATGGTTTAAAAAATATATATATATATTTATTTATTTTATTTATATTTTTACAATATTCAGAGGGCAACTGATTTCTTGAAATGCGTTTAATCAACATCTGCTTAGTAACTGTACTTCTTTAATATTGAATAGCAAATAGTATTTTTATCAAAGCTTCCCTATGTTCAAGTTGGCTGTCTTTTAATTTACTGTGATATATCATGCATATTTTGCCCAGTGATGAGACCAAGGCGAATACGAGCTCACCGAATGAGAGTCGGGTTCTTCTTGCCTTGACAGGCAGGTAATCTTGGTAGTGCAGAGGAGGATTTCTGCTCTGCTGTAAGGGTCTGCCGACAGTGACTTGGCTCTTCCCAAATTATTCCTCTACAGTCATAGCGGAGTAATTGCTTTGGGTGATGCTGACAGTGTGCATGTGTGTTGTATGTGTGGTTGCATGATGTATGTGTGGTCAGAAGACAAGAAGCTCACCGACCTCTCTTTGCTGTTCTCTGAGCTATGAGTGTTGTCTTTGGTAATCTGAGGGCTAAGGTTCCCCCATTTATATTCTGCCGTTGTCGATATGTAAATGTTCTGTTCACCGACTTCAGAACCAAATTAAGTTCACGTATTCCAACCTCATGGTTCTCATGTTGTTTGTTTGTTTTTTAGAGCCACACAATGCGTGTTGCTGTATGCGAGATGTTGGGAGAGATCCTTGTGCGGGTGCTGTGCGGTGATGGGCTGGATGAGTCTGGCAAAGCTGACCGTGACCGATTCTTCGATACACTGCAGGAGCATCTTCATGACACACACTCTCATGTCCGGGCGCGTGTGCTTCAAGTCTACACCCGCATCGTTAACAGCAAAGTATGTTTTCTTTGATGACGCATTACTTATTTTCTGAGAATTAAAGAACTCTCTTGGTTTAAAAGGATGGTTTTTGCTTTCAGGCGCTGCCTCTGTGTAGGTATAGTGAGGTGATGGAAATCACTGTGGGGCGTCTGATGGATAAATCTATAAATGCAGTGAAGAGTGCGATCCAGCTGTTGGCAGCCTTCATTGCACATAATCCATATAGCTGCAAGGTAACTCAAACATGATTCAGACTCTAATGTCAGAAATCTTTCATATTACAACACTGTCTCTTTATTTCTATGTTTTTTAGCTGAGCAGTGCAGATCTGAAGAAACCTTTGGAGAAAGAGATGGCTAAACTGAGGGAAATGAAAGAGAAGCTGGAGGAGAGAGCACCTGGTAAACGCAGCCTCCTGGATTGTACAGACATGTCTTTAAAATTGCGTATGGTGGAGTGATTTCATTAGTGCTGAGTTTCTATTTTGCCCAATGATGAGACCAAGGCGAATGCCAGCTCACTGAATAAGAGTCATGTTCTTCTTGCCTTGACTGGCAGGTAATCTTGGTAGGGCAGAGGAGGATTCCTGCTCTGCTGTAAGGGCCTGCCGACAGTGACTTAGCTTGACCTGAATTATTCCATTAAAGTCATAAGGGAGTAATTACAGGGGAGGAAGCTGACAGTGTGTGTATTTGTTAAAAGTGGCACTAAGTTTACTTTTCTCTTGTTTCTGTTCAGTGAGCAGTGAGCTGTTTCTTTGGTAATCTGAGGGCCCAAGTCAAAAACCCACTCAAACTGAATATTTGAATTATTCATCCAAAAGGAAAAAAAGTTCTTACATTTTTAAAAAGCATTTGTGATTTGGTGATTAATTTCTACGCAAACTGAAAAACATTTAGTAGTTTTACAGCTTTTAGGATTTCATAAGATTGTCAATTGAGAATAATCAGTTCTGCAGGCTGACCACCCAGCTAGTAATGTCTTCATTTGGTTGTGTACTGGAATCAGAAAACACAGCTTCAAGTAAGAATAACAAAGAAATGGATAAAAAAATGAAAAAAAGTTGTACTCAAACATCATTATCTTGATTCTCTGCTTGGAATTGTCAATTTCTCCTGCTGCTATTTTAATTTTCCAGTGCATTGTTTCACATTTTCTTTGTCGCTTTTACGTGAGTAGCTGTCACTGAATGAGATTTTTTTTCTTTTCCCTTTCCCTTCCTGCAGTTACAGTGATAAAGGCATCGGAGCTGTGGGATGCCATGGAGCCTGAGCTTCTTGTAACTGTGAGGACAGTGCTGGAGCCCACAAATGAAGAAGAAAAAAAACAGGAGGCAGAGGATGACAGGGATGTGGAGGAAGAAAAGGCTGCTGAAGACGACAGAGCAACTGCAGTGAAGATTGCTCAGTACCTGCGCATCAACAAATACAGGTGATGGTTGTCACCAGCAGAGTTGTGGGTAAAAGTTTATTGGTAGTGTGCCTACCTCTCCTATAGAGTTAATTAGCCAAGAATTTTATGTGAAATGTATTATTTTTGCAGGAATGCTGTTCAGCTGTGTATAAGAGCTTACAGCTGTTTCCCAGAATCTGAGATGTTTGCCTCTCTGTCCACTCTCTCCACCAAGAATATAATGGACACACTGGCTTTGATTTTCAAAGGTAAAAGCTTTTTGTGTTTAATTAACACACGTATAGGGAGATGTGCACACCAGATAGATGCTCTGTTTTTTGATAAAACTGTTTTGAATTATTTTTAGATTCTAATCCTGAGAATGTTATTCAATTCAAACATATCTGTTGCATTGCCATAGTCAGTTTTTCAGCACAAATCAAAAGATTGGAGTCATTTATGAATACATTAGAAACATGCAAATGTGTTTCATTACACCTGACACTATCATGGGTGCATGTTCACATGTCAGAGCAATGATGCTTCAATTACAAATCCCAAATTAATTTAAGTGATATTTTAGCTTCTACTGTCATTAATTTTTTTCATGTGTAGCTTTCCATAATAAATATGTATACGCACACACCATCAACAAGCTATTGGCCTTTTTCCCCTCCTTTTTTGTATATTGTAAATCACATTTGCTGAGTATGGTAAGGTTTCTATTCCTGGTTCCTATTCCTCAGGCTCTGATGAAGAAAACTCAGAGCTAAGCCAGAATTTGCCACCAACCCCACAGAAAGAGGGGGCCAAAGAGGTAGATGATGGTGAGCTGAAGAAGCAGGAGATGTTGGTTCAGTACTTGAAAGATACAGAAACCTTTGCCTTACAAGTGGAGAAAGCAATCTCTGTAATCAACACCATGCTGTACTGGAAAACAACATCAGGTACAGAGCTCATCAGTTACTGTTTTTCTATTTATTTATATAATTAATGAAGCAGTAATCAAATGAAGAATGTACTTTTTGTGTTTGTTTTGTTAGTTGTCCAGGAGGCTGTGCAGTTTTGTGTGACTGTCTGTGAGTTCAGTGTTGCCAACTCTGTCAGTGGGGTTAGAAAGATGTTGCCGCTGGTCTGGTCAACTGATGCCGCCATCAAAGACGCTGTCGTTCAGGCCTACCGGCGCCTGTATCTGAACCCTCAAGGGGACTCTGTAAGGTCCGTAAAACCACTTTATTCTCATTTGGAGGTTTGAGGGGAATACAACATGCTGATAAACACACATAATCTTCCTCACATCCCCTTTGCATTATGAAGTACACATTTTTCCAATCTAATGTGAACTTGTTTAAAATGTTGACAGTTTGTATTAATATTTTCTGCTACCGTACTCACATTGTGAGAATTACCAAAACAAAACAAAAATTTAAATGCTTGTTGGCTAACAATTATTTTTTTCAGTTATGGCTCATTTATTTGATTGAAAATCTACTTTGAACTGTTTGGTTTACTATCTAATTGTTTATTTATGTGTTTGTACACGTATAACGAAAACAAGGCAAAATTGAAATATGGTCTGTCTTTTTCTTAGGATGAAAGCCCACACTCTTGTTGACAATCTCTCTGAACTGATGGTAGATGCATCTCTGGGAACTATCCAGTGTCTAGAGGAAATTGTGAGTAACTGTTACTCTCATATGAGTCATTTCTTTGTTTGATTAGCCAACAGAGAGAGTCAGCTTTGTTTAATGTTGGAAAATATGTCAACATTGAATAAAAAAGTATAAAATATTTACTCTGGGGATTTTTTGTGTTTTTTTTCCATCCTTGTACCAAAGCAAATGAGGATCTCTAACCAATGCAAACTTGTGTCTGTAGGTCCAGGAGTTTTTTGGCAGTGGCAGCTGTCTGCAGTCCACCGTAGTACAGGTGTTGTGGGAGAGGTTTACCGGCAAAAGAGAAACTCCTGCCTTACACAAGCGAGCTGCTGTATTACTTTTGGGCATGGCTGCACGGTAAGAGACTCAAGAAGAAAAGTTTATCATACCATCTTGAAGCAATCCAGCTACACTTTCTTGCTTTTAACGGCCACGTTTTGCAACTCGCTCATTAAACCAATTCCCCAACACAAATACAGTGTACACTACATGCAGTGAGATGCCTTCTCATATATAAAATGGAATGTAGAAAATCAAAACTAATATCGTGAAGGGTCAGATAATGAGATAACATACATTCAATTTTTTTTTCCAAACTGTTTTCCTGGTTCCTTTGTTTTTAAACATGCAAACAAAACATAACTGCCTATGTGCTCAATAGTAATTGTCACTACAATGGCTTCTGTTAAATATAAAATCTTGCTTTCGATATTTTAGATTTATGCATTTAGCAGCAAGGATACATTTAAGACAGCTGTTGAATATTTAAACTGCAGTATAAGATTAACTTTAACTTATTTGGACGTTTCCCTTTCTTTGTATGTTAAACAGATGGGGGTTTCACACTGGCAGAATACGTTCAGTTATGATGCCATTGCATCACTATAATATGTTTTAGCTACTTGATATACAGCAATTCCTCATTAATCAAAACACAAGCCCAGCCTCGGCTCCTCTGCATTGTAATCAAAGTCACGACTATATACCTGGCTCCGTGCCAGTGTATTTTTTTTACATGTACTTATATTTATACGTTCGGTTTTCTCTCAGTTTACCTCAAAGAATGCCGCTGCTTTAGGGAAGAGTGGTAGTGAGAGCAAATGAGAGCGAAAAGAGAGTATCTGCAGTCCACCCACACTGCTGCTGCTCTTCATCCAGCATCAGCAGCATTCATAACCTATTAAACCTTCTGTGCTTCTCCTAACCCATCCTCCTACATGCATTATTTGGGCACCAGCCTAGCTCTGGCAAGGCCAGCACAGGCCAGTGTCACTTTGTATAAAGACATGATTAAATTTGACTCTAAATGTGTGCTTCAAGACTATGCTTTTCACATGATTTTCTTTTTTTATGTATGTATTTGTCTGTAACAGGGCGGAGAGAGAAGTGGTGCTCAGTAATCTGGATACTCTTTGTTCAGTGGCTCTGGGAGAAAAAGTGACTGAGGACTTTCTTTTAGCAAGAGACACAGTTATCACTATTTGCAGCATCACTGACCATGTCAGGGTAAGATGCACACTGCAGTTTAACTGAGTTGTTTTTTTGTAATCTGAACTGGATATGGACAATGTCAACTTTACCAACTGTATAAATCCGGAGTTCCCATATTTAGACGAAGAAGCAGAGAATAATAACAAAAATATGATGTTCATCATTTTGTAAATGGCAGACAGAAACTAATAAATGTGCTAAATCATCATTTAACATTATTTTTCAGCTGAGATTATTGGCAAATTATTTTGTTCTTTGGCTTCATGGGTCAGTGGGAAGAGGCTCTACATTAATTTGCTAAAAGTGCCTGCCACCACCTAGGGTAGCACTGTCAGATGTACTATAGTCGATAACTCAATTTCCTTCCTGTGGTTTTACATCGACACAAGGACAGTCATTCCATTAGATAACCTGGTCAAACTTAAATGTACTGAATGTTGTAATTCCTCCAGCAATCAAAAGGAGCTCCATTAAGACTGCCTCAGGACCATCAGCTCTTCACTTGCCTCACACAGGCTATAGCTGAAGGTAATGACAGAGTAGCGATTTAAAATGAATAAATAAGAAACTTTTAGATTTGAGTGCATATCTATCTATTTATTTATTTATTGTCTTATGATCTCCTCTGAGCCTGTCTGTGCTTCACTTGCCTTAGGTGTAGTGATGGAAGATCCTTACTGGCACAGCTTCATGGAGCAGGCGGTCCGTCTCATCTACTTCCTGGCTGAATCCCCAGACCAGCTGTGCTCCCGGCTGCTCCAACGAAGCGCTCGCCTCTTGCTCGATCAAATTGCAGAAGGTGGCGAAGTCAACAAAGACGTTGGCCAAAATCAAGATGGATCCCAAGAGTCCAGTGAACAAGGAGAACAAGGCATGTCTTAATAAAGCAGGCATTTGTGCAGAAAATTTGCAAATGAAATGTTGGCATATTGGGATGATAACACAGAGGGGATGTGATTTGTCCCTGTGGTTAAAGAGCTAACACTTAATCACACATGTGCATTTGTCTCCCCCCCTGCAGTGAACTGTGTGTGTTTGGCCCAGCTGTTGGCGCTGTGTGGATGCGTGGCTTTCTGGCAGGTGTCTCACCTTGAGCGCAGTGTGAGTGCCGAGCTGCGGAGGAGGAGAGGAGAAACTGAGGAGAGGGAAGAGAAGGAAAAAGGACCATCGAGTAAAGCTAAGGTAATGATCAACAGTACAGGGAGTGGGGCTCTGTTAATAGGCATATTATTAGTAACGTGGTTGAAATGGCTTGAAATTAAAATATTTTGTATTTTTTGTATTTTATATTAAATTACGAGACCAAAGTAAGCAGGTCTACATGGCACAGTCACTTAAAAGGACCTCTTCAAATACTTTGATTATACTTGAAATTTGGAGCTGAGGACCGCACACAGCCTGTTGTGTAGCGAGGCATTTTGACAATCAGAGCAGGTCTCAGCAGGAAGGTGTTATGATTAGGTTTTTGTGACACTGTTGATGACTGATAGTTCAGAACTGTTCAGCCCATCAGGGCATAGAAAGATAAATGATTTCTTAATTAACATCAGAAATAATTTTTTTCCCCGTTCTTAAAATTAATTCCATACATACTTAACTCTTGGTTATGGAGAGCCTGCTGTACCAGCTGTACCAGAGGCTCCCAGTTATTTGTTTTACCACAACCAGACTATTCCTGAATAGGATTTGCGCTCTCCCCTTATTGGCACTGAGAAGTATGATGATGTTTTTATGAAGACGGTTTTATGCGTGATGGCTTTTCTTACAGCAAGCAGCCAATGAAAGTGCTATGGAGGAAGAGCTGGGATTGATTGGTGCCTCAGCTGAAGATACAGAGGCTGAACTCATCAGAAAAATCTGCGAAGCTGAATTACTGGCAGGTAAACAAAAGTTTTTGTCATCTTTTGTCCTGGGCCGCATGATGTTGCATATAAAGACTTTCATAATAGAGTTGATCTTTTCCATAAATGATGTGCATAACCAGCTTATCTCAATCTGTTTAGAGGAAAACCTGCTGAGTGCTTTCCTCCCTTTGCTGGTGAGAGTCTGCAGCTCCCCAGGACGCTATTCCCACCCTCAGCTCACCACCGCTGCGTGTTTGGCACTCTCTCAGTACATGATGATAAGGTAAAGGCAATATTAAACTTTTTTTATGCTGTTGGACTGTTATTCAAGTTTCCTAAAACTTTAATCTTTGCCCAAGTTTAATGTTGTCATTTATTTTTGCCTTATCAGCCCATCTGTTTGTGAGGAAAACATCCGCCTCATGTTTACAGTGCTGGAACGCTCTACTCTGCCTGTCGTAAGGGCCAATGCCATTATAGCCCTGGGAGACCTCACAGTCCGTTTCCCAAATATTTTGGAGCCCTGGACACAGAATCTCTATGCAAGGTAAAAAAAAAAATCATTTTGACCTGCCTGGAAATATAAAACTTTGTAGATGTTGCAGCTCACTGTCAATCACTCTCTCTCCTCTCGCATACACTAGATCTACATTATCTTATCCTTAGATATGTTGTTCATCCGAGATTGGGGGCATACACGTGAAAGCTCTGCAAAGCGAGTGTATTGTAAATTACGTTTCATTGCAGCAAACGTCTCCCACACCCCTATTGCTTTTAAAATTGAGCCGTCTTCATCCACATCTCACCATGTCTCAGTGTGTGTTCTTCTCAGCCAATTGAGTGCTGCTGCTGTCACAATGCGCCACTGAGCCATATGATGGGAAAAGTTTACTTCATCCATCACGACTTTTAATGGCGGGAAATAAACTTTGAGATGATTTTTTTCCCCAGCGAACTTGATAAAGTGCTTCTTATTCTGACGTCTGTGGTTTCTACTGGAAATTAATGTGCTTAATGGCTTTAAAACAAAAAGTCACTGTGCTTGAACTTGGGTAGTAACTCAGACCACATCAAGCAAGGGTGCAGAAAAACAACGAACAGCTTAATTACTAGTGTGTATTCAATTGTGACTAGAACCAATGACTACTATTTCATAATTATATAGTTTGGTTGAGGTAGCAGACAAGAATAAGTTGGTTAAAGTCAGAGGTTTCACAAAGACTAATGCAGTAGGTATGCTTTCATTTTAAAAGCATTTAGCTGTCTTCATGTTACCACACTTTTTTTTCCTTTTTTTTTTTTTTTACTGGGTTCGTGTAACAACCTAAGAGGCAGAAGTTTGGTTTATTTGAAGTGAGGTAGTAATTATGATAGAAGATAACGCTCACATTGGGGTGTTTTCCATATTTAAAACATTAGTGTCTTTTATAAGGCCCCACCATGCTCATAGTGTTCTTTACCTGATAAGCCTTTCATAGTATTCCCTAATTGTCTCCCACACACCACCACCTCCACTGTTCTCATGGCTGCTGCCCTGGTGCCTCATGATAAGCGCATTAAGAATTAATTACCCTGTTCATTGCTGTCGTAAGCTCCCGTACTGGCATGTGGAAGTGGTATGCACAAATGTGTGATCCGCTGCCAGAAGTCCTGCTCTCTGGTAAAAAATGAGAAATTAGTTTCTTTTGTTCTGTGCGTTTGGCTGAGGGTAATTCTAATTTGGTCTCACATTGCTCTACCACAACCTGACCCATGTTATTGTATTCAGTCAGTGCAGTGGCAGGTGTTTGATTCCAGCCATTTCAAACCTACCTAAAAAAAATCTGGTAAATAGAATGGTGTAGTTTTTTGTAAGTTGCTTCTTTGATATGCCCTCGAACTGATCCACTTCTGAGTGCCTGGCCTTTTTATAAGGGGAAAAAAAAAACAGACATAACAGGGCATTACATGACCTATGTAAATGAAGTCAGTTGCCAAATGTAAGGGAACAGATTTAGAAAAAAATAAAAACGCAAAGGTCTCGCAGCGATGCCTAGATGCTGATACTTAACTATTTTGAATCCCTGAATCATTGGCCACTGCCTTCAGTAGTAAGAATCTAAATCACCCTCGGGTACAACAAAGGCCACTGCCTTATTGTTCAGCATTTGGTTTGTTTACCCTTAAAAATTGTGGCTGTGCCCAAAACACAATGATAATAGGCTATTTATTCACTCATCTGAATGTTCAAATTAATCTGTTTGTTAGATGACCTAGTTTTATCTGAATTTAATATTTTATAACACCTAAATAAATCAGACATTGACCGTTATTTCAAGTATATTTTGTATTTGTTGCAATGGTACAACAGATGGACTATTACTCGTGTCATTTTTCTCACTTTCTCACTGCTTAATGTTACTTGGGTACTAGATTTCAGTGTTCACATCCACAGAATGAGCTGGCATTAAGTTTAGAAACCATTTGGTCTGGGCTCCTTCTGCATTAACATTTACATAAAGGCTTTGGCAATCAGCCCAAGTGAAAGTTATTTATAACATGTCTTTTTATGCATGTTTAAGATCCTAACTTGATTCTGATGCACAGAGATGTCAATGTTTTTACAATGCAACTCCTTAAACTGAGACAAAATATGGAAGAATCCATCCGTCTTGTACGATAACTAAAAATGTTCAAATTGTTTGTGCATTGTGACTCCCATGACTTCTACTTTTATCACAGGTGGATTTTTCTTTCTGCTATTAAGACAAATTTCTCTTTGAGCAGCACTTTACTTTTAAACTAAATGCCTTTCAAACCATTATCTCCTGCAGAACAAACCTTTCTCTGTTCAGTAATAGCATTAGGCTTAGCATGCAGTACTGAAATGATTCATACTGATATTTTCAAATGAGGGAAGAAACCAGACGACACTGTAATATTAAAATCTAACATCACTGGTGGTAACTTTAAAGTTCTCCTTTTTTCAGGAACATGCAGAGTTGAATTCTTCCTTTCTACTTTTCTATATTGCCCACTTTATATGTACTCTTCTTAATCCAACAGAACAGTCGTGTGGTGCACAGAATTGTGTATGTGCTTTCTGTAAACTACCGTTCAGTAATTCTATATGTAACTGTTATATTTTCAAAGAGGAAATTATTCAGTTTTGTTTAGATATCCGTTTCTTGAGCATCACAGTCAGAACAGAGTTGTCATTAATGCATCCTAATTTCATAGTTTAAATCCTAATTTAAGTGTTTGTATGGTGCAGCTATACATATTGTAATGAGATGGGGATAATAATTGCTGTAGTTTTATTTTTATCTTGCATATTTCCTTCATTGAGCATAAAAAGAGGAAGACTGGGAAGGATTTTAATTTGATCTCAACAGTCTGTAAATAATTGAATCTGCTTTATTTAAAGTGCTCACGTGGCATTAAGTGAAAATCGAACATCCTGCCTAAGGCTCGCTCTCAATAAGCATGCAAATAATCTAAACTAGCGCAACACAAATAGCCTTCTATCTGGTAAGTATCCACATGTTTGTGCTCTTGCTGTCGGCATGTAATGTTTTTAGATTAAAAGCCATTTTTACCTCACCGCACTGGGTGTGTGCCCGACAACCCAAACCAAAAAGGCTGAGAATGAATGAGCAAACTGATTTAGTTCTTTTTCTGATTAGTTCTTTTTGTATTCTTCTTCTTCCTCCTCCAGGCTGAGTGATGAGGTTTCCTCAGTCAGGCAGACTGCTGTCACAGTCCTTACTCAACTGGTGCTTAAGGATGTGCTCAAGGTCAAAGGTCAAGTGAGCGAGGTGGCTGTGTTGCTAATTGACCCGGAGCCACACATTACCAGCCTGGCCCTGAACTTCTTCAATGAGTTGGCCTCGAAGGTATGCCCATCCAGGGCTGTGGTGGAGCCAGAGTGAATAGACAGACCGTTAACTGCTCTTTCCCATCAGGACAATGCCATCTACAACCTGCTCCCAGACATCATCAGCCGTCTGTCTGACCCGGAGAGGGCCATGAGCTCCGAGGACTTCAACACCATTATGAAGTGAGTTTCACAGTTTATCACAGCTATTCCTCCATTTCATGGCTTTGAGTGCAGACTTTATATCTGAAATTTTAAAACAGTTGTTCAATCACAGCCTCGTTATTGCGTTTGTTTAGAGGTTGTCTGTCTGTGTTTTCAGGCAGCTGTTCTCCTACATCACTAAAGAAAGGCAGACTGAGTCTCTTGTAGAGAAATTATGTCAGCGCTTCAGGACTGCCAAGTGAGTGCATCTTCCTTAATCCTCCCACCTCTAACCTGCATCTTCTTTTTATTTTAAATTTTTTACTGAAACCGTTTTCCCACTAATTTCTGAGTGTGTCCTGCACCGTTTTATTATGTGAAGTGTGGGGGAGGATGTATGGGTAATTAGTGGGTGTTTCTCACCGGGAAGAAAATTAGACAATTAAAACAAGTTCACAGTTGTGTTCACCCATCACGTACATGGACATCTTTTTATTTCAGTCTTTTTGTCATGGAAACGCTCTTCCTCTATAGTTTGGCAGAGTAGATGAAACGACTTGCCTGGCCAGGCTTCAGCCTCTGACTCATACCCCATCCATACACGGAGCTCAGAGGAAGGACATTTTATATTATACAATGGCAAAGTCAATTGAGGCATAAAAGGTTCCTGGCAAATGAGATTTGGTCCAAATGTCAGGGCAGATCCATGTTCATGAGTAATGAGCTGCTTTGTTTGGGGTCTGGAATTTCTGCGTGTTTTGTTGCAGCTAATCAGGTTTATTTCCTAATCACTGGAGCTCTCATTTTGCACTCATCAGGACAGAGCGTCAGTGGTGTGACTTGGCTGTGTCCCTGTCTCTGCTGTCCATGTGTGAGCGGGGTTTTAAGAGGCTGCAGGAATGCTGGGAGTGCTACAGTGACAAGTTGACGGAGTCTGGAGTGTACCAGCCTCTGCTCTCCATCACTGCCAAGCTCCGTCGTGGGGCTAAACCGCAATTTAAGGTGTAGTAAAATACCAGTTAAAGCAAAGGTGTGCGTCATTTCCCACAGCCCTCCAGAGAATTGATGCTTAGATTTCTTTTTGTTTGGTTTTTCTTTTTGTTTTTTTTCTGTTGTTAATGTTTGATTTGTTTATCAGGCTCAGGTGGATGAGTTTGAAAAGCGTCTGACTGCAGTTCACACCCGTGGCCTGGAGAATGTAGAAAGTCCTGAGATGGAAGAGGAGCAGCAAAGGGAAGGAGGGTCTGTAAGCAGTGACACTCGTACACCTCTACCCACCAGAGGACGTCAGAAGACAAAAAGAGGTCAGAACTGCCAGCCTCCACTTTGCTTGTTGAAATAAGCATTACATTTTAAAAAAAAAAAAAAAAATCCCATTTTTGTGTACAACAAAAAATGTTTATTTATAGGTCAGACAAAGTCCCACATTTCCAGCCATGGCGATGAGAGCTTTGTAACTCCTCAAAAGTCTCGCAAGTCCAAGAAGCCTGTGATCACCTTCAGCAGTGATGAAGAGGATGAGGAGGGTGAGTTCAGGCTGCTTCGTCTGCTTTTCATTTTGATGGAAAAAAAAGATGAATTCAAGACTCCAAATGAAAACTCTGTGTATATGTTTTTTTAAATTATATATATATATTTTTTTTTTATCGTGAAACATTCAAATTCTCTTCTGATTTTTGGTACTTTTTTTCCCCCCCTTGTAACTGCACAAACAATGTATCCCTCAGTCTGAACGGTTTTGTCATTTGGGATCAATAAAACAAGGTTGAGAGTTTTTGGAGCAGTGGAGTGAGCCGCACTCAGCCGCTGTTGAAGAAGATTTGGGACTTATATCTGAGTTGCTCTGAAAAAGTGAACAGTGTAGAGCAGCAGCACTAATCCAACAAGTGCCGAAGACGCCACAAATCAAACAAAATCTCACACTTTTAATTAAATGTGGAGCTCACACCTTTTTTTAGTAGTTTTGACAGAGGGTGAAACGTCTTTCATGCTTTTGAACAGATTGCAATTCACAGAAATATTTTTTAATATTTTAAAACCATTAAACTTTAATCCCTCTCAAGAGAATATCTTGTGAGGAAAGTCCTTTGTTTCCTCTCACTGGATAAGTTGGCATGGAACGGGCTTACTTTATTTTCTTTTGAGCATTACCAAACTTTCTCATTGTGCCTTTTGGTAGACATCAAACCAGTATAAGTTGCGTTACATTTTGCAGAGGTTACTGACACCACAGTGGTTTAAAAATGAAACTGAACTGTGTGATTATTTGTTTCACCAGATGCTGTCATGGCAGAGAGCGAGACCCCTAAAGTGATGACACCCATCGCACGCTCATCCAGACGAGCTCGCCTCAGAAACTGATTTCCCTTTATGTCCTTTGTCTGTCTCTGCTAATATTTGACCTGTTTGTGTGTTTTTTTATTCGTTTTTTTTATAGCCCTATTTTTTGTAGCCCTAAGTAGTCTGATGATGCATTTTATGACCCAAAAATCAAAACATTTTAATAAACTGAGCACTGGGTTTCATAAGATGTCTCTGTTTTGCATTTTCCCTTATGTAGGGTTATGTGTCTGCAGCTTTATGTCAAGTAAATTTACAGCATCGTGACAAGCGGCTCTGAATGCCTGCTTGTTCTGTTTGGACAGCAGGGTTTAAAGGGAGGCCACAGCTTGCCCAGACAGTGTTATTGCCCCTCTCCACTTCAGCTTTGTTCAGTTTTCTTTCCTTGCATTTTTTATCATAATAGATTTAAATCTTTTTCTCAGGAGAAGTTCTTTCACTATTCTGTAAAGCGTGCGACTGCATGTTTTGTTTTTTTGTATCCCCCCCACGTTACCGTGTCTGACACACATGGCGTTGCTTAGCTCGCCATTTCTGTACTCCCATAATCAATCTCTTTTGTAGATCTCCCACCATCCTCTGCCTGGTGTTTTTCTCCCTTTTATTCTCCTCCTCCTCCCACTCTCTTCTGCCTACTTTTCCTCCAGCGCTTCTCTGACATCACATGTAGGTTAGTTTAACCCCCCTCCCCTCCTCACTAATCTCTCCCTGTCTCCTACGCCCGCTCCCACTCGTCCTCTCCAAAAAGATGAGAGGGGTGCATTTTCTGTAGTGATTGATACGTTACATAAAGACACTTGCCAGCAGCAGGCAAACAGTTTTTTTTTTTTTTTTTTTGTCTGAGGACAATTTGACTTTAAATGTATTCAGTGGGTGCTGGGAGTGCAAATCTAAGTTCATTTCCACTTCACAACTTTAGTCCGAGTTGTACAGAGATTGGCTCAGTCTGTGCGTGTGCCATATGTGCGCCCCTGAGAGCAGAATCCGCTGATTGCATGCCTAGTATCTCATGTGTGTGGCAGGGGTTTATTTACTTGAAATAATCAGAGGCTGCTGAACTTTAAGGTCAGTGTTTTGGATCATGCGGCTCCTGCTAATGTTGTAATTTGGTGGCGGGGGGTACGGGGAGCAGATGGCACTGACAGACTGTAAGTTACCCAGCAGAGAGGGGAGGTCAGCGCCTGCTGGGAAAGACCACTGAGACAAAGGGAAAGAAGGAGGCTTATGTGCTGGAGGAGCATTGTTACCGCATGGGAAATGTATAATTCAGGTTAAGTCGTGACTAAAACACGTGATTCTTTCCACTTAACTGGACATTTGCAGGTTGCTTTGATGAGGCTCTCGCTGACCGTTCCCCTTTGACCCTGGCTTGTGCAGCACACTGGCCTCGGCCTGGTTTCCACAGGGCTCGCCACGTCGTCACCCTGGCAATGAGAGTCGGTCTTTCCAATGACATCATTTTAAAGAAAAGGGGGATGAGGGGGAGGAAGATGATGTTCTGAGGGGGGTGGGCACCTTTGGCTCTACAAAACCTCCGCAGCATCCCAGTTGATGCCCCAGCATCCAGCCTCAGCCAAAGGGACAGACGCAAGAGGAAGAGAATCCCCCTCCCAATTCCATCACAGAGCCAGCGCGAGGAGGAGGAGCCAGCCGAGTGAGAAACTGATGCTCCCAGCAGGTGCCAACAAGTGAGAAGAAGCTGAGAGACAAAAGGTGGGAGATGGAGAAGAGTCTGTGAGAGCAGAGGACAACCAGAGCTTTTGAGGAAAAAAAAAACGTGAGTACGTCTAAATTTTTCCTCTTTTCCTTCATTTTTATTTCCATTTGCAAAGGTTAAATGATTATAAGGATTTATGAATAATGCTAAATTAATATGGTTTACGACTATTTTTTGCAAAAATTGCCTTAAACAGTTGCATTTTTAACAATATTCTCTAACCTCTACAAGTGAAATGGAAAAGAGGCAGTTTTAATATAAATCCTAGTGCAATGTCAGAGATCAAATAAGAGTTTTTAAAAGAAAAGGTCAACACTTTGATAATCCGTATGAGACTACGCAACAGACGGTTTTATTCTTTAAGATAAATTCATGTTTTATTTAGTTTTATCTTTTCCCTCCTACGCTTTTGTAAAGCTATGAAACCGAGATTTAAAAGCTTATCCACTGACGGGGGCTGTCAATTAGTTTCAGCTTCAAGTCCTTATTTATAAAACATTTTTGATTTGCTCAATCTTGTGTGCCAGCATTTCCTTCTGCCAATAGAATGGATCGAAAAATATACATTTCCTCAGCAGATCTAGGACATGTGCCTTCAGGAATGATACTGAGATGGTTTTTCTATTAATTGCTGTTTTATGTCTGGGGAAAAATAACTGAAGTAACTTTGTGTTCTCTGGGGGACCTCATCTGTATTTGGACCTGAGCAGACGGTGTTTCCAGTTTCTGTGCTGCTGCTGCTCCCCGTCTCCACTGACATGCTGTGTGCTGCGCTGCTTTGTGCCACCCTGCTCCTCCTGACTCCCTTTGAGATCTCAGAAGCACGCGCTCTGCATCCTTCTCCCGATGCTGTGCAGGTACAAGGAGGGGGGAGGGGGGGGTGAGAGGGAGAAAAAAAAGAAGAAGTGGATTGAGGGCAATTCAGAGTAGATGAATAGTCCTAGAAAGGAGAAGCTGAAAAGAATGGGAGAGGAGGATAATGAAATGTATTTCTGATTGGATTATTCTCCCTTGTACACACCCTGGCAATTAAATTTGGTCTTTTCTTCCTTCCTTGTGCAGTTCATGGAGCAGTTTCTGGAGCGCTATAATGACCTTCTGACTCTGGATGATCTGGAGAACCTGTTGAACAGCCAGTCGGAGGAGCAGTCCACCGTTCCCTCTGGGGGCAAAGCCGCCGAGCGCCCCAAGTGGGCCGATGAGCAGACGCAGCCGGAGACGCCCTGGCTCCGGCTGCTGAAGGGCGCCCTGGCCAATCAGAAGCGAGCGGAACCGGACCGCTTACGGAGGGGATGGAACCGGGGGTGCTTTGGCCTGAAACTGGATCGGATTGGGTCCATGAGCGGATTGGGCTGTTAGTGGAGAAATGAGGCAGAAAGTAAAGACTGGTGACATCCTTCTTATAGAATAAAAATAAAAAAAGCAAAGCATTCACCTGCAGAGAAGGATGTAAACATCTAGGCGATGTGTAGTATGGTGTAAACTTTCAGTGTCGCTAATGTGGTTCCATAGAGCATAGAGCAGATGCTTCTTACTTTGTTCCCAATGTAAGAGTAAAAGTGATTATTAGAACGTGTTAGACACGTTTCCATCAATTTCTCATCCTGGACGGTTGATTCTGTGTTTTTTGTTTTGTCTGCGTACAGTAAATGTGGAGGTGTTCTGACATTTTGTGTTTTTTAAAAAGCATCTGTAATGGACGTGGAAATCCAAAGATGATGGCACCTGTTATTCCTGCGGCTTATTTTTATGTTCCCCTTTGATTTGCATGAATAAATGGATTTGACATTTGTGGCATTTTGGTTCTTGCTCATCTAAATTCAATTCCTGCCCACTCATAAAATCCCAACATGGTCCACTCCTTATTGACGCATGTCATCCCAATTTCTCCTTAAAAATGCAGCGTTGTGTACTCGTGACAGATTTTTTTGACATATTGAATATTTTTGTGACTGCTGGAAGAGGTTGAGTCCTTCATCCGTCATGCTGGAGCGTGAACCTGCTCCAACCTCATTTTACTCTGGCCTTTAAGCAAAGTTCCCAGAGACAGAAAAAAAAAAATCTTCAAAAACTGAAAGAAGCAGAAAGACAGAAAATTCGTACAGACACACAAATATGCAAATTACTTTGGAGACCGCCAATTCTGCCAAGTGTTGAAGAAAAGATTGAAACTAAACACACATTACGTTCAGTTTTTTGGAAAACTTCAGACAAACTTTTTCAAAAAGACTATTTGACACAAAAGTGGCCGTTAGAGAAATTTACCACAATGGTACTGATGATAATGAGACCAATGATAAACTGAAATCTTTTGTCCTGACTAACAGAAGAATGGGAATTGGGAAAACTGCCCATCAGCCTCTTGAAAGGTAAATTCTGTTCCATACATAACTGCAAGTATGTCTAAAACTTTCTGTGTAGCTGAGTGAAACCTTGCTGTAGCATCAGTTAGCAGCTCTGAGCAGCACAAAACCATTTTTACCTGCAAAAGAACACCGTGAGTAAACTGGTTTGGCAAAGCAAAAGTGTAATTCTTTCATTTAAGAGTTCATGCTGAATTTTTTCAGAGTACATTTCTCACTGAGTACATAGTACTCCATCTAAGGTTAGTGAAAGTAAATCAGTCTAAACCCTGAAGCATGGTTTAAACATGCCGTGTGAAAAGATGAGGCCTGTCCATACTTTTACCTCGAAAAGTAGGACAAACCGTTTATGAAAATACATCGACAACCTTCCACTTCCACACAGTCCCAAAAACATGAGGCAGCATGCTTTTTCAGTTCCATTTTGTTTCATGCAATGAGGGGTTTATTGTCTGTTTCATAGTTTCATGTCATAGTTTTCAGGTCATATCTAAATCTTTAGTTTTTTTTTAAAAACAGGCTTAACTTATTATTGAAACATATTTCACAGCAGTTTTGTAATGTCAGTTTGAGTGTCCATGTTATTTTTTCAGTATTGTCCTGCAACTTTCTCGTTGCAGCATTTGAAATCGAGGAGAAATGTTTGAGGAAGACATTTTATTAATAAGAACTTTCAAAACTCAGCCATCCCAACATTAAATTTCGAAAAATGTCAGAAAATATCATAAAAAGGGATTTTGTGCCACAACAGAAGATGGCAGTACAACACAATTTGTCCACAACTGCGGTGGCACATGGCTGAACTCTGGACTTTGTACAACACTTCTAGTTGTGTAAATGTAGCTCGAAGCACAGGTCACTAAAGTCCACCTTTTACGCTTGGAAAGCCGCAGCAGTCGCAGCAAAACACTGAAGAAAATCCAAACGTTTTCGACAGATGGATAAATCTTATTTGACATAACTGTTGCATCCGGACAGAATTCACCAGCTGAGTTTTTTTTTTTTAGACCTTTTCATTGAGGTAAAATGATCGTGGCTGATCACTGAGCTGCCTACACTGGGTAGCATAACTTTTGTAATATAGAGAGAGAGCTCGTGATCTGTGTGAGGCACCACTGACAGTACTGAGAGTATAACATGGCCCAGGAGTTGACTAACCAGCCAGAGTCTAAACTTAGCCTGACCTTTAATTCCCCTCTTTGACCTTAAGCTGCAAAGCAGCGACAGAGCCAGGCATGCTTCCACTCCGGGGGGTTGGTAGTTCAACTATGCCAGGACCATTGGACAGCTGCCATAAAGCACCCCTTCACTGTCCAGTTATAGAGCACAGCCTCCTGCAAAATGTCGGAGGGGAGACCAAGTGGTTATAACATCCTCTTCCACTCACAAAAACCTTAAATGATTTGAGGTTTCCATGTATGCTGTGGTAAGAAGACGGCAAGCCGCCGAGAAGGTCTAAACTTGCTGTCTTCTTAAAGGAATCTGTGATTCCGGCCTTCTGGATTAAGCCGAATTCCTGTTTTATTCAGACTTGACATTTTATTGTGCCCTCTGGAGCGCCGTCTTTATCAGATGTCAACAATGTTGCTAGAGAAGGGAGTCAGAAATAGATCTGGAAAAAGCAGCTGACATAGCTGAGCCCTGCTCCGCTTTGTGTGCTGGTCAGACAAATGAAGGCGCTTTATCTCGGAGGGGGGGGGGGGGGGGGGGGGGAGCTGCTGCGTGACTTTTTGCAGACACCTTAACAGCAGACCCCCGGTGTTCAGACCAAGAGCTTTTGTAATCCGCATGCAGCCCAACAAAGGTGCAGTTTGGCTCCTCTGTGCACGTACGGCTCACGTTGGGCAACCGGGTCTGAACTTTTGACTGGGGTTTGAGGGGACGGAGCCGCAGAGGCAGCAGAGCAGCGGCGGGGTGAGCGAAGGGAAGGGTCACGGTCTTTGAACATTAAATGTCACAGCCAGTAAGAAAGAGATTTGATCCCCCCACTCGCTCCCTCCATGTGTCTGCATGCACCGAGAAGGTCAGCAGGGGACCCCTCTCTTTTTACAGCCCACTATGTGTGGCCTTTGAGACGGGGGAGGCTAAATCCAGACCTCTTAAAGGTGGACACGCCAAACTCTCCCGTTGGCACCAAAAACATATCAGACGTCTTTCAATATTTGGGCCTAAAAGCGGCAGAGATTAGGTGAGAGGAAAGAAGCTAAACATAAAGAGAGCTTTCAGAGAAACAGTGTCAGCGTCTGTGCAGCTCACGACCTTGACATTAAAAAAGGGGGCGGGGCCAGGTTGGGTGAGCAATTGGCCGGAGGGGGCGTGGCTTCCGCGCTGGTCAATCATAAAAACACACGGCTAAACTTCGCTCTTCCCCACTCACACCCGGAGTCAAGACAGACTGAGGAGGCTCACAAACGGTAAATGGCTCAGGGCCCCGGAATGGCTTCCATCCGGAAGCTGCAGAAACGTGCACGCTGCCTCGCAGCAGCCGGGGAGGACGTGCACGCGCCTGATTGAGCCTTGCTTTTAAAGAAAAGGGGGACGCTGGCTTGAAATTCCCTCGCTGTGCTTTAAACGCTCACCTCTTCTTTGTAAAGACTTAAAAAAAGACTTAAAATTGTTTGAAATTTCCATGTTTGCAAGAAAGTTTTGAACGGGTGGGAACATTTATGACCTGAAATGTAAAGTTACTAGGAGTGTGCATTGAAAATGTTTAGTCATCTGGGAACACCAATGCATGTTGGGCATCACAAATGTTGAGTTATCAGTGTTTAACGTTCTTCTTCTCTCATTCCTTCCAGAAGACTAATCCAACCCAGGCAAAATGGTGAAAGTTGGTATCAATGGGTAAGAAGACTTTTCACTCACTCTAATTTAGAAAATAAGACCAAGTGGGGTGCACAAGGCTAACACACCTGTTGGTCTATTGTTTAGCCCAGTGCCACTCCCCGGGGCTCTACAGTCAGATTCACACATCAATTATGTACAAATTTTTATTAAATCAAATAGATGCGGCTTTATTGTGCACGGTTTGCCCACAGACTGATAGGTTTGCAAACCATTGTATTGTGCAACGTCAAATGAGACTCAAGTCATTTGTCTTTAGAAAGACAAACAAGTGTGCGTACAGATAGGAAATGTTTGCGCGGACCAGCCTATGGACCATTATCTGTCCAGTCCCCTGTTTTTCTTCATCTTTGAACTTTGGCCCCAGGACAGATAACACTGTGGGCACTGACTCTGACGTGGGCTTTATCCAGCAGATTGTTTTCCTGCTATCTGAGGCGAGCTTAAATCTTACCATGTACGCAGTCTGCTGTTAGTCTTTGCACTGGTGCTTTTTTTTCTTTTTTCTAAATGTCCCAAGTTCCTGCTTGCTGGCCTGTTTAAGGACACTATCTGTGCCTGGTTTTTGGACCTTAAGTTAAAGATTGACTCTACCATTGATCAAACGCTGCTCTGTCGTCACCAGGATTACAACATTTGGATGTGCATTTCCACTCGTACAAAAGCCCTGCAGCACCCCCGCCCCCCTCAGCCCCTCCTCCTGAACTCTGCCCTTTCTGTCACTGCAGCTTCATATCTCCTCTTATCTGTGCTCTTACAGGGCTAAAAAAAAAGATTTATTTTTAAAAAAAATAGCAAGGTAATGAATTCACTTTAGATTTACTTGATAAATTGAAAACTTTTTCTAAGTTGATTAGAATCTGCACCTCCAGTTTCACTGACAGATGAAACTGAACAAGTTTACATGGCATTGTATCGCCATCTAGAGTCCATACTGAGCAAAATCTCTCTGCTCCCCTTTAGATTCGGCCGCATTGGTCGTCTGGTGACTCGTGCTGCTATCATCTCCAAGAAGGTGGAGATTGTGGCTATCAATGACCCATTCATCGACCTGGAGTACATGGTAAGTCACACAGATCATAGCGTTAAAGGCTTTGCAAGTTACAAACTTAATACACATAATGATGAACATATTAAAGGTTATTTTTTTAGCAAAACTGTTGCAGTTTGTTTGATTTGAAGAAAAATTGAATATGCTTTCTGATGTAACTTTTGTTTTCTTGTTAAAGCGGTATATTTGACTATAGACCTTTTGTGTCACTTAGGTTTACATGTTCAAATATGACTCCACCCACGGCCGCTTCCACGGTGAGGTCAAGACTGAGGGAGACAAGCTTGTCATCGATGGACACAAGATCACCGTCTTCCACGAGTGGGTTTACCTTTTGTGTCCGGTTAAACTTGCGAGATATGTCATACAAAAAAAACCCCTCACACTTCTTTCTTGCCTTCTTCTCTTCCTACAGGAGGGACCCAACTAACATCAAATGGGGTGATGCTGGTGCCCAGTACGTTGTGGAGTCCACTGGTGTGTTCACCACCATTGAGAAGGCCTCTGTACGTATTTCCCCTGCCCTCAGAATGTCCACCTTCTTTAAACCGCTTTGATATGTACAGAGAATTGATTTTTAATCTTGATTTAAACATGTTATCAGGCTCACTTGAAGGGCGGTGCCAAGAGAGTCATCATCTCTGCACCCAGTGCCGATGCACCAATGTTTGTGATGGGTGTCAACCACGAGAAGTACGACAACTCCCTCCAGGTTGTCAGGTAAGAATCAGACCATCTTCGATTAGATCATTTTGCGCATATGGAAGGGGTAAAAATAAAAGCGACTGATTTCTGATTTCCTCCCTTTCAGCAACGCCTCCTGCACAACTAACTGCCTGGCCCCCCTGGCCAAAGTTATCAACGACAACTTTGGCATCATTGAGGGCCTGATGGTAAATGCGACGCCACACAGAACCTGTCGACTTGGGGGTTTGTTGAGCCATATTCAACTGAGTTCCTCTGTTTCCGTTTCCCCTCAGAGCACAGTTCATGCCATCACTGCCACCCAGAAAACTGTGGATGGCCCCTCCGGCAAGCTGTGGAGGGACGGGCGTGGTGCCAGCCAGAACATCATCCCCGCCTCCACCGGCGCCGCCAAGGCTGTCGGCAAAGTCATCCCAGAGCTCAATGGGTCCGTGTCTAAAATGCAGTACTCGGCCCATAAGACAACGATGCACTAATGCTGTCTTTAGATGTCAAAGTGCAGGAATTTGGGGTCTTCTGAAAAAAATAATTTAAATGTGTCATCACTCCACAGCAAGCTGACTGGCATGGCCTTCCGTGTTCCCACCCCCAACGTGTCGGTGGTTGATCTGACAGTCCGTCTGGAGAAACCAGTAAGTGACCATTCATGCAAACTGACTCTTCAGTTAAGGTGAAATATTTGGATACATCCTGTGTCCCCACTTGTAGAAGAGAGCTAGAGTTTACTAATCACTTTTGTCCTTGTAGTTTTTAGTTTTTTACTTTGTAATGGGGACATTTAATTTTAACTTTTAGCTCACTACTATTCTAAGTTTCTCAAAAAATGCATATCCATTTAATTTTTACATTCAATTTTTCCAATTCAAAGGCCAAATACGATGACATCAAGAAGGTTGTGAAGGCTGCAGCTGACGGACCCATGAAGGGCATTCTGGGATACACTGAGCACCAGGTATGCGTCTTCATCTTTAAAAATAAGTTTTTCTTGAGTACAGCTTTGAAATAGTTTCCTTGTTTTAAACGGTTTGCCTTCCTGCAGGTTGTGTCCACAGACTTCAATGGCGACACCCACTCCTCCATCTTTGATGCTGGCGCTGGTATCGCTCTTAACGACCACTTTGTCAAGCTGGTTACATGGTACGTCCTCATTATGGATTACCCTTGTTTTATATTCCCAGTCCTGCCTCCTGACTTTTCTTCTTCTTCCCATCAAACAGGTACGACAACGAGTTTGCCTACAGCAACCGTGTCTGTGACCTCATGGCCCACATGGCCGCCAAGGAGTAAACCAGCCAGCTCACTTGATCGTCTCTGAATGACCCACATTCTCCTTAGTCCAGAGTTATAAATGTACAGTGAGACATATTTATTACTCTGTTTGGATCCATCGGATGTTCAACCCCCCCCATTACACGCCTGAGGAAAATTTCCACAAAACGACAAAAGATTTAAATTGCTGACCAATGATCTTTTTGTACTAAATTCCCTGTTCTGCTCTTGTTGGATGAAGGAAAGGTGTGAAAGTCTTTTCCTGTCTGTGGTACTTGAGTGCCGCAGTCAGTGGTGGAATAAAGTTCTTTGTTTGTGAGATTTAAGTTTTCCTGTTTTTGTTTCCCTCAGCTGGTGTTGGCGCTAAGCTATTTTAGACTTGCCGACTTAAGGAAATGCATCCACATATTTTAGGCACCTCTTTCCATTTTCACCTAATTATAGGAATGATCTCTAATGATTGAATCGCTGGGACAACTGTTGCATGGTACATAAACAGTTCCCAAACTATTTTGATATTCCGAGACCACATTCTGCTCAGCTCTTCCACCCTAATTCCTGTTAATGGAAAACATAACATGTAGCTCCAAGCTTGAACTTCTCAGGTGATCTGTGTCTTTGTAGTTTCTCAGCTGGTTATTACATATTTGGAGAGGTGAAACATTTATAGAATATCATGCCAGAGTTTGAGGACATTCATAGACCTTTTGCTCCAGAAAACTACATTCAGAGACATGGCAAGATGAGGACAAACTGCTTTAAAGATTACTTTGGGAGTAGAGGTTCAGAGCTCTCAAGCTGTAGAGACTTGAAGTGTTTTTACTGCAGCTTACTATTCAGCCTCTTGGGTGTGCCATTTCTCATTTCATTTTCAAGTTGCTATTTTAAACAAAGGAGCAGTCAAACTTCGTCTCAGGTTGAATGTGTGTATAATCTGATAAAAAGTGCATTTGTGAGAGACTGAAGGTGCTTTATGTGACAGAGCTGAGGATCCTCTGCAGGATGCCTGGATCAGTGTTCTTTGAGAAATTAAAAATCTACTTAACCCACAAATAAACCACCCATACATATGTGGCTTCATCAATCGGCTGTTTTCATGTCGGTGGAACAAGAGGAAGATCAAATGCCTGTTTGTGGCTTTGGTGTAGATTTACTGATTTGAGCTCATAATGTGCAGCACTTGTATTACAATCGTCAATGTGAATGTAAAGGCCTCGTGGTGCTTTTTTTCTATCTCACAGAAATGGACACAGTGGTTGTGTCCATCATTGTGTGGGTGGACACTATAGCTTTTCATCCTCAGCTGTAGCATCATCAAGTTATTGACCACAACTGTGTGGTACCAGCTATAGCATGGGTGTTGTTGCATTTTTTGGTCACTTTTTTTGCAATGATTTGGCCCTCCTGTTGAAAGTGAGAGGGGCTGCAGCTTCAGATTGCAAAATGGAAATTCTGACAGGTGCGTTAGTGGTCACTCAAGGTCAGCATGTGCTGTAGATTTAAAATCGCCACCCATTAATATTCACCTCGATCTAGATGCCACATAATTCCCAAAGGTTTTGGACACCGTTTAAAAAACAGTAGTGGAACACAGAAAGCATTAAATGCTGGTCTCGATAATTCCAGTTGTGAAAAAATATGAACTCATATTGAATCTGTGATGGAATCAACATGTTAAAGAATTTTAATGGTAAAGAAACAGAACGTATTGGAATATGCTATACTTATAGGAACGTATAGCATATTGTGTTCAGTAAGATAAGCTATTTAACATAACTAGGTCTAAAATGAGCACCATAGAGAGGCAGAGTCTCTCAGAAGTAAAGATGATGATAATAATGACAGTAATCTATTCTTTTCTGAACTATATGTCACTGTGAAACTGAACCACGTCGAAATTTATTTTGTTTCCCTCATCTTTTGTGATTATTCCAAACTTTTTACAACAAACCGATAGGAAGATAGACCTTGTTATTTCTCACTTGAGCTCTTTTCAAATATTGATATATTAGGGTTAGGACATTGATTCAAAATGGTCAGAGAGCACCAAAATAATGGAGGAGAGTTCTTTACCTCAGCCTTCTACGTTTATCTTTTTTTTCTCATCAAAATTAATCAAAACATGTGTTTTCAGATTTAAGTAATCATAAATAGTTTTGTTTGTTTGTTTATATGAGATGTCCAGTGTTTGTGTTCCGTTGAGTCAGAGAAGGAATTTGCGCTCCTTGTCCCGTATTTACGGTAGGAGGATCTTCCAATCCCGCAGCTCCTGCTCCTGCCTGTGGTCACATCTTGTTGTCTGAACTTCATTGACGCGGTGACGCTGGTTTTTCTCTCTTATTCATTCATGCTCTGCGGCTTTTGTATTCATTTCATAACGTTTGTTTTGCTAACCGTTTTTACCGGTGTTTTTCATCTTTCGTGCGCTCCATCTCCGCTCGTTTCGGTTGTTTTTTGGCAGGTTAGAGTGGCCTGTCGACTTGGACCGTCACAGAGCAGTGATCCATCAGTCGCCGTTAAGACCTCCGGGCTTTAAGGATAAGATTCTTATATAGAGACGCTTACGTAATCAGGTAAACGGATGATTTGAGCGCACGGATTTGACGCACGCTTAGCGGTAGTCTGTTATTTATCTAGATAGAATATTCTGTTGTAGCAAGATCATTTCCCGTCCGTGTTCATGCCAGATCTGCAGCGCTTCAGTTTTAAATACCATAGCATGAATCCTTTGTTGGGGGCCAATACGCATCTCCAACAGCACCCGCAGCAGAGCCCAGCGCCCGGACACCCGGACTCCCCCTCAGGCATCCTTCCCGACTACGTCTTCGGTGGACCGGACCCGGCGTCTCTTCTTCTGGGCGAGCAACCCGGTTCTGGGCCTGATCAGCTGGGAGTTGACTACACCGCACCCTCACAGACTTCACCTTACTTCCACCCCAACCACAGCAGCGCCTATCCGCAGCGCGCAGTGCCGCACCCCCCCGCAGCGATGGCCCTCCGAAACGACCTGGGATCCAACATCAGTGTCCTGAAAACCCTCAACTTGAGGTTCAGGTGTTTCTTGGCCAAAGTGCACGAGCTCGAGCGTAGAAATAAGATTTTGGAGAAACAGCTTCAGCAGGCCCTGGACGCCAACAAGACGTGTCCGGGTGGATGCTGTGAGAACAAGGCGCACACCCAGGAGGTGGGTGTGCAGACCGGATTCGTGGGAACTATAGCCATTAGGCCTGGCTCCCTCCCTTTCCACAACACCAACAACTCAGCCAGGAGGCCTACATCGCTGTTTCCGCCGCCGCTCGCATCAACCCTTCCACCAGCAGCCACCGAAAACTCAAACTCCACCCAAACGAACGCCGCTTCTTATCCGGCCATCACTATCAGCCAGGCGTCCCCCTGTGTGGACTCTCCGGGATCTGGTACCAACAGAACGGTCCAACACAACAGCACAGGTGTGGGCAATTCCACCAACCCGCCTCCACGGTTCCTACCAGGGACCATCTGGTCCTACAACCACACGCGCAAGTTCGGCTCCAGCGCCGAGCGCCTGACGAGCCCCGGGGTCTCTTGGATGCACCCAGATGGAGTTGGGGTCCAGATCGACACCATCACCCCCGAGATCAGGGCCCTTTATAATGTCCTGGCTAAGGTGAAGAGGGAAAGAGACGAGTATAAACGCAGGTAAATGGATTTGAACCCCGTTAGTGCACTGTTGTGCATCCTTTAGGTGCATTTGTGTATGGGGGGGTGGATTGTACTGCTTGTTTCTAGAGAGTGTTTTATGGTGCACTTCTGTGGAGTGAACTCAGCTGTCTCAGGCTGAAGCAGAGTCAGCACAAATCCTCCCCTGTCCCGCAGCTCCTGCATTCGCCTCATGTCTGACCACAGAGGCAGGTGCAGCTGCCACAAATACACAGAAAATGTGGACCCGTCGGGAGCTAAATTTAAAGCTGAATCAAGGGCAGAGCTTAAAAAGCGTGGGTAAAGGTCAGGTAGTCGCGCAACCGTGTAAACACAGCTTGCACACCTGAGACTGGATTGCTGCAGGATGTTCAAGAATGCGGTTCTGACTTATCATTTCAAAGTGGATTCATTGTTGATTAAAATTCAGATTTGCCCTTGTTTCAATTGATCTGGACCTGGATTGGACAGATGGCTCATTTGACATCATTCCGCTTATTATGTGCGGCAGATCTGTGCCAAGGCTATTTGGGATGATGTCATGTACAAAAGAGTCCTCTGATTAATCTCCCGGTCCAGCCATGGGCTCATGGTGACGTCAGTCACTTGAAATTTGAATGCTTTGATCTCCAGTTTGGGCGACCACTGCCTGTGTGTGCAGAAAGGGGGGATGAGACATTGTGACCTTTCTTTAATCTTTGTTTGCATTTTCCATCTTGACTCTGAAAGTTTTTCCAACAGGCCTCATGTTGCAGCACATTTATCGCTGGATTCCCTCAGATTATGTCCGAATGAGCAGCCATGCATTGGTCATAGAAGAGACCCTGACCAGGGTATAGTGGTCTCTTTGTGGGACAGGGACAACACCACCAGCTCGAGTTAGCTCAGACACACGCTGTCTTTGTGTGCAGAGGCATATGACGGCCTGAGTTACTCTTGTCCATGAGAGATGCTGTGTTAATGGAGTACGGCCATAATGTGTCCCACTCGATACTGTAACCTGGTCTCAGTATGGTCTCAGTTTGTACCACGAAAAAAACCTGTATGAATTAATAATGTAAAGTCCCTCTGGGGTAATTTTTTCCCAGATTGTGGTGCAGATTGCACTGATTCAAACTTTTTCCTCCTCTTATGTCTGTGCTATCTCGTAATCATCTACTTAGAGTCTTAGATTTCGCCCGTGGCCTAGTTTCACCTTTTTCCAGTCATCTCACTGCTCGACACTCTCACCACTCGGTCCACCGCTGTCTCCACCTCAGATTTTTTTTCTTGTGTCAAACCAGACACAGTTCCCCACTTCCTCTCCCCCTCTTGCGTTCTTTTCCGCTGCGCAGCATCCCCTTCTCTCCTCTCCACACTCTATCTGCAATGCAGCATGCACTGCAAGCTTTCGCTGCTGGATGGTGGCTCAGCTTGCGGAGGGAAAACGCTTCCCGGATCCTCGCACCTGACTGGCTGAACAAGCGTCCCCCACCACGGCAACAGCCTTTGTTTAATGACTCAGATTTAGTTTTCCCAGAAGGGCTCGGTGTGCTGCAACATTCTGCATCTCAAACAGCATTTCAGAAAAGAGTCTGCAGACTGCAGTGCGTGCCCCCCCCCCCCCCTCCCCTGCATGTGCGGCGTGAAGTCACACGATCTACGAACACATAACACACACAAGTTCAGATGGGTGGGCAAATTTTCTGAGCCGCTGCACGCACAGCATGTAGATCAGCAGGCCTTTTTTAGGGATCTAGATCTGAATCTTGTCAAGGTTTGGTGTTTCAAAAGTGGTGACTCGGAAGCGAGTGTGCAGCTTGAGTTCTAAAGGATTTTACAGTGGAATTAAACACATGTATGTTTAGGGAAATAGGTCTACAGGGGCAGGGCATGAAATCAGTGATGCAGGCTTTTACAGTCTGTTGTGGATGCAGCAGCATCTGCAGTTTGGGGGTCATTCGGAATAGGTTGGACCATCTGTAGACAGGTTTGTTGAAATGGGATTGGTTTTAGCTAGTCAAACACACACACACACAAGTGACAGAGGGGCCAGAGCTGCCTGCTGACTCAGCAACCAGGATGCAGGTTTAGCTAATTTGGCTCCTTTTAAGGGTGAACCTGGACTGCAGAGTTATGTGACATGTAACATGAGTTATGAGAGAAATACACCAAGAAGCGTATAACATCTGGCTATTGTTTGAATCATGGCTCATCTACTCCTTATAAATCCATTGCAGAAGATGCAAGTAATACTACAATTAATACCACTACTAATAATATATATATATATATTGCCCACTGACCACTAGGATAGGCTTCAGTTCTCCCAGCGACCCCATTAGGGAATAAGCGGTAACGATAATGGATGGATGGATATATATACATATATTTTATTTTCTTCTAATAATATAGACTCTTTAAGTGTTTAATGTAGATCCCCTAATCTTTATGTTTATGTTTATGCATTTGGCAGACTAGCAGACTAGCTGTTCTTGCCTAATGTCTTTGTGTTTGTGTTGCTATCAAGAAACTAAAGCACAAGGATAATATTCTTACTTATACTGATTTGCATCTCTTTTAGATGGGAGGAAGAATACACCATGAGAATGGATCTACAACAGAAGATGGCAGACCTGCAAGAGGTAATAATATGTTGCCCCGTGCTTGTGCGTTTGTATCAATCATGTCCCATTAACAAAGCCCCAAAGGATGCGTAAAACATTGTGCTCTGAAGACAGTGTTTCATATTAGTTTGGTGAAGTAAATCAGATAAACGGATGCTTTAAACAAAAAAAAATCTTTCGATACAAAATGGAAAAACTCATTCATCCTCAGCTCCCATCCGTGTCCAAACCCCAAGATGAAAACGAGATGTGTGTTTTATTTAGGATTCACTTTGGGGATAAATGAAGCAGATCAGACATTAAAACATTTAAATGCAAATAGATAGACAGATAAAGTAAATAAAGTTCCATTAGAGATCACTGCAAAGTATAATCAAATAAACATGAATGAGCATACCAAGCTGTAAAAACTATCAGAAATGTATTGATGAATGGACGTAAATAACTCCTGTGTGAATACGTACATTTGATTAAAAGTCAGATTGAATGGTTTGCCAGAGTTAACCTCGAGGAAATCAAAGTGCTTTCCAATGACACAGTAAAAAAAAGTTATATTTCAGTATAAATCAGCTGCTGAGTCACACTAAAGCTGAAGGTTAGCTGAACATTCCTTTATAAATGAAGTTGACTGCAGGCACTCATGCTTCCTGTCTCACCGCCTACTCTAAGTGAAGTCCTAACTCACACATAAAGCAGATGTTTATCTCTCTCTTCTCAGCTAACTTAAATTCAAATGAAATCATCCGACCCATTTTCATTCGAAAGAATTAAAAAATGACTGATATACAAAAGTGATAGCTCTGTCCTGTATCATTGTCTCAGTTCTGCCTTGTTTCTGAGGCTCAGACACCAAATATTGTTTTCTTTATCTACTTCTTTTTTGTTTTGGGTGGTTTCCTGTATGAGTATGTGCATGTTATTCCTTTATGTTATTGCGCACAATTGCCAGTAATCTATCACCTGATAGCATCTCATCAGCTGCACCACATTGACTAAAAACCACAAACCCTGTAGCTCCACAATATTGTATCATGAATGAGAACATCAGCAGGCAGATGTTTGTGTCTCTCCCATTGTGCGTGTGCATAGCTTCTCACAAAGTGTTTTACATATAGGGTTTAAACAGTTTATGTGTGATTTGTAGATAAGTCCTTTTTGTTTTTTTGCCGGGTCCTTGCTTGCGTAAGCCATGACCATCTCTCGGTGTGTGTTTGCTTTTGGTATTTTAAATTTGGCCTTTTCTTCTCTTTTTTGTAAATGTGCAGGACCTGCAGGAGAGTGAGGGCTGCCAGGATGAGCTGGCTCTCAGAGTGCAACAGCTGAAGGCAGAACTGGTTCTGTTCAAAGGCCTTATGAGCAATGTGAGTGTAAACAATTCCCACAAACTATTTCCTTATTCCTTTAGCCGTTTGATAGTGATGAACTGTCTGTAATGGATGGACTTTAGCATTGATTTTTACAGGAAAGCTCTTTGCTGTTTATTGGTTAGGCTTTGTGATTAGCCACAACACTGTCGTACACTCATGAAAGCTCACAGATGATCTTTCTGGTGGGTCTTCTTCTGCATTCCGCAGAATTTGTCTGAGCTGGACAGTAAAATTCAGGAGAAAGCCATGAAAGTGGACATGGACATCTGCAGGAGGATTGACATCACCGCCCGCCTGTGTGACGTGGCCCAGCAGAGGAACTGCGAGGACGTGATCCAGATGTATCAGGTATCGACGCTAAAATGAAACCCAGTCATTGGCCACAAGAGTTTGGTCCACTAACCCAATCCTGAAAATGCTGCTGCAAGGTTCCCAACAACCAGTCCCCCCTCAACTGCCGGCGTAAGCAAACCCCGTTGTCCTTTAACGGGAGCGAGGGCGACGAGCCGGTCAGCACCTCTGAAAGTGACGGAGGCGTTGTGAAAGAGGAGGAGCACTTTGGCTCATCGGCCAATCAGATCAACGAGGAGATGCAGAGGATGCTGAACCAGCTGTGAGTGGTCCGACTTTCGGCTCTAACAGTGATGGACACGCCACCTTGTCAGCCTTGTTTTTGTTTTCTAACTTCAGGCGTGAATGTGAGTTTGAGGATGACTGTGACAGTCTGGCCTGGGAGGAGACAGAGGAGACATTGCTTCTTTGGGAGGACTTCCCAGGATGCGCTCTGCCTCCAGATCCCACCCATCCAGCGGGAGAGGTAGGCGGTGGCCACACATCATTCCAATAGGCAATGCCTACTAAAGGCATGGTCATGTACATGGACCACACTAAAGCTGTGTACAGAGGAGAGAGAAGCCTCTGGTAATGAGTTATGAGTGTTGATATGACAAAAACTAAAGACATAACCAAATTCATAATAGATAAGCTCTATTTTTGATGTGTCTGTTTATGTCTGACTCACTGAAACTACAGTAGAATGTGTATGGTTGATATTTGGTGGTCAATTTGGTGACTCACCAGTGTATTCAGTGTGTGTTTTGCTGGTGTTCACTGTGATTCTTAGTAATTTAGAAAAATAGCCACCAGATCAACATTTTGGACACTTCTGGGATGCAGCACATCTCACTGCAGCTGATTTGTGAGAATCTTGGGAGGCAAAATGAAAGTCATCCATTTCCACGTTTACCAAGAACACAAAGCTGTCTTTGAGTGAACTCAGCATTACTCATGACTCAAATTTGTTTGATTCAAACAGTTTGAATCGTGAAACCTACATCTTGTTGCAGGTTCATGTCTCAGTCGATAGTCTCTCCCTGTTGTCGGATCATTTTGGCACCATAAATAGAGAGATTAGACCTATGTTGTTGCAGATTGTGTTTGTTTCCCAAAAATGCATGTAGGTATTTGTTTTCATTCGCTGGTATTGAGCAGTCTGTTGTTCCTTTGAAGGGAGGTGCTGCATTAGTCAGTGAAATTTGAGCTACGGGGTGCATAAAGTAGCCTTTGCCTTTTATATTTCTGACTTCAACATTTTCCATTTCATCACATGTATCACTTTATGCACATTTAAAATGAGTCTGTGCTTGTGTCTACCAGGAGGACTGTCTGGAAAAAGTAATTAATGATACAGAATGTCTGTTCAAGTCCCGAGAGAAGGAATACCAGGAGACAATTGACCAGATTGAGGTCAGACTCTTGCTCTATTTTTAAAAATGTAAAAGTGTTTAATAACTGACACTGACTTGGAGCCATACAATTTGAACAATGCATCATTAAGCTTTGGTAAAATTGTTCATATACTTTGTTAACATTATTCTTTAGTGTTAACATTATGACTTTATTTATATTCTTTATTTAATATCTTTTGTTTGCAAGTCAAACAACTTTTTATTGTTTTTCACTGTACGTGAAGAAATGCAAAAAAAGCCAGTTATGGTAAAATAGATGTGGCATTTACATTCTGAATACATGTTTGCTGGCACAGCTGGAACTAGCAACAGCCAAGAGCGACATGAACCGGCACCTGCACGAGTACATGGAGATGTGCTCCATGAAAAGAGGCCTGGATGTTCAGATGGAAACCTGCAGGAGGCTCATCACTCAGACTGGAGACGAGTAGGCATGCACCTTATTTATCATGTGTTTGAAAACAGTATCATATTTAAACTGTTGTAAGTTGTGAGGCGCTTTAAAGACTTAAAGTTTCTCTGGTGACATTTTTATCTTTGTTATTATGTTTTATGTATTATTTGCATCATGGGAATAAACGTTTCTATATACATTTACAATATGGGGATTAACTAATTGGAAAACTATTTTTTGTCCCGTTTGGGTGCAAGAAGCAAAGTTAAAGGGGTCTTTTGGGATGCAGTGATAGGTTTAAACATGAAGAATGTTAGCTTTCATTGACATGTATGTTGGTTTGCGTTTCACAGTAACCCTGCTGCACCGGCACCAGCAGAGGAGAGTGACCAGAGAGAAAACAACAAGTCGTCATCCTCTCCACCTTCCTCCGGTGCTGGGAGGTCCTGACACCTCCTCACTCGATCCCTGCTGTCTTCAACCGCAGTACCACACCAACGCAATACTCACCAATAAATGCGGCAACCCCATGTTTACATGTTGAAAAGTTTAACCACTGAAGCATATCGTTTGCTCTTATGTCATCCATGCAGATCAGTCAAGGGAGCTTTAAAGTTTAGAAATATTATATCTGTTATGGATTGTGAGGTGAAGATTCAGGAGAATGAAGGTCTGTTGCTGCTGTTTATCTTTTTTTTTCAGTGCAGTAAGGCAGCAGGAACGCATAACAAACCATGTTTATACTGCACACCACCAGAAGAATCATGCCATGACCTTCTAAAGGTAACCTGGAATCAGTGGATGTTTCCCTCATCAGTAAAGAAGGAAGCAGGGATCAGGGATCTCACACTTAAAGCCTAATAAGATGTCATGATACAGCATTTTACTGCCTTGTGGTTGCATTGCTAGTTTGCTTTGTGTCATTAGAAAAATAACTAAATCATGCAGAAAGAAAGTAAACATACCAAAACTTTTATTTTGGTCCCTGACTGTATACAAAACTACCAACATGCCTCGCCAGTCCTTCAAGTATTGCTTGGCATGTAACTTAAAATGGTGAGCGACTGCTCTGATCCCGCTCTATTCATAGACTGTGAATCACCTCATTTCCTGTAACCAGCTGTCACTGGGTGAGAGGCAAGGTTTAACCACGGACAAGTTGCCGGAGAGGGCCACAAAAAAAGAACGTAACAAACAACCATGCACGCTCCAAATCACTGCTATGGTCAGTTTACTATCAGCAGTTAGTCGACTGTGGCAGGAACCCAGGATGCCTGGGGAGAAAATGCAACAAGGTTCATTACGAGATTTGTACGAGGACCCTCCTTGTGTCCTCACTCAACTGTGCATCAATTTCAAATTCCAAATCTGCTGATGATTCCCTAAATGGGCTACTGATTTCTTGGCTATTGCAAAGGGTGTAATCCTACGCTACATATTGATATCACCATAACTTTAGCTGTGAGGCGTTCAAAGGATTTGCTCAGAAAAATCCTGCTAGAATAAGCATTTATGTCATTTCACTGGATAACTCACAACAACCAGAAGACGCATTTTTATGTGCAAAGTTTTAGCACCAAGATCATAAACATTTCACATCATAGAATACTCTGGATGTTCCACGCTTTTTTTCCATAGGCTAAAACCAGTTTATAAAAAAAAGGGTAGGTTAATTGAAATAATTAAAAAAAATAAAAATAAAAATCTCAAGGTAATTTCATGGAGATTATGTGCTAAATAAAAACCTGCTGTGGCAGAAAAGAAAGTTGTGACCATCTGCAAACATCCCCTGCTTTTTCTCCACTTTATTAGGTGGAAACAGTTAGAGTAAGGCAGTAAAGCCCAAAGATAATGTTGGGGTGGGGGGGCTGGTCTTAGATGTAGGCATGAAATTTGTTGCAGTGATGAGACTGAAGTTAAAACCATAGTTTTACTCCAGTCGCCATGCTTTTTGTAGATGATAGTAAGTTGTTTGAGCAGCGCTGCCTTCTTGAGCAGAATCGCTTTATGGAAGGCGGATGAGCTGAAGAAGAAAAAAAGGTCATAAAAATGCAAGTTAGCCACTGAGTGCCAAAATGAAATGGTCAGATTATGACTCAACAGGAAACTGCAAAGAAAAAAAGACTAACTATTGCAGCGGATGCTATCTCTCCAAGGTGCTTGATGTATATAACTAAACCTATTTTTAAGCCTATAAGCATTTGCACATAGAAAGTAAACAAAACTGTATGAATCATATGAAACAATCAGCTATATAACTTGTAAAACAAACAAACAAGAAATCACATCACACGCTGGAAACAGATCACTACCTTTCGTCTTCTTACCTCTTTTTTTTCTGGATGTATTTAATCCTGACTCCAGAACTGCCAGGGCAAACGACGCCTATATCACTGCTTCCCAATCAGACACTATTTGAAACGTTGTCCTGGCTGTTGTTTCTCCTGTGTAGCTGAACCATTCCCACCCGTCAATATTTTGTTTCAGTAACAACGGTCGGACAGATTTCCGCTCATGCATGTGAGGCCGTCGGAATCAGCTGATTGTGTGATTGGCTGATTCTAATAGCAGAAGTTAAGAGATCTGAGGTTTACTGTGTGAGTCGTAAAATACTATTTCTCTTCATATTGTTTCCTTTTCACACACTGAGGGAGTCTCTGTGTATGCATGTGCCAGAGTGTGTGTTTTTGAGAGTTATGTCTGTACGGTGAGTATTTTTAAAATGACTTTTACTGAGGCATATGCACGGCATTGAAAAGAGCAGAATGAAACAATTTGACAGCGTTTGTATTGGTTTCAATTGACATTTTAAACCCGAGCTGTCTTTTGGTCACCCCTAAAGTCATAAATCAAGTGATATATCACTTTTTTCCATCTGTAGACTTTCTTTATGAGAGTCTGTGGTTGCCAAGTAAAGTCAGTTTTAAAAATAGCTCAAGTTCAGGAAAATGCGCCGGTTAAATACCAATGCTTTGGCAAAATGACTGTACGATGGCTTCGAAATTATTAAGGAAATAAAGCTTTGAATATACCACATGTGTTTATAGGCTGCAAACGAAGACTGTCCAGTCACACACCTCAAAAAGGCTTTAAAATAAGACACAAAAATTCAGATTGGTCTGAAAGGATTCACAATAATAACTACGGCAGATGAAATGGTTTTTTTTTCTCTCCGTCTGTTACCTTGTGTTTTTGCTAAAGACTGACTGAATAGATTTAACAGCAGTTTGTGTCATTTAACAATTGGACAACTGTCCTGAGCATCAGGAACAAGTGTGTGACTTTGCGACAAGGAAAGTCATCTTGGCTTAAAAGCTTCACTGCAGAGCTACAGTATGTAACGTGTAAAGAGAGACTGAATGAATAAAAAGATGCAACTCAGCAACATTGTGTGAGTTCGTTATTGCTTTCAATAATCAGTTAGATTATGAAATGAGAGATTCTATCAATATTAGATCTGGTTTGACCGTTTGGTTTAACTGAATCTGAAGCATGGATGGTTTTCCTTAATGTCTATAAAGCCTTTGATTTGACTGAAGATGATTTAATTTAAACCAAATCCTTTGTTTACATTCAAATCATGTGATCCAACATGTTTTTCAAAGTGTGTCCATCACAGGAACACACAGAGACTAACCACCATGCACACACACCCTTACTCCTATGGTCAATTTGGATTCTTCATTGAACCCAACGTGCATGTTTCGCCGCATTTACACAGGAAGAAATGCTTTTTATTTCAGGTAGAATACTTGATTTCCAGGAAAATGAACTGTCCTCAGTAAGGTCACCAAATGATGAAGAGTGACACAGCAAACAACAATTTATGTGTTATGAATTAAGGGAAGAGTCAGTCCCTCTGCCACTGTGAATTTTTAGCATGTTCGGATGTGTATTTGAGGTGGTTTCAAACTTTTAAAGTGACCATCAGATTTTAACGTACATACCACCATATTGTGTAGAAAAAAACAGTACAGAAAGGAACAAAGCAAAGTGAAAAATGATAAGAAAATAGCTCCAACAGCCTCTGCCATGAAGATCTGCTGCTCCACAATGTTGTTGACATGCTAGGTGTGCAGACAACTCTCGTTTTAGTCTTTGTCATACCTTACAGTTTGAGTGGAAATGATGAGGCTCTGCTGAAGAGATGTGAGCTGTATGACGGTTCAAAGAGTAGGTGCAGAACATGTAAACAGAGCAGCGGCATGTGCGTAGAAAAGGTTGTGGGTGGATGAGAGACAGTCAGACAGGAAGAGACAGACAGGAAGACCCAGTCAAGGAAACGTTTACACAAAGGATGGGTAAAGTTAGTGAGAACACAAAGAAAGAGAAAGAGAGCGGCACACCTTAAGGAATTGAACAAAATAACAGAAGCAGAAGCATCACACCGAAGGTAAAACCTGTTTTTTGGTTTGTGAGATGAGTTTTTTTTTAACATAAACACTTACAAATCATATAGTTTTTTAACCCTTACATTTATCAGTGTTTTTCTTCCAAGTCTCTGCCCAAAGGATGGGATACGTGCAATACTTTGTGGCGGTCCTTATGTTGTCTGCACAGAAGGGGCTCAGCTTTCCCTTGGTAAAAAAGAAAGCTTTGGTGTTTTAAGATGGATTTTTATTAAAGTGCCATGTTTGCGTTTATGTGTGTATGTATGTATGTATGTAACAAAAGCCAAATGAATTAATACATTCTGCATGAAAATGTCATGTATCTGTGTGTATCTGATTTCTGCTTTATTTGTGCCAATACGTTAGGTGACACATGGGACATACCAGGATGGTGATAGAATGTGTTTTTCCTGTCCAGCAGGTGAGAAATAAAGACATCTCAAGTGCTCTCTAATGTTCTATGCTTTTCTTTGTTTCTTCTCTCTTTTCCATTTGCGGCTAATGTGGTTTCACCTAATACAATAATCAGCTGTGGTAGCTAAAGATAATCCTCTCCTCGATTTGACTGATTTCTTTTCTCTTCCTTTTCTACTTCTTTTGTTTGCTGCTTGGTTAGAAAATGGTGATTGAGGCCACATCCTTCATAGATATGCATTATGCGCCCGCACACTCTCACGGCACCTTGTGCCATCCGGTTGCTTTCAGTTGCTTCTCGGTCTTCTTTCAGGTCAGTTTCAGAAGTCATGTACAGAGTGTGAGCCCTGTCCTGCTGGAACATACACAGACATTGAATGGAACAACGAGGAAAGTTGCCATCCTTGCTATAGAGACTGCTCCCCAAGTAAGATAGCATTATTCTTGCCTTTAGCAGCTTCATTTTATCCCCAGATTGCCGCAACACCTGTTTGTCTGTAACATCACCTCTCTTTTGCTTGGTCGTAGAATATCATCTGAGGGTGGTTAAGAACTGCACAAGCACAGCCGACCTGAAGTGCGTCTGTGAGCCTGGTTACAGTTGCATTAAGAAATCGCAATCGTCAGAGAACTGCAAAAAATGTGTCAAGACACAAGACACAGCCGGTAAATACTGATATGGATGTAACCCAGGGCAGAGGGCCTTTGGGTCTTCAAGCGTAACTATCTCAGTAGCTACAAAGCAAATGCTTACAGGTGCATTATCACAAAAAACAGTGACTGAACTCTGCGTCTCAACATTATCTGTGTTAGTTAAAAAGATGACCAGTGTGGGCCAATTCAAAGAATATGTTTTGTACAAAATCCATCATAATAGGGGCTCTACCTTAAGACTTATGTGCACATATCCAAAATACGCATAAACATGTTTGACAATATGTCGGAGCTTTCTGTCAATTAGAATAAAAATGATAAAAAATACAACTTTATTCATATTTTCTAAGTATCTGTATTCAGTTACATATACTGGGTGACAATCAGACACTAACATGGTGTGAAAATCCAGATCGTTTCCTAAACCTACTGAAAAAAAAATTCATTAAAGGTTTCTTACCGACTTTCAACAGATTGTTTTATCAGTGGATTTACCGTCAGCTCTTTGTTTCTCCAGCTGCACATAGCTCTGAGAATCCTTCTGCACTGTAAATTTTCACCACCAGACAGCAATTAGGGAGAAATGACATAATAGTACTGCGTTCACGATTTTCCAGTGCCCCCAAGTGGCTCAAAAGCGTCAGTTGTTTTAGTTTTTTAGTTTTAGTTTTTTGTACGTACGTATCTGTGTGTGTGTGTGTGTGTGTGTGTGTGTGTGTGTGTGTTTGTGTGTGCGTGAGTTGAAGGCACAATAAGTTCTCCTTTCACTAACAACAATGAATTTAAATGATGGATAGCCAAGGCTGGATGGGAAATCAAACAAGAATTCCAGGCCAAAAGCTGAGCGCCAACACCTCCATTTATCCTCAGCATGTTGACCTCCACATCTCCAAAGCAGCCCAGCTCAGCAGGATAAATAGTTTAGCTCATTTCAATGAAAAGAATGGCAAATTTAACATTTAATGTTAAGTCAGCATGGTTTTTCTATGATGTTATTATTATCTGAAATGGGAAACCGAGCCTGTGATGTTTCTGTTCTGCCACTGCAGGGCTGACGCCTCGCCCTTTTTTGGGACCCACCAAAGGCTGCCAGTCTCCAGCGTGAGCAATGCATTTCCCTGGATACTATCAATAATCAATAATAGTGGAGTTTTAAAAAAAATGCTTCAAAAATTACATTGAAAATATTTTTGAATTTGTAGAGGACACTGCATTCTACTCTTGTTTATTAGGCCACATAATTGGGATTTTTATATCCTTCTCTCACACAGATGTAGCCGTGGGTCAGTCCCGACAGAAGATACAGACGTTAAAACCAAAGAAGGTGAGTGCGACTGCGTACGACTGGAGGAGATACTGTTATGTTTTCAGCAGATTTTAGGCCATCATAGCACATTCACTACTTGGTCTGAGCTTTAATGGATTAGTTTATTGGTTTGTGCTGACAGCCACGGTCTCCATCCTGCTACTCATGGAAATAACAGGGTGACGTTTGGTGATAGTGATAAGAGAAAAATATCACTTAATAGCCGATTAAAACATTGAAAGAATCCCCCTCTGCACAGTGTGTGCTGGCTCTGCATGACTCATAGTGCAGATACTAATATGAGCAGTTTTTTCTTTTGCCCATACTTTACATGCTTTCATGAAAATCTGGCCAAGAGGTTTTACTTATTGAAGAACAGAGATCGAAAGCAGTAATCATTCATGCTTTGCAAACATTGTTAATTATACGTATTTCTTGTACTTTTGTGGATCTTTTCTTTTTTACCCCCAACAGATTCAGGCCGTCTTCTGGTAGCCATTTTCTGTCCATTTTTTTTCATGATATTTTTCACCCCTGTGATCCTGTTCTGCATGCGTCACCCGAAAGATGAAACCTGTTACAGGCAAAGTAAGGATGCCTTTACATTCAGAATTGCTTTTGTTGTCTCAGTTGAGCTATCTGATTAAATGAATTCATAGAAACAATAAACTTTTTCCTTTAACTTGAGACAATTGGAAACTGTTGAAATTACAGTCTTGTCATGACCTTTGCGTGCATGTTTCTCATTATTTCCTTTTGTTATGTACATTGGTTACTCATCATTTCTTTTTTTTTTTCAGCGATGGCAAAGCTGTGTAAGAAGGTACGTATGATAAATACTCATGTGTTTACATACAGAATCCTGAGTCACTCCTTCTTTGGTTTGCTGTAAACTGGTGCTTGTGTTTTTCCTCAGGAGGGGCAAGACACCTCTAATAAATCAAAGGACTCGGTTCATCAGTCCCACAGAGACTCTTTCAGTGCAAAGCAGCAGTCACTTTCAGCCACCAATGAAGGTACTGCGGAGTAAAATGAACGCTTTTCATCTGAAGTCCTTGACTCACATTGTTTGGTCATACAGAGAGCACCGAGTTAAAAAATCAGCTGTGGTATCTTCATGAGTTGTGCTGTTATGCTTGGTAGTCTCATTCTGTGAAACAGTGTGAGCACAGATTACTGATAACTTCCCCTCATGTGTTCTCCTCTCATGTTTTATGTAGGCTCAGTCCACGTCCACAATCCGGGCACGGTCATCTTCAGCCTGCTCAGTCATTTCACGGGCCAAGTCGGGCCGACTATTTACGGGAGTAAGACTACAGAGAGAGCAAACAGCGATAAAGATGAACAAGACAAACCTGTGTTTCATCCTCCATCTTCCCCGAGCATTCACATCTCTGAGGAGGAGCGGAACGGGGAGATCAGCAACATTTTCTTCCCCTCCCAGGAGCAGGGGAAGGACTGCCACATGTCAAAGGAGGAGTCTATGTGACGTCTCCTCAGGGTCCCATTTGTTTTAGAGGCCATGATTGTTGGGATCGAGACTGGCTCTAAAACACGCTATGTTGGATTTGAGGACTGTTGGACTGTGATAGCAAAGCTACAGATGCGCGGGCAGAAGATTCATCATCCTCTGAAAAACTGTGAAGGTTTCACAATTAATATCGTTTCTGAATTTTCTGGAAAAATTCACTGCGTACTGCACATTTTTACATTTTTAACTTAAAACAAATGGAATTTGTTCCTCTCTGTAAGTAATAATTTAATTCTTGTAAATACTTATGAGTGAGCTCTGACAGCTCAATTCTTATATCTGATTACTGGCATTTACAGTGAAATAAAGTTTTATTTAAAAAGCAATGGCATCAATACTCAACTTTAAAGCTGCACACACAAACACACACACGCAGATATATTTATCTCTATGTATTTATGTGTATATAAAGAAATATACAATAGTAATTTAGACACTGAGCAGCTTTGTTAAAACTGTTGATTGTAAAGTGTATTCATTTTATTTTTCTCATTTTATTTTTTTCTTCTTTAAACGGGTGCACCGCAAAAAAGAATTAACAAAGTTTTATTTCTGATTCTGATTCCGATATACACTCTGCTCCACCACAAGGGGGCACAGTGTTTTTAGATGAGCCTCTCCATTGCTTTTTATTTATTTAGTCATTTACGGGTCCCTTTCTTCCTTTTCCTATCGGCCAACAATGATAAAGAAAAAAC